CCGCCCCCAACCCAAACCCCTCCACCATCCAAACAAATCCCACCCATCTCCAAACACTCCATCCTCACGAAAAAAGTGGTTACTCCCAAGAAGTAACAAAACATTCAGTCTTCAGAAGACTTCGAATACGATATATACCGTATAGTATAGTACCTACTTACTATATCCAAAGTTTAGGGAATATATATAAAGGTATTAAAATCTTTATATCCCTATATTAGAACTCTATATTATAACCCTACCCTCCACCCTATCGAATATATCCAAGTCATCCACCCTGCGCTGCTCCTTGGTAGACGGGAAAAGAACAAGTTCAAGGATATGTTATTTCACTAAAGTTACTACCCTACCCTCCCTACCCTACCATATCAACCCCCAATCCAATCCAATCCACTCTCCCCCATCCTCTCCCCCTCCCCCAAAACAACAAAAACCAAAGAAAAACAAATCACCAAAAAACCCCTTCCCTTATAGCCCTCCACAAAAGCAAAGAAAAGAAAAGAAAAAAAAAGGGAAAAAAGGGAAAAAAGGTTAGTAACATATCACTTCTACATCAAATCCTTATAAAAGTATCAACACAACAACAATACCCAAAAAAACGAAAAACGATCTACTAGTATTCCTATTACAACCCCCAACAAAATACAATAAGGAAGGACATATATACAAAGACCACTTTCTCTCCTATAGTTTTGAGATTCTTACCTCCATTCACAAGTCAGTTCAAAACCTATAGACGGAGGGGCACCGATAATTTCTCTCTTTCCAAAATCCCAATTACGAGTAACGAGACTAGGGCTTAGTATCTACAGTATCTCTACAGAAGCACATTTCACTGTATGTTATATACAAAAAACCTAAAGCTTACAGTACAGTACCAGAACGCCGAATTCCAGGCACGGGGCAAACATACCTCCAAATGCGGCGCTAGCAAATCCACAGGACTTCCTGGGACCTCTTTCCTGCAAAAGTTCAGTCCTTAGGAAAGAAGGATAGCCAAAAGCTTGCCTCAGACCCATCGGTTCTTCAGATTCAGATCTACAATAGGAAAGAACCAAGCTACGCGGGACGTCATGAAGTTGCTCCTCGCTTAGGGTCGGCCCAATATAAACAGAAGACCAAAGTGTTAGAGTACAACACCACCACGATGAGAGAACAGAGAAAAGTAGACGGGAAAAGAAACAGGCTATCATGATACGGTTACCCAAAGAAGCCGTTTCTACCTGCAAACCTCTATGTAAAACCCAATCCAACGAGAGCCAACATCTCAAAAAGGCAGGTAGGAAACCGCGGCATCTCGGAAGAAGAGCCCGTGCATGCCCGGATAGAAAAGCGTGTAGAGAAACCGTTGGTCTTGTCTGCCTAAAGAGGCTGGTGGCGGCATCTCGAAATGCAAAGAAAGAAGATTGGGTTGACCAAAGAAGACGCACAATGTAACCCTCGGCTAGAAGGGGTAAAGATGAGGTCTGCTTGTCACACAAAATTTAAAAGTTTGGTGGTTGTGTTGGGGTATATTGAACAGGGAGGATGAGCAATGTAAATTGTTACCCGTCATATAAGTACATGCCATGTTCATATTTGCAATCCCAGCCATTCCATGAGATCGTGACCAGGTAGAACAAGCTCCTTTTATTGGCATCGCTAACGCCATCCGAGAGTATTTGTCACTCACGTCTGGCAGCAACGTGGGATTCTTTCTTGACAGCTCTCCGACCGACGGACATCCCGATGACAGATACGATGAAGGAAGCATATGAATGGATGGAATTCTCCGGTCATGTAAACGAACGGATCGTACCGAATTTCTCGGTCATCTCTCATGAAACGAGAGCTGCATAGGAGACGACTAACTCGATATGAACCACCTGCAGACTTTCCTCCTAGATTTTCTGTTGCTTTACCAGTTATCATCCACAGAACCAAAGTGGGGAATGACTGCATGCCTGCATCGGAAGGAAAATATTCATCTAACAAAACAAATACAAATCATATGCACGGTAGATTATCAGGAATGTTGTTTGAATGAACAGCCGACCACTTGCAGACTCAGGAATAAAACGAACTTAGGGGCTTCATTGCAAGCGCAGTAGAATGTTTCAAAAAGACCCAGGATTGACATACGGCAAAAGGCAAGATGGATAAAGTCGGGGAAGAAACGGTAGTTCGTATGACTTGCATATCATACCTGCAGGTGAGTTGCAGGGTCGTTATTTGCTGTACACCTCCAAACACATGCTCTCTGGACCCTCAACACGTTGTAAACAACCTTGAAAATGTTCCTGCGTCCGAAGACCCGAACGATTTTGGATACTCGCAGGCCATATGCCGTCGTATTAATTGCAGGATGGCCGTATTGGGGGCCGAATTCCGAATTTCGGTAGCCGTTGTTGGTATCTCCTATTTTTTTGGTTGTCGTCTGAATAAGGCGTGACAAGCCAAGCAAACGACAGAAGTCTTTTGACTCCTGGCCCACCTAATTCCAAGAAATAGAGTCACCCATTAACTTTATTGGGAGATTTGAAGGAAGGTGTTGTGCAAACGAGATTGGAAGATGCAAGAACCGGCTGTTTTGCTGATCCCCAATCTTGTTGTAGTGGTGTTGGTTCTCCTGAAACCAAGTGTCCTGTACGGCACTCGATTGATCTGGCTGGCTGTTCCAAACCGTCGGGTAGAGCCATACCACACCTGATATCGTGTTGTCTACAACTTCTTACATCCGGCCAGAAAAGATTTGATGATTCGGATCCTTCGATGAGGGCCTCGCGGAAGTTGATGCTTGTTGAGATCACCTCGTACCAACTGCACGCAAACGCAGGAGCGTTGTACATGTGTCTCTTGGAGTGTGGACTACCCAATTTGGTCGTCCAGTCATCTTTCCAGCCCAAAGGTAATGGTTATCCACTGATTTCACTCTGCCCGTCCAAACCAGTGTGGGGTGTTGGGCAAAGAGGCGGTAAGGTAACGCAGGTAGCGAGAGGAGGTGGTTAGGGCTTGACTCCGTAGGGTAAGTGGAACCCTCGGATTGATGAAACCAACACACCCAAACCCACACCCACATCTCATCCCTTTCCATCTCTCGAAGGCTTCTAGAAGGCCATTTCGAGTGCATCCCCTGAAACCCCTCTTTGGCTGCAGACGGGCTGTTGGTGATTCGTAGGACGGGGATGCAATCCACCCAGAAGGTCATGAAGGGAACCAATGCGCAGGCTGCCCTCAGCGCCTCGGCGCCCCTACACGGCATGCTGGGGTGAGGTGCTGCTGGTCGTTGGATGCTGGTCGCCGTCACGTCACGATGGGAGGTGGGAGGTGCGAGGTGCGAAGTGCAAGGTGCATCGTTTCCTCCGGCTACTACTCGTACTGCTTGTGAAGCCATCCCAAGATGTCGAGAGATGCGCAGGCGCAGGCTGTGGTGCAGATGCAGCACACCCAAAATGCGCGGTATTTTGTATGCATTTTGCGAGGTGCGGAGGCCGTCGTCTAGTGTTGCCGATCGCTGGCAAGTGGCAAGTGTATGCGAGTGATAGATTGGAGTACTGTATGGAGTACTGTATGGAGTACTGTATGGAGTACTGTATGGAGTACTTGGTACGCACAGAGAGGAAGAATGGAAGGAAAAGCTTGGGTGGTTCTTTCGCTGGCGTCACGTCACGACGTGCTGGACTCTGGAGTGATGCATGAGGTGCTTGGTCCTTGGTGCAAAGGATTCGATGCTGATGCGATGCGATGGAGCCGCTTCGGGCCGTCACGGCCATCTTGGGGACTTGGAGGTCATAGGCAGAAGCAGATCCGCCGTATGCGACTCATCCAGGTGGGCGAGGTGGGTTCAACGCGTTTGATGGGCACCATTGCATTGGCTTTGAGTCTGCTGTTGTCGCTGAAATTTTATTTTCGTCTATTTACTGCTTACCTTATCCAAGTATACCCCGTACCGAGTTAAAGTAAGACTATCTACGTAGTCAGGATGAAGGGGAGTGGAGGTTTGGTCGTCTGCTCAAAGTCAATACAGTACCTATGTCGCTACCTTCCACGCACATGGGGGCATCGCATCTACTGTACTCCCACCCTCCGCACTGGGTGGAAGTACATTCAGTGTTTTCAAGCCTCAGTATTTTCACGCTGCAGTATTTTCACGCTGCAGTATTTTCACGCTGCAGTATTTTCACGCTGCAGTGTCCTCCAGCTTCAAGCGTCAGTGTTCATCTACGAAGCACTCCGTAGCTTCACTGTTTTGAGCTTCAGCTGCAGTTGTCCATGGCCAGGCCAGGTTCATCTCTTCCTCAATGCCAACACCCTGCCATTGTTGAGAGCCTGGGATCCTTTCCCTTCCCCCTCCCCTGCCCTCCCCTACACCTTCCACAAAGCCCATTGCCCAAATCGCCGGGCATGATGCATCGCGGGTAGCCATCCAGCCACTCAGCCATACCTAGGTACTTGACCCAATCACCCAGGGTACGAAGGTACAAGTACTCACTAAATTTATTCTACTTGTAGGCTGTAGAAGTGGTACTTCGCAGATGTTCTCCGTACCAAGGATCCTTGTAAAGACGTTCCCTCCCCTGTCCCTGCGGCCCTGTTGCCCAGGTGCAGGTGCAGGTGCTGAGAAAGGGTCTGAGGTCTGAGAGCATGGTCCGTATATTATTGAGAGCTTCCTGCTCTGCAAAACCCTTCTCCGACTACTGTTCCCCTCTTCGACATACTCACTTCACCATCTCCCTCTCCAAACTTCACCCTCCGCTAAACTCTCTGCTATTGCTCTGGCGCCCTCCATCGCATCGCCAATTCTTGTGTTGCGCTCTCCATCCCATGAGCCTTTTCACCCCTCCAACTCTTCGAACCCTTTTGCAAAAAGTGCCTAGATAGTCTCCATCGCCATCGCTCGACAACCTCCCCCAACCTTCGACCAGCCTCTAGGGGTTTCGTCCTGCCAACTCCCTCGAACGATTTCACAAACTCATCCAGTATCATGTCGGAAAAACCTTCTGTTTTAATTGTGGGTGGTCTGGGTTATATGGGCCGCTGGTTGGCCTTGCATATCCACAAAAATGATTTGGCGTCCGAAGTACGCATTGTCGACAAGGTAAGCCACACGGTAGCACAAGTTCTGCCTTGGTGACGGCCACTAACCTTGGGTGCAGCTATTGCCGGAACTGGCTTGGTTGGCTCCAGAATTCAAAGAGGCATGTTCAAGAGACAAGTTCATGCAGGCCGATGCGAGTAGAGAAGGTAATTAATGACACTTCCGGCTTTTTTGGCTATGGCACCTTTCAAGATACATCACCTAACATAAATCCCCTCAGAATCCTTACCCCGAATATTCGGCCGCGCAAACGGAAAGGAATGGGACTATGTCTTCAACTGCGGCGGAGAGACACGGAATTCACAAGATGATGAGGTCTACAAGTTACGCTCGCTTGCTTTAAGTGTGGCACTGGGAAAAGAGGCTGCAAAACGAAAAGTCAAAGTTTTTGTTGAGCTGAGTACCGGCATGATCTACAAGCCCGATTCACACCCTAGTAAAGAGGGGGATAAACTGAAACCATGGAGCAAGATTGCGGTTTTCAAGCTGCAGGCCGAAGAGGCCCTGTCGAAAATCGAGGGGTATGATCATTCTTACCATTCCACGCTTCATAATTCCCAACTAATACGTCTAGGCTCAATCTCGTCATCGTCAGATTCTCCCATGTTTATGGCGAGTATGATTCCCAATTAATCGGAACAGCCTTGGCCATGGCGCGTGTATATCAATACCTGGACGAAGAGATGAAGTGGCTCTGGACCAAGGATTTACGACAGAACACGGTTCACATCACCGATGCCGTTCGCGCGCTATTCGATGTTGCAGATTGGTACGCAGTCAAGTCAAAGCCCAACTGGGATGAAAGTACGATGGGCAAAATCCCCATCTTTAATGTCGTTGATCATGGACAAACGAACCAAGGTACCATGGCCGAAATGGTCGCCCAAATCTTCAAAATCAAGACGGGCTTTCAAGGCCACCTGATCAGTACATTTGCGCGTTTGAATATGGATAGCGTCGTGGATGATGTCAATGATGACATCTTAGGGCCTTGGGCAGAGTTACTTGAAGATGCTGGCATCACTCGACCTGGACCTTTGACACCCTTCATGGAGAAAGAATTACTGAAAGACACAGATCTCAGTATGGACGGGAGCAGGTTTGAAAAGGTGGTTGGTTTCACATACGACAAGCCTCAGATGAATGTAGAGCTGGTTCGGAGTATGATTGACAGTTACATAAGAATTGGTTGGTGGCCGGTGAACAAGGCTGTAGCCAAATGAATAGGCTCATCAGTTTTTGGGATACACGATAAAACGAAACCACGAGGCGGGAGAAGAATGAAGGATGCCGCGGGGGAAGAGAAGGACCAACCTCTAATCCCAAAAAAAAACGACTTACGATGACGAGTTAACGGACGCGATCAGATTGCAATCTTTTTGACCCTCCAAGAATCCACATCACAAATTACTTTCATATGTTCATTTGCATGGCGGAAAAGGGATTATTTTTGGGGTTTTGTTTAACGGCTGTACCGGGGATACACATGGTTGAGATCCCGCTCTTCGCCTCGTGGTCTTTTGGGGGATGGATGGGGTGGAAGGGTGGTAGTCCTGTACTATAATTTACATGGGAAGAGAGGGGGACAGTTGTTATCACATCATGGCTACTTAACTCATATTCCCAATTCCTCCGATTCTGGTTTTCATTTGGTTTTGGTTTTCGTGCTCAAATTCTTCGTTGTTGTTTTTTTTTTTTTGAAGGGGGGACATGGATATGGATATGGATATACTGTACTCTGTTAAGCAACCAAGCATAATACCATCTCACGTTTTAATCGCCGCTTTACATCTATCTTTATCTCATCCTTATCTTTTTTTTTTTTTTATATCTCTTTTAGGGAGAAGCCGCGAGAGCTTCCCGTATATTCTCATAAAGGGGGGTGGACAGTCAATACAGGACACTGTTACATAGATCATATATAAAATAAAAAAAGTCTATATCGGCCAGATATGAGTCTTTGATTCGCTGGTTTAGCTCAAAATCGGGGCTGAGATATACTATGATTAGCGACGGTGTCTAGCTTTACTGTAACTGTCCACCCCCTTTATATTCTTATAGATTATAAGTAATCCACCTATTTTAGTCTACCTAGGTAATTAGGTAAGATTACTAGGTAATAAATAGTTAAGGAACGTTCGGTACATGGAATACGATTCCCTGGCCGGGATTTTTTTTAAGATTTGTATTCCTTGGTAGATAGGTAGGTGGAATCTTTTAAAGGATAAAGGATAGGTAAGGCTGAAATTGCTAAGGAGAAGGAGATATATATATTTGAGAGGGGTTTTTTCACTTCGAGGAGTGTTTGAGGATGTTAGGTTGTGGTGTGTATGTATGAAGGGTTTTGATGATGATGAAATGGGTTCTAGATCTCCCTTAGCGTGGTAACACTTCTAATCAAATACTTAATCCGACTCGAGTACTAATCGAGTTGAGTTAAATAAGTATGATTAGGTAATTCCGTTAAGGTAAGTAGTACAAGTACTTAAATAGTTATATATAACGTGACTATATTATAAGTAACCCTCGTTAGGGTGTCCTTAAACAGCTATGTAATAGTATATATATATATAATATAGGGGTACTCGGTTACGTATAATTACGTAGACCGAACGCCCGGAGTCCTACTAGCGAGGCCGGGTGCGCTAAAGGCTATCGGGCCGACACTACTCAAGTTACTTATAAGTTAATCGAGTACTTAGCGAGTTAAGTTAAATAGCGATTCTTACCACTCGAGTTAAGTTAATTGGGTACTACTACTCAACTCAACTACTCGAATTTACCACGCTAATCTCCCTTATATTAGTTTAGCTATTTTTTCTTTATTCTTTTCTTTTTCTTTATTTATGTCTTTCTTTCTTTCTTTCTTTCTTTCATTTTTTCTCTTTTGGAGGGGAGGTCTAGGTTTGCGTGCTGTACTGGAGAAGAAATGTGTGGGTAAAGTGTTATATTGTTGCTCCACTAAGTTACCTAGTCCCGAAGGACATATGCCGCTGGCCTATTAGAGTCTATAATGTACATTCAACTCTAGGTCTGATCCTCCCACTACTGAGGAGTTCGGGGCGGCTCGTGCCGCGTCGTGCGTGGACTGGTAGGGTACAGTAGAAGGGTTGCGTTGCTTGGCGGGGTATGATGGAGGCGGACGGACGGGTAAGGTTGGGATTTTGTGGTGGGGTAGTCGTGGGTGTTTGTGGATTTGTATTTATAGGGATGGATGATGGGAATTTGTATTTGGTGGGTTGTTACCTATGTTTGTTCTATTGTTTGGTGGGTGAACTGCTTTTTGAGGTATGAGTTTCGATTGGATTGCGGATAGGAGGTATGAGTTATGCTATAGTAGGTAGCTTGGGGGGAGCTTCTGAAGGAAATTATTATTTTTAGAGGGAGTGTAAAGATGCCTAGGTATATTAGAGTAAGATCTTTGAGATGACTCTTTTATCTTTGCTGTTAATACCTTACATTAACCCCGATCGTTCAAGTCCAAAAACTCAGCTCAAGGTTATTTATTCCCTTGTGAGCAGTGTTTGTTGGTTGAAGGTTATATGTATATATAGGTAGGAAAAGAAAGGAAAGGGGTTGGTTATACCTAGACGAAATCCAGATATTAATAGCTCCTTCCCTTCTAGGTTTATATAGTGTTCTTACTGTATTAGCCCGTACTAAGCGAGGGAATTTAAGACGAGGAAGTAGGAGCATGCAGGTGAGGTCACAAGGAAGGAGCGATCGTAAATAATTCTTTTTTTATTCCACAAGCTAGTTCAACCAGGGAAGGAACGACGCCAACTTAAACCTTCAGTTTGGCTTCTGTGTCGCTTGACTGTTCCTACCTTATTGAATCCACGATTGAATCTTAGTTAGCCTCGGTAGAGGTCCTTGATACTTAGGTACTCTCCTCGACTGCCTCGCTTCGTCGTGGTATGAAGTCGAATCGAGAAAGAAGAGGCTCATACTTCTTCAAATATTCCTTTACATGATCGTAGGTTAAGGACCAGTAATCTTGGTAACTGATAGGAAGAATTGTTTTGTAACCTGAAGCATTATTTCTTGGTAAGAGGATTTATATGTGGTCATTTTCACGGGAAATTAGAGAAGTCGCGGCGGATTTTCGCGTCGCTATTGGTTGTTGTGTGATGCGTAAACTTAGTTGAAGTAGATTTATGATTTAATTCCACTCCTTGGTAGGGTTTTATTGTCTTGGGAAGCTTGGAAAATTGTGTGAGGTCGTTTGCTGCTAGCTTGCTTTGGTGTTGATGAAGTTCAAAGCCAACGAAGATTGTTTGTAGACTAGCTGAAATGCACTGTCTCTCTATGGTGGGGGGGGTGCTCTTTTTGGAAGAACGAGAGGAATACAATTCTAGTTATTCTGGCTTCTGGCATTTTCAAATTATTGAAATGAGTTTGATTCTCTACGTCTAATCCTGACGCAAAACGCGGGCAGCACGTTTTTGACTCTTTAACAGTCACGATTTCTTGCCTTACCTTGTGTTGAATAATTCCACAACCGACTGCCGATATAACTCTGGAACTCTCCAGCTGTCAAATAAGAATTACCACAGCGCTTCCATGGATGACCCACGTGACCCTCTGCCCCGAAATCCGCTTCGCGCCTCGCTAAAGAGCAAAACAACACCACCTCCAAAAAAAAATCCCAAAAAAGCCACACAACGTCAAAAGACCCCAAGAACAAGTCAAAAAAATAATATTTTCGAGCAGCAAAAAAGAGTTCGGGCCTGCCCGCCCTAAGTCTCTCTATCCTTGTCGTTACCAATTTCAGTCGTGCTTTTCCTTCCGCTAGGGAAGGGAGCGTTCCACTTTACCAGGTGGCCGATCTGGTGGCGCCTACGCCGAGGCCCATTGGTGGAAACAGGACGTTTTATTTGAGGTCTTGAAGGGAATGTCTGGGGTGGGGTAAGGTGGTAGATTGACCCACTTTGGGGGAGGTGAATTTGCGGTAAGTGTCGCGAAGCGGAAGATGTCTTTCTGTGCTGCGGACTCGATAACTGTGTTTTCCACGAAAACTGATAGTACTGCGAAAGTTATTAGATTATATTTATCTTTGTTGGATGTTTTCTTTCCCCGGTTTTCCTCTGCCTTTCATAATGGTCTGTGGTAAAACCAGGCTCAAGACTTCGTCGGCAGCTCAACGCAACCAAATAATCCTCTCTACGTAGCTCATAATCCCAGGTCACCATCTGGGTCAAACCCAAGCGCACTTTCACACTTGCAAGTATGGACACAGAGGCAGTAATCCGTACATATGTGGTAATTAAAATGGGTGTTTAGCAGCCTACCCCAATTCCAAAACCTGATTTAACTTCAGCTATTGAAGGGGAAAGCAATTTTCAATCTCATGAAATTACCGAAATTACCATCTGATACGATTCCTAAGTATCTCGCCCTATTCATGAGCTGGGGACAATATTATGTCGCACTTGGCAAGCTAGAAGTTTCTGCTGTCACTTCTGACAAGGGAATATACGCACAAATTAAACACAAATATTTCGAACTTCGTGTCATGTGTGTAAGCGTTCCTCGATTGTTTCTCATACAGGCTTTGTATATAGATTCCGTTCGAGTAGCTCCACTACACCGAACATCCGCGATCTTCAACTACCATGTATACAGTTCGCTGTGGAAGACTCCCACTACATCGATATAATCTCACCTTCCTACACCAAAGTGGGAAACAAACGATATAAATATACACTGTCCCATTCACTTAAATCCTCCCATATCCGCTAACGCTTTTCTTTATTATGAGCTGTCACAGCGATGGTTGGTCATTATCACGAAGCGTGAAGTGGTATAATCATCTACCCAAAATACTCGAGATGAGACTTGAGGAGATCGAAGAAGTTCCTCTGATGATGTTGGTGTTTTTGGATGGGGGATCTATACAATTGGGGGTTCGAATGTGGTAGCTATGACTCTCGTAACGAGTCTTCTGATGTGAGCGTAGGGTTTGCGATTGGAGCTTTTGTTGCTGCATTGTGGGCTTGCCTGATTGCTCCGTTGTTCTTCCAGTGAAAACAGCAGTGACTAGGGAAACTGCTCAGGACATTAAGAGAATATTAGTTGTCAAGTCGGAAATAACCAGATGTAATTGCTTCTATAGGTCTTAGCCAACGCAGGACGAACTGCAGTATCCAGAATAACTCACCATGCTACTGTTGACGCCACTTATCCTTGTCAAGAATTCGAGAAGTTCTACTTCGTCTTGACTTTGCCCGTGTTAGACTGGCCGCCTTCTCCCAGAGCTCAATATACTGGTTCGGTGGAAACATTGCCCTTAAGACAGAATCTGCATGGGGAGTGAGATCGACGCCTGCGTCCAAAAGCCGCTTGATAACTTCTTCCCAGCGGGCCAATACAAAATTTCGATCCTCTCCAAATGAGAGTGAATGAATTTCACCACCCAGGTACCTCTCAAGATAGTTTATAGCATTGAGCCATGGTTTTCTTGAATCTGCACCAAAATCTAAAAGAACTGACACAATATCAACACTCACAAACTGCACCAGGCCAAAGCCTGGAAGCAAGGCGTAGTCTAGAAAGCTTCTGCTTGTCTTTTCCCAACTTTTCAAGACATTGTCATTTTCTAGTTTGGCCCAGAGATACCTGTGTAAACCACACTGTACCGCAATCGTCGACGGAGAAGAGTCGGGTCGGAAGACAATCTCTGTTGATGAATAACCGCGTATCCACCTAGACGCAACATTGAAAAACTCATCCATAAGCTCTGCCTGACCAGATCCAGTATCTCTCTGAACTCGACGAGCGAATAAAATAACAGAGTCTATGCATTCCCCTGAATTGAGGAGGTCGTGTCGAGTATCGCGGATGCTTTTAAGTTGCAAAATAGAGGATTTCAGGATTGCCAAGGTGGGGTTATAGACATCGGCGGAGCTACCACCAGTCCAATCCTTAAGTATACTTTGGGTCTCCCATTTTTCAAGACGATCTTTCACTGTACGATGCAGATATTAAACTTTCATGGTCGGTAACAGCTCATGCCTTGGTTTATCTGCGTGTAAGATTTCCAAAAGACCACCACTGCGACTTGTGAGCCGCGAAGCCATTTGGTGACAGCGAGGTTTGATTTTGGAATGATCGAGGAAAGGCCTTTTTGCAGTCAAGATGAGATTGGAGTCCTTCTCTTCAGCTAGTGCCACCGCGAATATCGAAAGAGGGGATACCACTTTCCAGTCGTCATCTCGTCCATTAGTGGCTGCTGCAACAAGTTGGTAAAGCTGGGACGCTTCTTTTTTATAGCTTTCGTCTACCTTTAGTATCATGTGCAAATAAAGGTCCTCGAGCTTCTTTGGCAGAACTCGCAACCTTGCTTGTAGATCCGAAATTTGGTCGTGGTTTCCAAGTCCTTGCAAAAGTGAACTGACGACAAGCTTAACCCAAAGGACAACGTCGTTTGCTGCAGTAATAATTTCTCCCGTTAACTGACGAGCTTGTAAAGAACGTATCAAAAGATCCCAATGTGATCAGAAGCGGGAAAGCTAGTTACAGGGCGAGAGTGCACTTATAGGCCCTTGCCAAGGACTTATAAGTCGGCCCAGGACCAGATACAATGAATGTATTCAGACACTTCCTGTTGCAGAATTTTTGGTATACGCTCACTACCCACTATCACTGGCGTCATTTCAGGGTATTCAATACCCACCTGTACCTTACTGTTGTCAGGAGAGTGGATCATGTGACTCACCTGCCTGGACCTCCTGAGAACATTCCAACGCATGGAAGTTGGGTATCAGCTGCTAGCGCGTCGAAAGAAAAATACAGCTTAGTTGTAAGACATTAGCTCCTGCCATATGTAGTTAGACTGCGATGCTTTTGAATTCACCTCTTTTTAGCCTGACACTTTTGGCATATCCCACACCCATCAACACTTACTTTACAAAATGCTGAGTTCTTCCCTTTCAAACCCAACTTACAATCTCAACTAGCCTAGCTTCTTATTCCTGAACTTCGAAGAAAATGGTCAGATTAAGCAGAATCTTCATCTGTCTGTTCATGGTATTCGTGGAGACTTGGCTGCTTCTCAAAGCCGATAAGTCCACAGAGGAACACAAAGGCACAGTAAAGAGAACCTTACTCGCCCTATCTCCTTTCTAACCTTCAAAATCATTCATATTCAGTAAAAGACTACACAGAACATACCATGTCCCTTCTTTTCGTTGACAATTCCATAATTGATCGCAGATCAAGAAAGCTGATTCGAAGCCATGCAGCCAAAGGGAAAAATCTCGGGAAAACACTGATTCCCAGACGAAAGCGAAGCGAAGTAGGGGGAAGAACGGTGGCACCAATGCCCGAAGGCAGAAGGAGCGAGCCGGAGTCAATCGAGCGACAATTTGGTGATGGACTATCCGTTTACCCTATTCCTGCCAAGCTGCCTCCAGGATCTAGAAGTCTCGTCCAAAGAGGTAAATCAATTTCATAGTTTATACTCGTAACCCTATCTCAACGTTCTGATGGATTTCGGCATTCTCGTTTCTCAGCAGCCCTTTTTATCAAGAGGAATTATGTGATGTGGTTAGCTTTGAGAGCGCGAAAGTTAACTCCAGGTGGACAAGATACGTATTTGTTGATGAAGCTTGTATAAGAACTTAATCCCCAAACTGTTTTTCGCCGTTAACATGAACAGTTTTTCATTGCATAGTTGCAAGTTCTGCTGCTATAACTAGTTCGCCGAGCCAGCAAACAGAAGACTCCATAGAGACGATGCGCCATTTATCAGACACCTTTCGCCTGATCAACGAGAAATTGGCAGGAGATGAAGCACTCTCCGATGGTACCATAGCAGTGATCCTTTGTATGACCCAATACGAGCGGATACGGGGTCATTATCGTATGGGGCGAGTTCACTTCAAAGGTCTCAAGCAAATCATTGAATTGCGTGGAGGTATAGCTCAATTCATTGTCGATGGACCTGAGATAGCCCAGAAATTATTCAAGTAAGCAACCAGATTGTGAAGACTAAATGTCATGCTGACGGCGTGAAAGAGCGGATGTTGAAATTGCTCTTCATCTAGGCTCCAAGACATACTGCAGTGCAGAAATTGTTGCTGAATACACCAAGGTCCGAGGTTCTTTCGAGGTAGGTTATGACTACATCAGATTGTGTCCAACCTCAAGGAGAATAAGCACCGAGCTTCAGGACGCTCTAAGAGAAACCATGAGCCTTGCCTGGCTGCTGAATACATCAACAGGGAACGAAGCGAAACTGGATGGGGGTGTATTTCACGACAAGATAATACTCATCAATTACCGACTTATTCAAATAAGCCCCCTCGATGACCAAAGACCTCTCAACTATATTGAAAATGCATTTCACTTGGGCTTATTGGCATGCATGACGACAGTTCGCCTTGGATTCGCAAACCACACACCGCACTATTCTCTTCTCTCTAGTCTCATTCGCATTGCTTGCAATAGCTTCGTTGAAGGAGATGAAGACAGCCAAAAACTGTTCCTGTGGGTTTTATTTGTGGGAAACGTCTCGGTACTTTGGCAGCAAGACCATGCGTGGGTTATCCCGAAAATACAGGAGATCACCTTGAGTCTCAATCTTCGGACCTGGGAAGACATTCGCCAAATAATTTCTGGTTTTCCGTGGATTGGAGCTCTTCATGACAAATCAGGACAAATTCTATAAAATAAATCAATCCTTTATAAGTACACCTCGACTGACTCATCTGAACGTCAACGAACATAATATCTTGGCCGGCCCTTCTTATTGACCTTCCACCATCCCTGTGACCGAATGCCACCAGGTTCCATGAGAAGGATATAAAGACCGTATTGATTTACCACAATCATCTTGATATCCTAACTTCTTGGACGTCAACGCCTTCGAAAGCCCATCATGATATTTTGGACACACAGTCAGGCTCTATGGAATCCATCTCTTTAGCGAGATCTTCCCAGACACGCTTTTGCGACCCTCTTCCATCTGCATTTGTCATCCATGCTGGCACGCTGTCTCTACAAATAGGTGTCAGCACAATTCAGATCCGTTTTTGGGGTTTGGGTTGAGACTTACTCTCTGACTTCACAATTGCCAAGATAACGGCCATGGCTCTCTTTTCCAGCAATTGCCCCGTGTAGAAGAGTCCGACTTCCCATCTCGGCAGTTCTTCCGATGAGCATGTTTCCGAGCTTGATACTCATCCGCAGGACAAACGGCGAATTTACGCTGAGTTCTGTCTTACAAAACCCAGGGCCGACGAGGTTGACAACTACACCAGTTCGATTGTAGTCAGCCAGAATCGCTAACTGGCGGATGGCAAAGACTTGGATAATTTTGGAGAGCGGATATCTATTTTATCAGAAATTATTTGTGTTCAAAACTCAGTGATTGCATCTTTTCCACGCACCTTTTACTCATATCTGCCAACTTTTCGTCCTTCAATTTTTCGAAGGGATCACTTTCAACCTTTCTCCATTCTGGGCTATCCGCCGTGAAGAAACCGGCCCCGCTGGTGACAACACTAATATGAGGTATGAAACTAAAACGTTTCGCAACTGCCGACATCTTCGGGAGGAGCAGAACTGCCAGAAGTACCGTAGAAATCACGTTGACCGTGATACAAGCCTCGTGTCCTTCGCTCAAAATCCAATCACTCCCTGCAATACCTGCATTCTCAATTAAAGCGTCGATGCGGTCCAATTCGGTAATTGCTTTGTTTGCAAATGCCTTCACTGAGGCATAACTACTCAAGTCGAGTTCCCAAACCTCTACGACGTTCTTGGTATGTGTTGCTGCTTCGATATCTGCCATTGCAGCGTTCCCAGCTTGGGTGTTGCGAACTGCGAGGATGACTTTTGCTGCTTACTTCCACCAAGTGTTTTGCGGCTTCAAATCCCAGCCCTTTATCGGCTCCGGTGACAATGTACGTGGCACCAGAACAAGTCTGTATTGTTACGACAAGAGGTAGACTCATACGTTGATCAGACAGAAACTCGCCGAATGTTATTCCCGCCATGTCTGTAATTGTCGACTGGAATTTGTATGAAAATTCAATAGGTAGTTTTTGAAGAACAAGATGGATGATTGCTTAAGAGATTCGTTCCAGCTCCCTCGTGCATTTGTACAAAAACTACGTGGGCTTTACTACGACTCTCGGAGCTTTCAAAAGGACATAGCTAAAACCCGATAAGTCACAACGACGTCTTGTTCAATTTCAAGACAAATGAGAGAGTGCTTTCCTAACTAGGACCTGAATGGCCGGAGATAATCTGGACATTGGTTCGATGGCAGAGCTATCTCACCGTTCCTTTCTCCAGAAGATAAACTGCTCTTTTTTCACCAATCAAATAGTGGTTTCCTAATCCGGAATAGCGCGGCATCAGCTTCAACAGGAGGGGCCACTGAGTTATTTCAGCCAGGCGAGCCAGGCCAAAAACCCCTGCGAGTTTCTATACATTTTAAAAATTGTCATTGAACATTTTCCTCCAAAACATTAGGACAATCAAATGAAATGAATGTTCTCAAATTAAAAATACAGGATCTTGGTTTTAATATCTAGACTTTCTAGTATACGGTTTTTTAATCTTGCAAATGAACCTTGAGCCAGGAAACAAATTGGGGGAAGTTAGGAGTGTTTATTGCCAGGAGGCCATTCAAAAGGATTTCGAAAAGGTTTCCCGTGATTTAGAGCACATAACAAAATAAAACACGACAACTAATCAGGGGCAAATAAGTGGGAGAAAAACTGTACCGTAGTAAACCCCAAAGCAATGCTTACCCCTCACACGGAAACTGCTAGATTATCGCGAAGCCATTGGTTATAAGGAGAACAGATGGATACGGAGCAGTGACTGCGCGTGCCCCATTCTCAACAATGCTATGAAGATAGGAACGAAGACTGTAGCAAACGCGATCAACCCACAACTTCATTTCTCGGGCTTTTGCCATCTGTAGCAAATTTCATATATCCGCCTATAATTCTCTGCTATTGAATGAGCCCCCTGGATCTCACTCCGTCAGAATTTGAAGGGCAATTATATATTAGCCTCGGCCTTGAGATGCAATCGAGGTGTTACTTCGCCCATCGTCTAGACGCCATGGTACGAAGAACATCGATTTCGAATCTGTACGGACTCCCCGTACGACATCTGGATTATTCAGATTAAGTTGCGGTCTCGTCCCCTCGACGCGGTGAAGTAGCTTAAGAAGCTTCATTTATATGCGATCCCTATCCATAATACCTCAAACCACCTTCTCGAAAGTTTTCTGAATCGGTTTCGCAGCCTGTTCCCAATTAGTATTCTACACACCTAACACTCATGAAAGAAGAGAATCCTACGTCAATAAACTTCTCCAAATCCTTGTCCAAGTTCGCCAGATCATCCTTTCTCTTCTTGTTATCCGCAATAAGCCCCTGCTTCTTCTTCAACAGCCCTTGTCTCTGCTCCTCCAACGCCAATCTTATCGCATGTTCGTGATCGATCCTTGCAATTGTCAGGGCGACTTCATCAGCGTCGCTATGTTCGGGGTGTTCGGCTAGGAATTGTTCCACGGGAATAAGCGGCAGTTGGAGATATTTGTGACTAGTAAAACGGTAAGTACAATTTCACGTAAATGGGCCAGAGAAAAGTAAGACATACTCATATGATTCGCAAGCAGAAATTTCGCCTTGAAGATATCGTTGCTCGTAATACAAGTTCTGAAGTTGAAGATGTAGTCGATCGACCTCCTGTCGCGCCTCGGCCGTCAAAGCCTTTGTTTCTCTCGCTCCAACATGCGCATCCCGATGTGATCCTCGTAGTTGCGCAAGATACGCGAGTAATATCTTTTGCTGTTTGGATATCTGGAGTTGAATTTCTCGCGATGGCTCGTTTGTGGAGGAATAGCCGGATGAGAGATCAAGGAGAGCGATTGCTTGCTCACGCGCCTGTTTCGAGGTTTCCAGCGCCATCCTCAGGGAGGGATCTGTGACGATTGATTCTACGGTCATTCTGTAAGGTGAGAAGCTTGCGTGTGATATATGGGCGTGATGGTGTTATATGTAGAGGTTGAGGTTCTGGGCCACCTTCCAGGTTATTTTTGACGCTTCCCAGGATATTCAGCTAGCGCCGGGATTAAGCAGGGGTGGCACGTACCAAGGCGGGGGAAACTTTTATTTTGATGACCTTCAAAACCCCCACCACACCATCTGAACATTTCCATTCTTTTGAGCATTCACATCAACCACTTCGAGGAAGCTATCTGCCCGCCATGTCTAGCGATCCACCAACCACCAAGGCAACCGTCCTGATTTCCGGTGAAGGTTCTAACCTGCAAGCTCTCATCGATGCGACAAGCAATTTAATGCCGTACCTCAAAATCGTCCGAGTGATTAGCAACAAGGCAAAAGCCAATGGACTCAATCGCGCAAAGGCAGCCGCAATCCCAACCGCATACCACAATCTCGTGTCCGGCAAATACCATAAATTGGGTGAGAAAGATGAAAGTGTGAAGCAAGCTGCTCGAGAGAAGTACGATGAAGACTTGGCAAAATTGATTCTGGAGGATGAGCCGGATATCGTCATTTGCGCTGGTTGGTCATTCGAATATGTGTCTATTCTGCTCATGCTGACGTATTCGTAGGTTGGATGCACATTCTTACTCCCAAGTTTCTGGATCCTTTAGAACAACGGACCCCTAAAATCCCTGTCATCAATCTACATCCTGCCTTACCAGGAGCATACGATGGAGCACACGCTATCGAAAGAGCCCACAAAGACTACCAGGATGGGAAGTTAGAAAACGACACCACCGGCATCATGATACACTACGTGATCAGCGAAGTAGATCGTGGCGAGCCGATTGTCGTAAGAATGATTAAGTGCAAGCCATCAGAAACATTAGATGAGCTGGAAACGAGAGTTCATGCCGAAGAGCACCAATTGATTTTGGAGGGAACCCAAATGGCAATTCACAATCTCTGGGGGCAAAGATCCAAATCAAATTAATAAAATCGTCTTGGTATGGAAAAAAAAAATGCAACGCCTGTCCAGTTTTAATATACATGACTTCGTAATGCTAATATTTGAGAAAGGTGGTGGTACAAAAATGGTATCGCAATTACTGAACAGGTGTTTCGGGTAATGCCTTATTCTTTGAATCTGCCCTCTTTACAAATGGTTTATCTCCTTTCTTTGGGTTTGGGGTATTCTGCCCGGACCCATTGGATTCGCCGACCGTCCTTCTCTGCGAGGGAATCCATGACATGAAAAAGTCAACGTCCTTCGCGATGGCTCCAGGCACTGCCAAATTTTGCATCCATTGCGGAAGGACACCTTTGGCGTTCGATGCTGTTGCCATAATCCATTCGATATCGGAGTTGGCTGGAAGAATACGAATACGTTCAATGGAAGTATACGCTGCGATGACCAAACTCTTATCTTTCGCAAACTCCGAATAGGGCGATTTCTCAAAATCGTTCAGCGGAATGGAAACGACAATGAACTCCTGCGCTCCTACCAGATCTGCAGTGATTTGGATAACAGGAAAAGTTCTGTTGTTGAGAGGTTTAGGCTCAATTCGATGCTTCATCTCCTCCACAGCCACGAGAATATTTTCCCATTTCTCGCCGGAAGCTTCGACTGTCATGCCAGTTGTATCCCACTTCATCGCTTGCCTCGCTTCTATAACTGTTGGTGTAAAGGCTTTTTCGGATTCGGCATGGTTGTCTTTGAAATTATGCCTAAATTCCTCCCATGAAGCTGTACCATTCTCAGATATATTCCTATGTACTGATCTCCTACAGCACCAGAACTCCGAGCTTCTATCGGCACTGAATTGGCTCATTCCCTCCACCTGGTCCAATTGCTTTCCAGGTACTGTCCATTCGTAAAGTTGAACCGGCGCAGCTGAGGATGAGAATGTTTTTGGCGTGCCTTTCATTTTCCATGTTGTCGCACTGCCCGATTTTGGCGCAACACCATCAATGAATCCAATTGACTCTGAAAGTACTGATTGAATGAAGGATTCGACAGATGGAGCTTGCACTGACCCTGACCTATCCTCAGAACCTTGCGCAGGAGATGTTGAGTTGGTGATACCCTTTGCGCCCGGTGGTAATTGCTTGAAAGAGATTCCCTCGAGTCGTACCCAAGGCCCTAGCTTATACGTCATGTTGAAATGCTAAGCGGTTGCCGATTTCCTCGCTTGTTGGTTGTGAATATGTTCTTTTTCCAATCCTACGAAGAAGCGTCGGTGAATATCTGACCAGCAGCTTCTGTCGCGAGAAGAAAGGTCGCGCAAAAAAATATTAGGCAATTATGATCTGTGACGGAGTCAAAACATGACGATCCTTGCAAGCACCCGGTCTTACCATGGAGTACGGGCTCCACTGTTGGTATACTCTTATGGTTTTGATGATAACGAAGATTGCTCCGTTATGGGAACAATTTGCAAAATTGATCGAATGAAATGAAAGGGGGTGAAGGGAAGACGTTGACTTAGATGAAAGGGAGAAGAAAGCCAACAAGTACAAGTATTCAGAAGGGCACGAATTGGTTTGACTAACCAGATGGAGATGATGTGTGAGGCAAAACGGCTCGGATGTTGGTATCTCCTCCAGAGTGCATTAGCTTCGAGCTTGTTTTGGTAAGTGATAGAAGACCCGTGTAACATAGGACAAGCCCTTGTAATAATTGGAAGGTCCAATTAGTGTGAAGAATATATACCCCAAATCCACCTGTCTACTGAGCGAACAGGGTGAACAATCGATTTCAATGAACTGAATTCAGTTGGTGAAAAAAGTGACGATGTCGAAGTTCCAATGTCGCAGAAAAAGGTTCCGGAGGCACGGACCAACAAGCGAGCTCGACGCCGATCGCCCGGCAGCATAAGTGTAGCATGAATTACCTACCAGCCCAGGCGGAGCTGGCAGGGTCAGTAGCTTCTCTTACAAACAACAACAACCATATAGCAAATCCAGTACTTTTCAAAATGACTACCCTCAAAGGCCCAGGAGCTGCACAGCAGCATGATGGTAGTGAGCTACGAATTGGTATCGTTCATGCTCGTTGGAATACCAGTATGTACTTCCAATTCTCCTGCCCTGTCCCAAGAACGTATCTTGCCAAAAGAACACTATGTCAATTGGCATATCAGCATAGACGAGTCTTTTATATCTCTTATTCTCTTTACTCATCAAGATACAACGTGACTTATTGGCAGATGCTCAGCGCAAAATCCCCAGGAATCTTCAAACCGTTTGCTAACGTACAATTACCCCTCCATAGCAATCATCGACCCCCTCCTCGCCGGCACGAAAGCCAACCTCCTCGCTTCTGGTGTCAAGGAATCAAATATAATCGTCCAATCTGTTCCCGGATCCTGGGAACTACCCGTTGCGTGTTCCAAGTATGACTCCTACCTGTCCCAACCTACCTCCTCTGCCTGAACCCCACCATCCCTCCTCTTCTCTCTCAGTTCCCTCCCTTTCCCCATACCTCCACCATCAAGCACCCATCTCCTAATCCACCAAACTAACCCCAAACCCACAGACTCTTCTCCGCCTCTCAAATCCAATCCTCCCAAACCTCCTCCCTCTCCGCCACCGACCTCCTCGGCTCCACCTCCACAGCCGACCTCACAAACCTAACCCTCACCCCCTCAGGCGAGGCCACCAGCGCCCTCTCCGGCCCCTTCGACGCCATAATCGCCATCGGCGTGCTCATCAAAGGCGAGACCATGCACTTCGAATACATCGCCGACGCCGTCTCCACGGGCCTCATGCGCGTCCAACTCGACACCGGCTGTCCCCTCATCTTCGGCCTCTTGACCGTCCTGAATGAGGACCAGGCCAAGGCGCGAGCGGGCATCACGTCGGGAAGTCATAATCATGGCGAGGATTGGGGATTGGCGGCTGTGGAGTTGGGGGTGAAGCGGAGGGAGTGGGCGGCGGGGAAGTTTTCTTAGGGATGGTTGCGTAAATGAGGGTGGGGTTCTGATGTTTTGTGGGGACTTTTACATGCTTGATTTGGAGTTCTCTGCGTGGTTCTTAAGCTGTCAATAACGTGAGAGAGAGCCTTTTCTTTTTGACTCAAGTCCCTATTGTTATGGAGTGCAAGGGGAAACTGGAAGTGTTAGACAAAAAAAACTAGAAACCGATTTAAACCGACTCAAAAAAAAATGACACCAAGATCCGCTTTGAACCGATTTATCCAAAAAATCACAGTACGTGAAGTTTTGGCTTGGGATTGATTATATTACTATACAAGTCATAGCTGTATTTTTTTCCAAGAAACGCTGGGCGTGATCCAATTCTGATCCAAAGTTTTCTGAACGCCAATAATGCCATGCCTATTAAACACATCTCTCTTACTAAAAAAGTCTAACTCACGTTTGTTTCCTGTCAATTCATCATGGTGTGTAACCCAACATTTCTTTCAAGCCATTAGCGTCCTTCTTGGTCCTCCACTTGGACTTCTTCTTCTCTCTCTTTTTCGCCATCTCCTCCCAACCCTCTTCCTCATCCTCCTCATCCAGGTGTGACTTGGGAATGGTCTTGATGGTGGTCTTGTTTTCCCATCCTGCCCCTAGAGCGCCAGACATAGTCGAGGTCCTAGACTTATCCGCCGTCGGCAATTGCGATACAGGTCTATATCTCCCAGGCAACCCAACATTGCTTCGCTCCGAAGGGGCTATTGAAGGTGCGTAACCTTGTCCTTGGGCATGAACAGTTGGTGCATACGTGGGATTGTGTTGCTGCTGCATCCAAGGGGCCGAGTTTACATCCATCGCCGTCATTGCTCTTTGATGTTGGTGGGCGCTTCCGGGGCGAACCGAGGGGCTGCCAGGTCGTGGTATCGACAATGACTGGTTTGACATATGCCCACCGCCGATATTCATGGGTGGGAGCTGTGGAGCCGCTGGTCCAGGCTGCTGAGCCGGTTGCTGTCCTCCACTAGCCATCATTTGCATGAATTGCATCTGCATCTGCATGAACTGCTGCATCTGTTGGGTCATTTGAATTTGAGCCTGGTCTCCTGGCGTCAACATCGGCATCATGGGCATTTGCATTCCTGGTGGCATCTGCATTCCAGGAGGCATCATACCCATCATACCATTTGCTGGTCCACCAGGTCCACCAGCCATGCCCATAAATCCTCCTGGTGGCATTGCAGGAAACTCTCCTTGGGGATTTGGACTGCCTCTTCGTAGAGCTCGAGATCGTTCTTCAGACGCAATGACACCTACCAGACCACCTGGTGGTGGCATGCCTCTAGCAGGACTAGCTGCGCCATGAACAGACTGAGCACCGTTGTTAGAGAAGGAAAGTGACTCGCGGGGAGCGTGGTGAACTAGACCGGCTCCATAGTAAGGATCCTCTGGCAAGTTTCGTGCAAAAGGAGGGAGTCGTGCATCTACGACTCCGCCAGCGGCAGTCTGAGCCGATCCTCGTAAATTGGGGTTCGATGCCACCCTTGGAGGTCTGTTCTTGTTGGGAAATCCATGGGCTTGCAAGATTGCGAGTGGAATCTCCTCATCCTCCTCCTCACCTTCCTCAGACGGCTTTCCCAAAGTCAAAGCCAAATCGGGACTGCTCTGAGCTGCAAAAAGACTCGTACGATTTAGCGGTGTAGAGGTTACTGCAGGTCCAGAGCTTTTTTCGCCCGTAACCTTCATCATCTGCTGTCGGTAAACAGCCATATGTGCCTCTTGTTTTCGACGCTGTTTGGCCAGCTGTTTGTTCTTCTCCGTCTCGTCTTCTTCGTCGTCGTAATTCAACTCCTCGTCGTCGTCATCCTGAGCCGTACTAGAGTGCCCCCCGTAACTCTTTCTCAGTCGTTCCTGGTCTTGTCTGTATCGCTCGAATTGTGCCGGAGTCATCACCTTGCTCCCAGGCGGACCGGAATGAGCGGTGTTGCGAGCTGGAGGTGGAGGTGAGAGAGGCGTCTCCGTAAATTGTTGGGCCAGGGTGGCAGACACGAGGATGTTGCTGTCGAACAAATCATCATCCTCCCTTGGATCGGCTTTCATGGCTTTGGGTGTTGTTTCGACTGAGCCAGATCTCCAATTTTGGTTGACAGTTTCATCAATTTGACGAGGAGCAGAAGGTGGATTTGCCCAGTTTTCTCTGGCCCCAGTATTATACGAGGGATCGTTCATGTTCATTCGTCGGCTCGCGTTTACCGATTCTCGCATAAGCCGTGCATCCTCATCGACAACGTCGCCATATTCGAGAGTAGATTGCCTTTTTGCTGAATATGCACTAATTCTCCTCAACCCATCAGTTGGTCCTCCCGGCTTCTGAGGTCGGCTGTACGACATCGTGTTATGTTGTGGAACTGGAGGCGGGCTGGCGTTGCGCATTAACCCGTCGTTGGAATGCTGGCTAAATGGGGAAGGGACCGGTGGGTAGACCTCCTTCTGTCTATCGATCGTCAATTGAGCAGGTTGGTTGTTATATCGGTCCTAAAAATTCATTAGTTCATATCTTGAAAGTTTCGTGAATCGAACATACTTGATTTTGAGTATTGTTGGCCTCTACTGCCTGACTTCTGCGTTTCCCGAATCCGGAGAACATATCTGAAAAATCCCCCAGCCCCAGATCCTTCTCGCCAGCAATCTTTGGAGGAGTTGCAGTGCTTGCATAACTGGATGTTGTCACAGCTCGAGCACGACCAACAGGTTCCTCTTCCTCAATTGTAACGGGAGAGCTGGTCTCCTTAGGAGGAGATGGGGTTGGTGCATTCTTGTGTCGTCCCCACGACAATTGACGACCCGCATTCTTTAACGATAGTTTAGACGAGGATTTTGGTATCGAGGATTTGACTTCACTCGGAGGTCTGTAGTGAGTAGTTCGCCAATCATCTCTCCCCGACACATCTGTAGATGAGGGAGCGGTGGATGCTGCGCTTAGTCTGGAGGAATTGTCTGTTGTGGAAGCAGTGTTCGTATTTGAAGCTCCACTACCACTTCAGGGCTACCGTCAGCGATGCTTATAGTTACCAAATTTGGTGTATAGATATTGCGTGGTCTCCATTCATTGACCTAGGGAAAACTCACCGATTCTTGCCCATATTCTCGAACATGTTTCCCTGGATCAGATGAGCAGTTTGCGGACGGGATGGAGGTCCATTTAAAGGCTTTCCAAATTTATTGAGCCCCCCATCGAATGACTTGTTTCTATTGCTATCCGGTCGTTCGAAGACCTTGAATGTGGATTCTGTGGGTGGAGGTTCCGCGCCGTCCTCTAAAGGATTGACAACGGATTTTCGTCGCCCGAATGCCCTTGGAAATTTAGGCATTTAGAATGTGTTGAAAGTTGAGATGGTCCAATTACTCAGACCAGCTCAGGAGAGGATAGAGCCAGCTAGTGTAGAAATCATGTATCTGATAAAGCAATGCGAAAGTGAAGGTATAATGATCGATCTGGGCTGGTGGAGCAGACAAATGTGCTATTCGATGTGGTAAAAGGATAGAATTAAGGCAGGTTTGGTGGATTGATACTTCGTAAGGAGGGGAACGGTCTGTTGGGCACACAGAGTGAAGAGTCAGCACGATTATTGAAGCTCCAATGCAAGTTTCCGGTATCTGGGGCTGGGCGGCAGTGGTGTGTGGTCCCAGTGGTAAATCGTGGCCAGTTGCATGCAATCCGCTGCACGATATCTTTCGTCCTCGGACAATTTGGGCGTCTCCGCAGGGGGTTCCGGAGATGGTGGTTGGGATGTTGACGAAGGGGGCCTCGGGCGGATGCGCGAACGACTCGAGCCGGTCGAAGGCACGATGAGGCAATTCGCAGTGAATTGCTGTTGGGTTGGGGGTGAGGGCACGTTTGTTTTATTTTAGGTTGGGATTGGGGTGAGTTAGGACGAAGGCTGGGACGACGTCTAGCTCGAGTCGAGGCGGGCGGGAGGCGGCTGATAGCGTGGTGGTTTGTTGATGTTGCGGTCCAAATATAGACTGACGGGGCCTCTGTAGCCCAGCCAGAGCAACGCAAAGGCAAAAGCGACCAGTGCCAGTAGTGCCAGTGCCAGAGGATAGTGCGCAGACCCGCCACAAATGGAAAGGAGATGAAGGAGATGAGATTTTGCTTACCAGGAGGACCACAACGTCTGCAGTAGTAATGAAATGGCCCGATGGTCGGGGGATGAGCAGCACACCAGATGAAATGCAGATGTGGGAAAACAATGCTGTGAGCGCGAGCGAGCGTTGGGAGTTGAGAATGAAAAGAAGAGCGTACGGAGGACGGAGGCCGCTGGTGTGTCGAGCTGGGTGTGGGTGTAGGTGCAGGTGCAGAGCTGTGGCAGGTGCAGGTCAGGTTGGAGAGATACGGGATGGATCATGGGCGTGGATGGGGATGGGACCTCGTGTTTTCCTTGACGTCTGCTCTTGCGCACACAAGCCTGATTTCTAGCTTCCGTGCACTGTACTCGTACTGCAACTGTATGAAGTACCTACTCCGTACGCTCACTAGGGACTGAGCAAGGCAGGGGCAGACCGAAGCAGGACGAGCCGGACTCTGCACTGGAGCTCGAGCTAATCTGGTTTGGGGAGACTCCCTTTTACGATGCGGAGATGTGCAATCTTAACCCCATTACGAGGCGTAATCTATGAAAACATTCATTGTAGGACTGTAATAAGTCATCGTCTGCCGTTTCTTGTCTCTGATATTGTGATTGGTTGGAGAAGCGGCAGCAGAGTGAATTTATATGAATTTATATAAGTGTGTATGAATATATATACTTCCAGGTACTCGTGGCATGTGAATACCTCACCTAACCTAGGTAATGAATGGGTGAATAACCTTGATGGCAAGATCAGACGGAGGCTCAACTAAACTTCACTCAAGTGACGACGACGAGCCCTGTCCCCTCTCTCACTTGCCCGTCAGGTAACGATGCCGTTCCTAGATTCGCTTGATCAGATCGCCTCTTCGTGGTGTTCATCACCATCCTGGCTGCAGATTTCCACCATACTCGACGCCCCAGTGGAAGGCCGTTGGATTAGGATTAATACTGCGACCACTTGCGGATGCTTGTTAGAAGTATATCAATTCGTCGCTGCCCAGTGCCCAGCTTTGCAACCTTGCAACTTCTAAAATCGGACTTCTCGGCATTGGCTTCTCTTCCGAGATCTTATACTCCCTACCGACCCTACCAAAACCTGATCTATACTTTTACAACCATACGACGTGCCAACTCGTAAAACATTTGGGCACCTGCACCTGCACCCGCACCCAAAATACCGAGGCTCTTCTCATCTGTACTTGTACCACTACTCCATCCGGATCCAAACGCTGTGAAACCTCGCAATGGCAAGACACCTCGACGCGCTGTTGATGGCGAAAGCTTAAAATAAGACGAGACCAGGTCTGAGGTCTCAGGCCCTGGGGTCCAGCTTCAAACATGCAGCTTTTGCACACCAAAAAACGACTTGTCGAATAATGGTTCATCATCAATCTGATCCAACGCGAAACGTATCCTCATATTCAAACTTCTCTCTCACAAATGAAGCTTTCTCTCGCAGTAAGCTTGAAGGGTGGCACGAGTTTTCAAAACAAGGGACGACGCGGAATTTCCATCTACAACCCAAAATATACTTCGAAGTAGAAGGTTGTCTCACAGATCCATGGTTTTCCGAAATAGAACGATCAAAAAAACGGACCACCCGTTCGAGTTTTCAACATTCATGACGTTCGCAAAGGATACTTCTTCCAGCACTGACCACCATGACATTTCAAGCGAAAAACCCATCAGCGCCGCAACGCGAGAAACCCCTGAACCCCTATTTCCATACATACACGCCTCATCTCCTTCCTCCCTCTAGAACACGATACGATCAATCAATTCACCATCTCAAAAAACGCCAGGATCCCGATCGCATGAAAACTAAACGACACCCACTCGTACTCCCGTATATTTACAATCAACAGAGAAATAAAAAAGAAGCGCCACAACCACCTCATCACCAAAAAAAAATCCCTGAACAGCTGGATAACACGGACACGGTCCACCTGCACAAAATCCACTCCCTTGGCATGCCCGCTCCCGCATAGCCAGAGGCCCAGAGGAAAAAAAACCCCTACCCAAATCGAGCCTTCTCGCCCCGAATGAACCCCACCTCCAACCACATCTCATAAACTCCGCCTCCCCAAACCAACCACAACCCTCTGTCCCCTTTCTCCCAACCCCAAAAGAGGCAATCCTGAGGAAAAACCTGGAAACTCTAAATCCAATCGAGCCCACTCGTCCTAAAAATACTCCGTACCCAATAGGATAGGTGCACAGTGCACATAGCAACGGAGACACCTCAACTTGCGCCAGGAAGTTCAAATTCTGTGAAAAGCCGATGTGAAGCGAATAATGACTTACAGATGCGCCTACAGCAGAAGAAGAAGCCTGACTGCAGTAGCCTCGACGAAAGGGGAAAGCCACTCACCAACATCATACAGCCCCTTCGCAAAAGTAGCAAGATATTTCGCAGCCCCAGAATCTGCAGAAACGGTGGGAATAGGCAAGTCACATACAAAATACTGTACCTTGCAAAATACCTTGCAACACACTAGTAAGATACCCTAGAATCTTGCTGCTGCACACCATCCATCGTGTCCAAACTTGAGTTCCTCATTGGTTCATGACCAACTCTATTCTCCTGACTGATCCGCTGGACCTGGCTTTCGACAATTTGTATAGCGAGAGGCTGGCCAGAAGAGAAGAGTACGTATTCCATACATTTCCAGACGTTAGTTCAAACCAGCCTAAACAAGCCAGCCTCCTGTCAAGAACAGGAGGCCGGTAAACTAACCAAGATAGCCAAAGGACTAAAAAAGATTCCGCTCCGCTGCAACGACCTAATGTCAGGGGAGGTTGGGAAGGAACTAGTACTGTAAGATCTACAGCACTGCAGTGATGACTCTATCTAGATGAACTAGACGTAGCCACCACCACCACCAACATGACACCGGCCAGACTAACTAACTTAACCTCGAACTACACCATTGCACCCATAGTGTTATGACCGAAACACACCACCGCCACAAGACACATCCACTCCCTACACAGAAATTTCAGAAAGGAAGACACATGAAAAAAAACATAGATTCCATCACTCAACGCAGCTGCATACTCGTTACGTATGTCAAGAAAGTTCGCCAAAGGGTTGTTGGTAATACTATGTATAATTAATCTCAAACCCACCTACCACTGTCTGTCGACCCAACCAGAATCCAAGTATCGGGGTCGTTGGGCAACATCTCTAAATCTACTAGTACATACTCGGCGCAAGAGTAGCCAAAAAAAAGGAAAGGAAAACATGATTAGAGAAGGCCAAAAAAGGAAACAAAAGAAAATTCTCCAACGTTGATACAGGTAGGTAGGTACTCGATACATTTTCACCGCCCTGATCCCCCCATCCCCCCATCCCATTTTCAAAGCCAAGGCAAGATATTCAACGCCGTGTCTCTTTCCCAAACATGACAAAGTTCGGAAAATCTGCCGAAGATGCATACGCCACCTGTGGTGTTCACAAAATCCCGGTGGTGGGTGTTTCGAAGAAGAAAAAAAAGAGAAAAAAAGGGAAGTCTTACCCCACACCTACCTCCCCCGCCATCCCAATTACTTCCCACGCCTAATTTACAAAGCAACCGACCATCCTTCCACCGCATGAGGCGTCTACTCGCCTTGCTGGGCCATGTGAGTAGGCAGGTTCCAGCTGGCGTAATCCGAATGGACGAACGCGCGATCGACAAAGGGGACGGATTCCAGAACGTATTGCAGGGACTCCCCGAGATCGTGACTGTCCCGCAAGCTCATGTTCTCGTCCAGCACAATGTCGACCTCCACGTTGAGCTTGTCCCCGGCGTGATAGGCTTGCAGCCCTTGGATCTGCTTGATCGTTCGGGCGAAGCGCATCGTGAGATACAGCAGGATGTTTCGCTCGTCGGCGGTTGCGGCTGCACCTGACAGATTGCGGATGTGGCCTGCAGATGTATCCGCCCAGTTGATGATGACGAAAAGGGAGAGGAGAAGGCCTCCGAGTGCGTCAAGCCACCATAACTTGGCGTAGAAGCCGACTGTCAGAGAGTTAGCATCTCAAGAGAGGTAGGACTTGTAGTGCCCGGGAGTCTTTTGAACTAAAAGGTCCCTACGAAGAATTTGAAAGGAATAGGAATCATACCTAGAGGAAAGATGATACTGAAGACGTTAAAGACAACATCAGTCATAGCATCCTGGGCCAATGCTTGTACACTAGAGTTCTTAATAAGTCTGCACCAAAGCCAGCATAAAGCCTTGATCAGAACCGTGGACGACATGATGATAATCGCAGGGAGGGTCAATTCGATAATCTCATGATCCCCCGAGTTCAAACGGCTGATACACTCCAATCCAACTTGACAAAAGGAGGTAATCATGATGACGGAAAAGACGAGAACCCCAATCGGTTCCAAACGTCTTCGCCCAACAGGGTACTTGTACTGATCTTGTCTCTCAATCATCTTGGTAGTCGTCCAGACAATGGCCGTACTTAGAAAATCCAGAGCAGCATCTACCAAACTTGCCAGAACCGAAAGAGAGCTGGTGAGAACAATGACAGCGATCTTTCCTGCCAATAGAACCGCATTTGCCACCAGATTCATGTAGATGGCAATTTGAACAATTCTATCACCACTTTCCACGCTGTCGTCCTCTATGCCAGGGATTTCGGGCCCTGGAACATCTTCTTCTTCATCATCCTCCACGGCCTGTGAAAGCAGTGGTGTTTCTTCCGAAACCTTATATATTTCCCGGGGCGTCCGCTTGACTTTCTTCGTCAGACTCTGGGAGCTATTGCCACTTGAAAGCTCGGAATTGGGAGTAACAGGCTCATCCTGCTCCTTGATGGTTGGTGGTACCTCCAATCCATTTGATCCCGTACCGGTGGGCCCTGCAGATTGCACACAGCTCGGGGTATCGTTGTACTCATTGAGGAGATCATGCGGAAGGGAGCTGTCGAGGAGCCTATCGATGTAGATATATTGCTGCACCAGGTTGTTGGTACGCTCGTAGTATTCTCGTCTGGGTCTCATCAGCCAATGGCTACTTGTGAGACCATAGTGACCGGTACTGGTGATACATACATGGGTCTCTTCATCCTCTTCAGCTCCCCCTCCGTCTTCCAATACTTCTCCCACATATACCGCGGATTGGAATTTCCAATGAGTCTCTGACTTCGCATTTGCGGTCCATTGAGAATCGAGCTCAACCGTCGCTCGTCGGTTAGGCTCCGACGCGAATCTTCAGCATCAATGTTATCCTGACTGTGACGGCGGATTCTGCTGCCCGTTCCCAACCCCAATCCCAATCCCAATTCCTCGTCGTTTGGCGCCTCGCGACCGCGCACAATGGACCCCCTTTTATCCATTGTCTGTATGGAAGCACTAGACTGCGATCTCAAGAGACTACCTAGAGTGCCCTTTCCATGCGTGACCATTGGGTTCGCGTCGTCTGCTAGAGGGAGGAACCCAGAGACCCTGCTAGGTTTGGGAGAAGGCAGCGAGTCGGACGTCATGTTGGAAGGTCATTAAGTGGTGAAGAAAGATAAGGGCTACCTGAATAAATATATCATGTTCTTATTTGCCAAAAGCAAACGCACATGTCGTCCAGTATATCCTTTCATGTTGTTGTCAAATAAGGCCAGTGGCCAAGCTCCCGACGAACCCTTTCGCTCATAGCTTGTGGGATGAACCCCGCTATTTTGGGGCGAATCCCGCCCAGATCGCATGAAATGACATGGAGCATCCGATGAAGGTTATCTATCGACTGATATTGTCATATATCATATCGCAAAATGATTTCTCTAGAGTTAAAGTAGCGGAAGTGCGGTACGAGTCTACTTCAATCTGATTGTAACGAGCAAGTTATGGTGCAGAGACATAAAAATTAGAAAGGTGCCTTTTATCACATCGAGAAATAGAGCCATTCAAAGCGACAAGTTTACACCGTTGCCTAGTTGAGAACGAACAGGTGAGAACTAGGTGCTGGATTCTACTTCGCTCATGATATCGTAACATCCGTGGTCCACCAATCCCTAGAAACAAGCCAGTTCATAAACCAATAGAGACGCCAATTCCTGCCCAGGGTATCTCAATCCAGAAGCACTTCCAAAAAGCCAGTCAGCCCAAGACGAGAGCAAACTATCCTATATATACTTCAATAAATACAACCTCCTCGTCTTCTTCCAAGTCTGCATCTCCAAGCAAAGAATCCGGCTCCAATGTATCCCCTTCCAATTTAAGAGAGATGTTAGTGTATTCTGGGATGCTTTTGACTTTCCGGAATGCGTCAATAAGTTTCGCAATTGGTGTTGTAGACGCTGCTTTTAGCCTATGTTCGCCATGCGCTTTTGACTTCATGATCAACTTCATTCTGTTCTCCTTAACTTCTGGGTGTTCGGACTCCTCCTCCACCTCAATACCCTCCTTCTCATTCTGGATCCTTCTAGCTTCCCTCTTCTGATAAATGTCATAAGTCTCGTCGGTCCAGGCCTCCAGATGTACTTTGCCCTCACGCACGCCAGGTCCATCCTCTAAGTGACCTGTTGGATGGAGTTTGAGACCGAGGGAATGACAAGTCGTCGCATCGAACAACCGCTTTTTCTTGTACGTTAAAAACACCACATCTTTAGCCTCATCGCTTGAGAACACATTCACTCCATTAATGACCTGCTTATCACACCAAACGAATTTGACTTCCTTCAATCGAGCGAGTAACCTCCTCTTGACCATCAGTGGTATCGAACCTTCAATTTCACTGCTTATAAGGATCTCAACAACCGGGTTCGGAATATCTTCTTTCAGTCCAAAAATATCATCGTCATCTTGGTGGTTCTGCTGCAAAAATGCTTGGCTGGACTTCAGTTTTGCAGCCTCCTTTAGTCTGGCACGTTCAGCGGCGGCTTGTATTAGCTCAGGAAACTCTTCATCCGACATCTGATCCATTTCGTCAGGCACTTGTACTGGTCTCGACTTGGTAACATAGAGATCGTCATCGTCTTGGAGAATATGTGCATAGGGTCCCAAATTCCGAGCTGCTGGTACAACCTTGTCAACGTCGTCCTCGCTGTCACTCAAACTTATGATGGCATTATTTCTGGCAGAATTATTGCTTGTAGAATTTTGTAACCCCTGGCTACTGCTGCCTTCGCCTTTAGCTTTATGCGCTTGTGGTCTTTCCGGCTGTGGGGTCGTATGCGATATGCGGCTGCCCGGAGTAGAGTGAGTTGATTCCCTGTGTCAATTAGTAGAGATACAGACATGACATCGACATGGAGCTACATACTTGCGGGTTCGAGGAATCTCTTCATCAGAACTATACAGGCTCTTTGACATCCGCGGCCTCTTTTCTTCCGGGGTTGCTTGCTTCTCTGCGCTCTCCGAGTTCCTCTTGCGCTCGAGTTTCACGGCCTTTTTCTGCCTCCTCTTCTCCTCTTCTTCCAAGCGTTTCGGGAATAATTCCTTCGATCGACTGAAGAAATCGACAGCCTCGCCTTCGGGTGCTCGTTTCTTGGGTTTCCTGAAAGCGAACAAAGAGCGCTTGGGAGGAGGCGCCTTGGGTTTTTGGGGCTCCTCTTCGAAAGGATCCGATCCCTCATTCGACATGATGATAATGCAGCGAGTTCGTCGGTAGAAGGTGGTTGTTGCAAAGTGTTGTAAAGTGTGACGCGTGGGAAAGGTGAACAGGGGAGTCGGACGTGAAAGGCTGCACGAAGTCACGCTAGCGTAGTTTTTATACAAAGTGCCCGCCCGCATCTGGAACTATCGTGAGGCTGTGATACCAACCACGACCCCACCAAAATAAACCTTGCGTACCTCATCTCCAAATCAGCCTCCACTCAGTCCGAGACAAAGACTCTCTTATGAAAGAAGTCGCAGTAACTGAATACTCATCTTCGTTATGGAGAACGGAAGTGCAACTCAAGGCGAGGGCAGAGATCCCTCGGGGTTCCTGAGCGAGATCATTGGTAGCTCCGTCACTGTGAAACTGAATAGTGGCGTGGTTTACAAAGGCACGGTGAACTGTTCTGGAACTTGCTAGTTTTACAAATGCTAATACTGAGATTGCAGGCGAGCTTCAATCCGTGGATGGTTACATGAATATTGCCTTGGAGAAGACGGAGGAACATGTCAATGGCGTAAAGAAGAGAAGCTATGGAGATGCATTCGTTCGCGGAAACAATGGTGAGATATACTTGAGAACCCATGACCCTAGAGGTAATGCTAATATCCGTTCTTGCAGTAATGTACATCTCTGCAGATTAATTGAGAAGAACGATCAGATGACGGAACACAAAGGCACTTGAAGGGAGCTATGGAGAATTCGAGGCATTTATCAAGGCGTTAAATACATGCAGAATTTCTGCTGGACGCCAGGCCATAGAGACAGATGCAACTACCCGGTCGAGGCTCGGTCATACAAATTTGATCCATTTATGAGGCTATTCCCAAACTACCTTACATAGGTCCCTCAAATCCGGGAGGTCCATGCCAAATGCGTGCGTCCATGAACAGTAACCTCGCCAGCTTCATTCCGTTCAACGCCATCTTCTTTGAGAGATTCGAAAAACGCCTTTTTAACTTCACCCAGCTTCTCTCCTTTTAGATTTGCAACCTGACTCAGGCTATGAAACCTCGCCCATAGATCCTCGTCCTTCAAATACACAATCCATTCAACATCCTCCGACCCTAGAGGCAGTGAAAAATCGGGTGTGTTGTGAGTAAACGTGTCCTTCAAAGCCTGTAACGGAGAGGTTTCTGTTTGGCTGTCAAAGATCATCTGCCATTCAAGGTCTCTAAACCTCGGGTGCCCATCTTTAAGCGTTCGAATGGTATCTTTGAGCTTCTGCGCCCATTTACTCCTTGGCTTCCATGAAGTGGGTGCATTGTCTGTTTCTCATTAGCTGCAATCCGCGTCGTCGACAGTAGATTGGAATCTTCTGGGTGGGAAATCTTACAATCTTCGACATTCCAAATAAGTCCCAAAGCACCTCCAGGTTTCAGAACTCGATGAGTCTCTCTCAAAGCATCCCTATTAGCAAACCAATGAAATGCCTACACCACCATATATCAGCTTTCCCATCTCTTCTCTAAAGTGAAAACAAGACAACCCAAATCAAGATCACAAACCTGCCCAACAACAACCCCATCAGTCCAATCCTCTTCCACCTCAATGCTCTCCACACTCCCCTTTCTAACACTGACACCCTCCAACCCCTTCTTCTCCAACTCCCCTCTCATCCCCTCATGAGGCTCAATGGCCAAAATCTCATATCCCTCGCCTCTTCACGACAAAGCCTCCGTCAACTTCCCCGTTCCACTACCGAGATCAATAATCTTTGCCCCCTTGACACCTGAGAGATTAATGTGAGTGAGTAGTTTTTCCACGGCTTGGGGTGGGTAGGAGGGACGGTGAGTATCGTAGGATGAGGCGTCTGAGAACCCCGTTGAGGCGCGGGGGTCTAGTATGAAGGGTTGCGTCATTTTCTCCGAAGAATGTGGAGATATCTTTGTGAAGGGTCTTGAAGTTAGATGAATTGTGTAATTTGTAAGGTTGATTCTGTGGGAACTTAGAAGTGGTTGTGGTTGTTTGGGATGTTGCGATGATCATGGTACCTGCCTACTTAGGTACGTCACACTTCCTCCAATTGAGAAAGCAGGGATTGGCCGGGGCATTTTATTGGATAAATAAAAAGCATGGCACAAGCAAGAACACCACTTTGTGGTTGTCACTAACCGTGGCAGTGAATAGCTCCCATTACCCACAGGTGAGGGCAGAGGGCCAGGATGCTGTAGGGGTTGCTAGTGGCGTGGATAAATATTTGAGAATCTGGGGTAGGAAGAATCACTGGATTGCCTGGCAATCGTTACGTATGGATGGCTTGATTCCAAGACCCTTCCGAAACCCTAATTGATCTATGTCTTAAAATCCATGCAAGCGTCACATAACCAGCGATATTTTGATCCCCGAACAGTATTAAATTAGACCGCTGGGGGCACTACGAAACGAAATCTATGAAATGAACTCTACGAAATGAACTGTACGAAACGAACTCAATCCAACCTGGCATTCCAAATCCCTCCCTTCTTTAACCATAATCGACAACTCGCTTAGTAAGGAATACCGTTAGTCAGAAGCTGGAACTGATCATAAACACCAGTCGAATAGCTCGATTGACTCCTCTTAATCAAACCTCTCATGAAGTCCGCCGCCTCTCTTTCACTCTTGTCCGGCACAAATCTCTCCTTGAAATGTTGAATGGTCTCGGGTTTAAAACATGGAAGACCTGAATCCATCATCAACAAGACGAGCTGGGAAAGCTTTTCGGTGTACTGGCGAGAAGCGAGGAAAGCCTTGACACACAGTTCTTCAAACCATTTGAAGGATTGATGATCTGTGCTTCCTCCCATGACAGCAACCATCTCTGTAGTAAGCTTGAAAGGTGCTCTCTCGAACTTCACTCCACCGGGAGCAATATCGAAGCAGAATCCAAAATCGATGTGCAATATGTGACCAGCATCATCAATCATGATATTTCCGTTATGTCGATCTTTGAATTGTAACAAGAAAGAGATAATCGAGTAAGCAGCCATACTTTTGACAAAGTTGCTTCGTGCCTCTTGGAATCGTAATGAGTCCTCATTGCCATATTTAGAAACAAAATAATCGTAAAGGCCGTTGACAGCTTCTCGGCCAACCATATCTCGAGAGATGGAATTTGGCAGAACATCAATGACACCACATCCCGGGGCAGTAGCAGTGACACGATATGGGAAGACGTATACGTCGAGGCCAACGTTGTTGAAAATTCCTCGGAAGGCGGCAATTATCTGAAGAGCCAACATATCCTGACGACAATCGTCTCCGACTTTAAAGATTGCAGATTGCCATATCTCAATTGTGTTGTCAACTGGTACAGCGCCTCCATTCTTGTTCGTCTCTTCGAGCATATCATCGGTATTTTCCATGTCGCCTTTGTTCTTCTTGATTCTGAATGTTGCCATGTAAGGTGCCTTTGCGTGACTTTGTAGGGGTTTGCCAGATTTTCGATCAATACCAATGACTACTCCATCAGGGTTACTTGGCAAGTATACGCCTACTTCGACCTTGATCTTTCGAAGTTCTTCTTCAATCTTCTGCTTCTTCTCAGGCTTGGGGCGCTTTATGAAAGGTTTTAGTTTGCCAGATATGCTCGTCACCTCGTCGAAGAAGGAGAATTCTCGTTCGTAGAAGTCCTTGTCAACTGGAGAAAATTCTGTAATCATTCTGTTCGTGACTTTGTCGAGAGTGGGCTTGACGACATCGGGCTGGGTGTTATTAGTATTGGATTTTTGAAAACTGACAAGTGGCACTTACAATTAGCGAATCGTCGTCTTTGAAGGCGTTTGCTTTCATGTTCCAGATAATTTGGTGTGCGAAAAGCTGGGAGAACTTCGCGGTCTCGATGATGTATCTCTCTACATAACCCAAAGCGTCATATCGAAGAGTTTGCACAATCTGGGGCACGAAAAAGAAAGTTACATCAACTGGGTGACTCTCGAGAGCTCGCATGGCATATTGCAAGATGAAGGGATGATTTCGGTAAGCTGGAAGAAACAGTGTAGCAGCAGTAATTGCGTTGACAGGTGCCCAGTAAAGCAAATACTTCAGTTGGAAGGAGACATCGGACGGTAGAGACTCGCCAAGAAGTATCTGTATAGCTTCGGGTTCATCGATTGCTTTGTCGGGAAAATTAAGCAATAACCATCTGATTTGTTGGTGGAGCCGAGCAGATGGAAATCTCGTTACTAATTGGATTGCCAGGGATGGATTCTCATTCCATGCTGTTCTGATGAGACCAAGGAGGGAAGCCTCTGTTGGTCCCTTTAATTGAACTGGCCCATGAACATCTCGCGGCTCGCCCAAGGGGTATAGCCAAACATTGAGTCTGACATGCTCAGTTTCCATCAAAACTTGAAGTAAACTCTCCTTGGCTTGAATGAGTTTCAAAAGAGGTGTATGTGCCTGCGTAACCATTTGCACATTTTTCAACGCAACTGAAACATCTGCCATCAATCGAGTTTCGGCTTTCAACTGTACTCTGTTCCCTCCAAACGACCACTGAGGTCTAAAACTAAACCAGGTAAGAGCTGCGGACAGAATCTTATCTTTGAGTTGGCATCTAGATTTGAAGTCGAGTGCAGTAGCATGCCTCATAACCTTGAGTGAAAATAGGACGAGATGGAATCGGATTTCTCGGGAGAGCGGGTGTCCCGTAGATTGCTTTAGGGCATCCAAGGTAACATTCACAAGGCGTACAAAGGCTTTCTCGGCATGGGGGTTTCCCAAGCGAGAGGCATTGAAGTGGCTGCCCAGAAATTGCAATAGTCGCATGTGAGGTTGTAGTAGATTATGAGCTACTTGTTGTCGTTTCGACAAGGCTGCTCTATCGCTAGGGGCGAACTCTCCTTTTACATAGAAGGGATCGGGGTGGCTTCTCACATTAGTGAACGTTCTATTGCTGGTGACAGGCTACAACTTACAGAAAATCGGAGTTAAACACTCCAATTCGCCGATGAATAGTCAATTCCCATTGCTGAGCGATTTCCATCAATATTCTCGGCTCCATTCGAGGATTCTCGTTGATCACACCAAGCCAAAGGGATATGCCAAGTTGGATGGATTGCTTAGTAAAAACACCAAATGGTATTGCGACGAGATGGTGGACGATGGCGCATTCGTCTGTCTTACTGCGACAGAGTAATGCAGCGGCTCTGCGAAGAATATCCCGGAGTTCGCCAATAGGTAAAAGCTTTCTTTTGAGTGTTCTTTGTTCAATGTGAGCAAGAACTGTCACGGCATCCTCCCCATCTTTACCGGGCGCTTGTTTGATTGACCCTCTACGGTCTCCAAGATGCATAACATGGAGCCATTCGGCATCACGATCAGGAAGTGCTTCGGCATACCGGTATTCTTGTCGAGTTGTATACTGAGCGATGAAGTCTGATGCAGTGTTGATGTTGATATCTCCATGGCGATCAATCGCATTGAGCCTCTGATCGGTACTTGGAATGAGCGAACCCATTTCGTTTGCAAAAGACCGCCCCAAAGAAATGTGTCCATATGCCCCGTCGTCATCGTACTCGGAAAGGTACGTTTGCAAAAGACCCTTCACATCCAAGGGAGCAATACTAATGACTGAAGACACCCATTGTTTGGCCTTTCTGTGAAGATTATTCAGGGTTCGTCGACGAAGAGCGTAATCATCTGAAAGTTCGATTGAAACCTTGCCTCGAACAGAAGTAAATGCCGACTTCCATTCGTACTCATCGGTTTCGGCGTCTAAACAGCTCGACCACATAAGTGATAGTAATTCTATCAACGCAAACAGAGAGGACTTTTCAGAAAGGGCGGATGGAACTTCATGGATGAGTCGATCAGCGCAGGCTAGAGCAGCCTGTTGAACTCGTTCAATGCGGTAACAGCAACCATTAAAGATAAGAGCAAGCTGCTTCGCAGCATAAGGTGCGGAAAATGTTGGATTGGTGCCAGTCAAAGCCTTCTTGAGGTAGGCATCCATGACAGCGGTAGTTATCCCTTCCATGGTGCTACTCATATCGCCCTTCCGCATACTAGGTTCCATGAAGTAAGTTAATGCTTTAGAGCAGTCGCCAGAGTCAGCCCGCAAGGTTTCAACGAGATATGCTGCTTGTAGAAATATGACTTTTCGGTAACTCAAGCTTCGAATATCGGATGCCTTGGACGGGAGTAGCGCACAGAGTCGCTTTTTTTGGGCAGCCTCATGCTCGTTGCTCATTCCACGACGGAGAACAGAATTCAATTCTATGTCGCTTTCGATTTGCTCGCCTTTCTGTTCTCCAACAAGTGGCCTAGAATGAATTGCCATGATACGCAACTCGTTGAGATATTTCTTTCCCCTCTCTGTGTTCGTAGCGAAACCATGAACGGCAATGTTGAACCATGCATCTCGGAATAGAGAAAGTGTCTCTTCCCCGATAGACTCATCAGATATGAAGTTGTTTGTCGACATCAATATCGCCAAGGGTTGCAAGAGCTGACCAATATCTCGCGCAGCCACCTCTACGTCTGCCTCTCGAGTGCTTTGAGCTTGATGCACATCACCTTTACTGATAATTGATTCAAGGATATCCTCAAGGTAGATATCATACAATGGCGTGTCTTTACGTAGATTTGACGAGAGAAAATTGAGAGCTTTCATTACCTGCAAATTTGTTAGCATCATTATAGACTGACTTCGACTTATTACTAACAGCATCGAGCAAAATCTCATCGTTATGAAGCACACTTTCCTGGCCAATCCTGGCGTATAGTTTCAACAGGGTCCGGAACTCAAGTGCTCCACCACTTAGAGCCAGTGCCGCTGATTGCTTAACAATGCGAGCGTCGGTGGATCTGTTGACTTTGCCAATTTTTTGCAAGAGCATCGATTGAGCCAATGCAGTGATCTTCGGGTCTTCACAAGTGCTGGCAATACCACAGACCGCTTGAACGACGTTATTGTACACATACGAGTTCTCTTCTTCGCCGCTTGCTGGCAATGAGATGCTGCTACCAGTGGAATGCTTCCCATTGTAAAAGGAGGAACTGTTTGCTCCATCCATTGAGAACTCCCCGTTAGCACCTGCGACAGGACGCTCAGCGCTAGATCCAGAACTGAGAACGTTGCCAAACGTGTACAGGGTAGTAATGATGGCGTCTTGTGATAAGAGTTGCAAGACATAAGCGAGACACTTGGATGCCAGAGGAATGGTGTTGCCTCGAGGGTTGCCTTGTACGATGAAACGTGGCAATAGGCGGCTGACATTGGGTGCAAAATCAGGAGAAATCTTTGATATCAAGGCCATTGAGCGTAATGTGACGCTTGCCAGAGTCTCGTCAGTCATTTGTGCAGGATCAGCAAGGGTACTTTCAAGCCATGCCATAAGAGCTTCGGGCTCAGCCGCGTCCTGATTTAACAATACGCAATTCAGGTAAGTAGTAAGTGCACCAGCTTTTACAGAAAAGGCGAGTCGTTGTTGCCAAGTGGATCCTATCCGAAGATAATCTGCCCCATCTTCGAGAAGACTCATCTCATCGGAAGCCAGATCAGCTATTATCTCGATAGTGTCAAAATCAACTTCCTCGAGATAGTTGATGCCCAGAGCAAGTCCAACCCTTTTTGACATGTGTATATCAAGAATATCATTGTTCCGAAGTTGCGTTGCATCAGATACTAGCAATGAGGACGTGGCAACAAGAAGCCACATGAAGCTCTGTTGAAGAAGCATGGCCCCGAGAGGACGTCCAATAGCCGCATAATGACGGACATACCGTTTCCATTCTTTCGGGTGGCTATGGACAATTGACGAGTTTCGGATTGTCGAAAACGCCGTCTCAACTGCCACCAGAAATTCCTCGGAAAGAAGCAACTTAACACGCTGCACCAAAAGTAGCCTTTCTTCAGCGGTCCAAAAATGAGCATATGTAGCCGCAGCATCAAGAAAGCCTAGCACAGTGATTGTGATTGTAGCAACTTTAATAGCGTCTTCCACTTCAGTAACACTTCCATCATCCGAGACTGGGCTTGGAGCTTGGGAAGCCGCTTTGGCTGCATCTACACAATGTCGTAGGTATGACCATAATCTCTCGGAGATTGGTTTTCTTAGACGTTCGTGGTTGATACCTATTGTCAGAAGTGCGGTGGTGAGATTGTTGCTTAGCGCTTCAATAGGCGACGGTTCAATATCGCGGAAATAGGGGGATGGGCTGAAAACTTGGGTATGCGCCTCCAAAATATACGGGGAGAGCTGTTCCATCAATTTCTCTGCACTCTGGAAGCTTTGGAGTAGCGGTGCTGCTTTGCACAATGCCAGTAGGACCTCAAATTCGCGTATGCTCTATTTCTGATCAGTTTACCCTATAAGAGGTGTGGAGAGATGCGTGTGGTTGTACCATAGGAGAGCTAGCCAAAGAACCCCCATCTCGGCCTCTCGACACCCCGTTAGCGTTTTTCTCTCCCAGACATCCTCTCGCAAGTCGCTGCAAGTCTGAATCCTCGAAAGAAGTTGTAGATGACGTAGCTGAGAGAGCCGCGATTTTCTCTAGGGCCTTCCGGCGAATGTTCCGTGGGGCGCTATCTGAGGCTTAGTATACACTTCTAAACTCTACTGGAAGAGGAGGATATACTTGTCCATGGCTGTCACCAAAACTCCCCGTTCCTAGCAGAGTAAAATGCGCTTGTTGCCAAATACAAGATATCCCAGTCCAGACGACACGTATCTTATAATCTTAAGATGACGGGCTGATGGGTGAAGGATGATGGGTGATGATGCTGGGTGCTACCCCTGTCAACCCGATGGCGCTAGTGTTCTGGCTGCGAGGCAGCGACGAGGCGCGTTCAACCTCAAGGCATCTTGATCCTCAACGTCAAAGAGCTCTACAGTACAACCACAATTACTCAACCAGCTTTGAAAACGATCCCACGAAGTCCGCCTCCTTTTCGCACCTCGTAATACCTTTCAAGATGTCGGCGATGTTTAGTCAAAATCCATTGATGAATGGTCCAAATTACTCCTTCAACCAAGCTCCCGCAACAGCATCAGGTGGAAACACTGAACACTCATTCTACCCGTAAGTACCTTTCGAAATCCTGCTTGAGTTCCACTAATTTCCGCATAGATATACTGATAACGGTGGTTCAACCCTCGCCATCTCTGGTAACGACTTCACAATCATTGCGGGTGACACTAGATCAACGTCCGGCTACAGTATCAACAGTCGATACAGTCCTAAAGTTTTCAAAATCGGCGGTACCACTTCTTCTCAGGACGATGCCAACCTTGTATTATCCGTCGTAGGATTTGCCGCAGATGGAGAGGCACTGAAAGAGCGTCTGGATGCAATCGTCAAGATGTACAGATACCAACACGGCAAGCCCATGTCTGTCAAAGCATGTGCGCAGCGATTATCCACAATTCTTTACGGAAAGCGATTCTTCCCATACTACGTTACTGCTATTTTGGGTGGATTGGATGAGGAAGGAAAGGGAGCTGTCTACTCTTATGACCCGGTGGGCAGTTATGAGAGAGAGCAGTGCAGAGCGGCGGGTGCGGCTGCAAGTTTGATTATGCCGTTCTTAGACAACCAGGTCAACTTCAAGAACCAATATATCCCAGGGAGTGGAGAAGGCCATGCTTTGCAGGAGCGAGAGAATATTCCATTACCGAAAGATGAGGTTGAGGATTTGGTGAAGGATGCATTTGATAGTGCGGTGGAGAGACATATTGAGGTCGGTGATGGGCTTCAAATGCTGATTATCACGAAAGCTGGTATTGAGGAGAAGTATTTGCCCCTCAAGAAGGATTAGAGGGGTTGGGATAGCTCTCATCATTGTAATACTAGACCAGAGCGCAATTTACTCACGCTGACAGCTTGATTTCCAATCTCACATTCTTCCTTCGTTGCAAGAAAGTGACTTTAGCGTGTCCTTGACTATTCTATTCTTATACTAGTAGCTGCAGGCTTAGCCGCTTCACGTGTTTTCTTTGAGCAGTCTTGGCAACCAGAAATATGAACAGAAATCATAGTAACGCGAAGCTCCATGTACTTACTTGATCAACATAACACTTCCTCTATAACAGCAATGTTTCTTGAGCAAAACTCGGGGATAGTTTCAGTCTTCCGAATGAAGATCATCATGTCGTTGTAAGGACAAGTGTATTGGGTCATAACTTATATGTGTGACGGATGGTGGATAATAACAGATAACAAAACACTACCATGCCACGCATGCACAATAGAACACCGGAATCGTTCCCACGTATTCAACAAGTAAGTCTGGATGAACAAGAAAAGTTGATTGTCTCCATGAAAACTTCCTCGCAGTCCGTATACAAAATAGTTGGTCTTCTCAATTGTCTGAAATCTAGAAAACGGAGGGAATAGGCTTACATAATCGTATCTGGTAGTTCATACTTGATAGCTCATGAGCAAATTAGGGTTGAACAATATCGAGGTTATCACATGTTGAAAATGATTATTAAATATATTATTTGATGAATGCAAAGAGGAGGGAAGATAGAAAGCTACCGACTTCTCTAGATGACAATCAATCCCCAAAACATCTACAAAGTACGGCAAATCATCCCAAGGCGGAATAGGTCTCGCGAGCTCTTCAAACTACTCATACGAGGCCGTCGTGTCGGTTATTTGCGCTACTGTTTGATAGACCCGACTTCGATTTTCAGAACACCTACTTGTATGCTCAAAATAGCCCGTACTCTTAAAAATCGGTTGTTGAATTACTGCCCGCATATTGAGATGTTGCGGGAGCACATAGACTCCACAGCAGTGCATATTGTGGTAAACCCCGCACCTAGGACACGCTAACGATTCCACCTTTTCCGTTTTTGACAATATTTGTCCTATGAACTCGGCGAGTCCCTCCCTAACCTGCGCTTGCATTCTTGGCTCTTCTCGAGTCAGTTTCTTCGTCTAACTGCGGTTGTATGACAAGCACTTGGGAGGCACAAGCAGGCTTGTATGCTGAAAGCATCTATTATCCCATCGCTCCGATTTCTGGCACGTGTGTTGAGTTTTAGTATATCCTCTCTGATGCTGCCACTCACGAAACAAGTCTGTGGTCCCAAATACCCTATTCGTCTTACGTATCAGTGCCTCCAATAGGCGAGCCACAGTATGATCTCGATTGACAGTTGCAATATACTCGTCTTTCTGTTCAGTAATCTGGCTGGTTGGACGCGATTCGATTATATTGATGAGGTATCTTGATAAGCATAACAATAACTTTTGAGAACTTTCTTTGCGCAATAGGATCAAGGCATAGCGAGGAGGAAGAGGAAGCTGGCCATGATTTTTGCTCTGCTTGGTCTGTATTATTTGCTCGGAAAGAGGAACATCGCTTCTCTAAATGCGGTTTGGCGGAAGTAGGAGTAATCGGAACGGATTGAAACATGAAATACTTATTGGGATGGGTTATTCGAGGACTGTCTTGGTCGCGGGGTTTCGACAAGTTGAATATAATGAGTGAGAGAAGTTTGGAAGGCACTACTGTATGTCAAGTCAATGCCTGAAGGAGGATAGATGGTCGGTAGGGCCAAAAACCAAGAACGAGGGAGTCTTGTCATTAGACCACATGTTGTATCTGCATAAATGCGGTCTTGGTCTTTCCACCGGGCTATTTCCACTATTGAGGCAAGACTGTCAAAACAGAGTGTGATTATTGAGAAGCCTAGCTACAAACCCAGAAGGCGGCAAGGGATCGGAAAATTCATGATTGGGTGTTGTTTCCGGCATGCTTATTTCTTGATGTTGCATCGCGTGTTCTTTTGGGATGTCCCGGCCTTCGGTAGGTATGTTTCCGGCATTCCCTCCGTTCTAATGGGCGCTTATCTCAATTAGCTCTCTTTGCTACTGTACTCCGCAAAAGTGCAAATGCTATTTCAAAGCAGCATTCTAATACGGAGCAAAAACTCCGATGCCAATTGGCTATGGGTGCTCGCAACGAGAAATTGCAATAAAAAAGACGGCGTGAAAACTCTTCGTTCCGTTTCAATTGGAAGGGAAACAAACATCTTAGAGATGTAAGACACGGCCATTTCGTACAGCATGAAACCAAAGAAACAGCCACAAAGCTAGGGAGACTGCATCGAGCCGAGTACTAATTTCAACTCATGGGGTGAAAATGATTCAAACAAAACAATGGTAAATTTGAATTTGGAGAAGGTCTTCACCGATACTCTGGTGACCCTGGCTGATCGATATGTGAGAAGCTCAGTGGTTTATCCACTGAGATTCTAATAGAGTAGCTTTCATATAGGAACTTCAACCCAAGAAAAACCATCAAATCATTATCGTTGATTTCGATTTCCTTCTCAGAGAGCAATACCAAGAAATACATGAACGATGTCAGATTGGTCCGATTCATCTCTCAATTTCGTGCCCCCCCNCCCCCCTTCAAAAAGTAGCCACGGCTTTAAATAGAGCTAAGCTCATGATCGCGATGATCGCAAGGAGTAATATACTCGGTAGCAAAAATAGAGATTGAGAGGCTCCTCGCTCATTACGCCACACCAACCATGCCCCCATTAAAGCAGCATTGGGTGGCAATGATTGCAATAAGCTCTTATCCAATTTGAAGTCTTGTGGGTAACCCCACAGAAGAAAAGTGTGAAGCTGGACCCTTTTTCTACATATGTTGCAACCTGAAACTGCAGAAATATTGACACAGTATGCATGCTGTGTATACCCTGTATACACCCTTGTATAGAGAGGATACGTAGCAGCCTAGCTGGGTATATAGTGGGTAATAAAAGGACGCCCAAGATTGGTGTTGATCACGAGGCATCGACTTGCAGCCAACCTGGAACCTTAGGGATATAGGGGACCAGAAGGATATAGGGGATCATCCGAGTGATTTTCGTGGATAATAAGCGATCTTTGATTGAAGATGACTGACTTTTGGGCTGATCTCTTGTGCTGACATGCAACGATGTGGAAAAGTCATTCATGTTTTTCATGTTTGCATTTCAGGGTCGCTCGCTTTTGCCTCCTGAGGTCTGGCCAAGATTCGCTTGCTGGGGAGAGGAGAGGTCAAGCCACAAGGCCCATGCTTTCACTCGCCACATCTATCCCAAGTCCAAGCTCCGCATTCTCCTATTAAATTTACCAGAAACTCGTTGGGCTCCAATAATGCCAATCCAGACGAGAGAGCCAAAGGTAAAGTGCAGAGTATTAGCGAAATAATTGCGAACAGTAACAGCTTCTTTGAACAGAGCGCTTACGCGGCAAGCACGCATTTTCAAGGTTCAATCTCACCAATCTACCTTCTTGAATATCAGGTCGGGCCAATATTATCAATATTTTCTGCACGCCTACCCGACTTGGAATCATCAAGAGAGCCTAAAAGCCCAAAAAGGAGACTTTTCACACATCCTTGGCAGCAACGAGTTTCCACCTGTTCCACTTATGTTACGACCTTCAAGACTTCCTCAAGGACTTGCCACTTATACACGACGGTACCGGCACCATAGCCTAGAGTAACCTACCTTGACTCACGAAGTTGATGAAGTCCCTCCGATGCCTGCAATTGACGTCCTTTCTCAGCGTTTGCGTTGCGCTGCGCTCTCGACGCTTCTGACGGCGGCCCCATACAGCTTCCCGTCTTGAGTAGCGCAATGACAAGGCGGATTCTTCCTTGTCTCCTGATGGATTTGCACCTGGGATTGCCAGATTGACTTTTCTGCAGTTGAAGGGTCTTGGAGAGATAAACAAACGGGTCGGTCGGTAAGGAGTAGCTGTGGCTGATGCAATGAATGGCTCGGGTTGCATTCGGACTAGAATTGCCACCCTGGAACGGTTCTGGTTCCTGGAATCTTCCCGGAGTTGGAACGTCATCCTATCGTCAGCACAACATCATCAGAATGGGAAACATACCAGACGAGAAAATCTGGTTTGGCTTGGTACCACCTCGAATTTTCTCCAGGCAAAAGTTCCAGATGGCGCAGGCACAGGCGCAGGCTCAGGCTCAGGGTTCGTCCGTACTCGTACCAACCGGCTGGGAAGACCAGTCCCTCTCTCGCGGCTTGACCGCCCGCCGTGGTATGCATTATGTTGGCTGCAAACTAGCTCATTCTCTCAAAACTTCGAATCCTCGTTGAATTGGTCGTGGCTCGATTCCCTGTTGAAAACCGCTGGAAAATCTTGGTTTACTCAGCTCAACATTACTCATTATTCAAGAGGAGTTGAATTGGTGAGGAATTAAGCCACTATGAAGCACGAAAGGGGAAACGCTTAAGCATCCAATGGCAGGACTTCTGTTCTCACGGTCGAGATTCACATGGAAATTGCATTGCGAGTTACAGATGAAGCAGAGCGGTCTGTTTTGTGAACTAATGTGGTATAGCAAGATCTGATTTCACGACTACTGTATGAGTACGATACGGATACATAATCCATACGTCTGGACCCCTGTTGGATTTCTCCACTGACTGGCGGTTTGCCACCACGCCAGGGTATGAGCATCACATACCCTCCCCGCCGCCACACTCTGCTGGTCCCTTATTCCATGCCCCCCGGGAGTGGCGAAATGATAAGCGGGGGGGAATGGACTTCTCAAATCCCATTGTGGGTTGGCCTTCAAAAGCAGCCACACATTAGACATTCCCATGTAAGCATCGTGGGGCTGTGCGTGCTGCCTCTGCCTCTCTCTTCCTGCCGTCTAGTGTAAAGCCCCCACGAGCATTCGTACCGTACATACTGTCCTTGCATCAACCCGTTGCCGTCCTGTGGAGTCGTGGACCCCCGATAAACCATGTCCTTCCCTTCCATTTCTTTTGTCCTCTCTAAGCAGGACAGGGGGACATGTTAATTCGAGTGACGTCCTCACTGCTGTTGACTTTTCTCTAGGCGCGAGCAATTTTTCTTTTGCACATACAACTCTCATCGGCTTCATATCTACCGTTACCCATTTCTTCGTCACTGTTCTTGCTCTTCTGCTGTCATCAACCCTCTCCTGTTTGCTCGTGCCTGGCGATCATTGCATATCCATCCTCTTGTTTGAGACCCGTCCCCGAGTTATAGGTCACAGGGTTTATTCGATTAGCTGTTCTTTCTGCGTAACCTTCTCCTCCACAGTAGTTTAAGATATCCCGGTCCAGTCCGGTCAGTCCCCTTTTATTATGAACCACTCGCGCTGTCCGTTCGTCTCCTTGTCGAAATTGACTAGCCCGCCCTTCTTGCAACTGTCAAATTGCTCGTCCAATTACCTGTCTTTCATCAAAGTTTTGAGAGGCAACCGAAGCACTGACAGCGGAAGCCCTAACCTTTACAAGGGTTGTCAAAAAGCTCCGGATCAACACTTCCCCCAGCACTCAATGCTGAGGCCTGCTACTGCTCTTTGGTTCTGACATAGCACGCTCGTCAGGTCAAGGGTTGTTGCTGATCATCTCTGAAAGCTTGAGTTGAACTCAGTATCAACTTCGACTGATCGTTATTGGGCAGTTTTTCTCGTACCTCCATCAGCCTTGCCGTACACCGAACCTCATCTGCGCCTCCTCCACAATCATTTACAGTTCTGGAAAACACTGCCCTCGCTTTCCCGGCTCTGCGTTATTCCATTCTTTCTTTAGAACATCTTATCTATACTGATTTGAGTTGCCACCGAGTGCTCCTACGGTTTCGAGCCTACAAAGCTCCATTGTGAGAAACTGGAGAAGTTGCAAAAAAGGTTGGTGTTCAACCTTCTCTCGACTTTCGTTTAGAACTCCGTATCTCAAAGTTCTCCGGATCGCTTCCTTTGTACACACACATTCGTTTTTCTTCGCGCATATCATTTCTATCTGGGCAAATGCTAACATGCCCTTTATTCTTGTGCAGCTTTGGGCGCCGTCAATACATCCAAACGAGAGATTCATGGGAGACTCAACACCTATCCCGATTCCAATTGGCAACAATTTCAATCCATCAACAGGCATGAGACCAGGTGCGCTGAACCAATCATCAGATCCTGCGTTGGATACGGACGCAAGAGTGGCGCAACAAGACAAATCACAACAAACCCCACCGCCAAACACAAATTATTCACAATACTCGACATTTTCCCCTCAGCAAAATGTCTCACAACATAGGCCTGACGCCTTTAATATGGCCAACATGGGAGGAGCATTGCCGGACATGCAGTATCAAAATTACAACATGATTCAACAAAGACAGATGCCTGGCCATCCCCCCTCCTACATGATACAAAGCATAGCCCAGTTTCCTGCATCACAAGTTTCAAACCCTTCAATGATTGCATACTCCATTCCGTATCAAGGCCAATTCAACACTCTGTACCCGACAGGCCATGGCTCTTCTTCTCACCAAATGCAACCGCCAACAAATGGTAATCAATTCTACCAAGGCCAAGGCTACGCGGGACAATCGCAACAGCCAAGCTCTCCGTACTACTTACAACAGAACCAATATGGACCACAGCCTCATGCTTTTACGGTTCCCTCTTCCCAATACGCATCAAAGGGGCTGTATTCTAGTGAAGTGAGGCAACAACCACAGCAAGGAGCGGATCATCTCAGTAGAGGCACCAGTGGTGCAGGAAGGCCAAATAGCACAGGTAACTTGAATCTCCGAGAAAGTTGGAATAATAGCTCATTCTCAAAACAGTTTCTAGTGCTGGGAAATCTTCAGTAGTAAGGGGTCCCCCGAGAAAACCACGCCAAACTGGTCAGTACAAAACTGACGGACGCGATTTGAAGAGAACCCTGGCTAACTTGTATTACCTGAGGCCACGCTATTTGGATAGGAAATCTCCCGCCACAAACAGAACTAATGAGTCTTGTACTTCATGTGTGCAAGGAAACTCCCGGGTTGGAATCCCTGTTTCTGATATCGAAAAGTAATTGTGCTTTTGCGAATTTCAAGGATGAGGCAACATGTACGACAGCTCAAGCAAAAATACATGATTCCAGATTCCAAATCGTCAGACTGGTTAGCCGTTTGCGCAGGAACCCTGCGGCAGCTGGAGCTGGTATCGATGCTCCAACTGGACCGGCTGCTTTAACCCAACCATCAAGTAATGTGGTGGCTCGCACGCCAACTCCCGAAAATGAAGAATCAGTAAAGGAAGGGGTCAAGCAGATTGCTCAAGGAGAAAACAAACTCGAAGAGGGAGCAGCTAAAGACAAGTTCTTTGTTGTCAAGAGTCTCACGGTTGAGGACCTTGAACTTAGTGTACGAAATGGGATATGGGCGACTCAGTCGCATAACGAGCAAGCTTTGAATAAAGCTTACGAAGTAAGTGCAAACTTCATCTCACTGAAATTCATTGGCTGACGGCCCTTAGACTGCAGACAATGTGTATCTCGTTTTTTCCGCCAACAAATCCGGTGAATATTTTGGGTATGCACGAATGATATCCCCGATAAATGATGACCCGGCAGCTGCCATCGAATTTGCCCCAAAACCACAATCAGTCGAAGATCCTGATCTTCCAAAGGCAATATCTACTGCCGCTACTGAAATCGCACCGAAAGGACGAATCATAGATGACTCTGCTCGCGGAACGATATTCTGGGAAGTAGAGCGAGATGAGGCTGATGCAGAAGAGGATGAGGAGGAGCAAAGCGACAAAGAGGATCAAGATGGTGATGCGCCAAACTCGAAAGCCTGGGGAAAGCCATTCAAAATCGAGTGGGTATCAACAATGCGACTTCCCTTCTACAGAACCCGGGGACTGCGAAACCCTTGGAATTCTAATCGCGAAATCAAAATTGCTCGAGATGGGACAGAGCTTGAGACTTCGATCGGACGACGCCTGCTGGGTCTATTTCATCGAGTACCGATTACTACCGCCCCACAAATGCTGAACAACCCTCTGCCTTCTGTGGGTGGATATCCTCAAATGCACTCTTACCAGTAATCGTATTAGAATAATCGACCACATTGCCAGATTCTCTACCTTGCAGGTCATCAAGGTGAGAATGGCAAACTTTCAACTTCTCTCCACCCAGCTGGATGAAGGAAACATGGTTAGTTAGCCGCCGCTTCAAATAATGATTTATGAGCTTTAAAATTCGAGCACAAGGAAGATTATGGGGCCATGATGGGTTTGTAAGGAAGACATGTTCAGACTTTTCTTGCGGCGCGAAGATGAGTTTTTTGTTGTCTGTGTAGTTTGTTCAATAGTTCAAGCTGTTTTTTGCCACGTACTGTACAGCCCCAAGCGAGCGATATATATTTTTGCTCTTTCCCGCGTAAGCGGTCATTTTCGGCGTTGAAGTTCCCGCTATTTACTGTTTTATGAAGAATCCGTTCCCCATTACGAGTGGAGACAAAAAAAAAGTATGGGGATGTAATCCGGGTGATAATTGCAGTTTGTTGTCATTAAGCTTACTCAATGGGGGTTTTTGATCCGCCCCTATCTAAGCGACCCTCCTTACCGAATATAAGCCGGCCACATTCTTAGGATGTGGGTAGACGGTGGCAATTTCTTGTAAGTTTACAAATATCTTGGGATTCTGACGGAACGATGACATGACATGATCGTAGTTTTTCTGAAGCAGCATCATAGGTGACTTGTCTTCTGCCGTCCCATATTGTGGGTCTGGTATCTATCTGGAGCACATTGTTTTGTCACGTGGACACCACCTGCTCACACTTCTTCTAGAGATGACCTCGGGATGGTTCAATAGCACAAGACATATTCATATGTTCTGAGACTATCATTTTCCAGTTCTAGTCACAATATAACCAATTTTAGGGCATCGGCTCTTTTTTCAAACAATACTCTGCTGATTTTTGATTTTGTATCTTAACCTAACGTGGCAAAGTCGACACCACTATCACTTCATCCGCCTCCAAATTTTGGGGGGGACTTTCAAAAGTTGGAGGTTACACAAGTTACATTTCATCAACTAGAAACTACAAGAGAAAGAGTATAATTCTTTTTCCAAGCCTTTGGCCTTCCTCTCCGCATTTCTCAAGTAAATTCTAAAATATCTATGTCCAAGAATATAACGCCGCACTATTTCTTCACCACTTCCCTTCAAATACAACATACAACAACAACTTCACGTCAAATCTAAGCGGCCTGAGTCCCATAATAAACACCAAAGTAATTGACCTCCATCCCCGCCTTATCACCTGATACTGTCTGGGCATTAGGGTTGCCCCCAAAATCACCACCAATAGCCACATTGAACAATGCATAGACAGGCGACTGCGCAAGCGCAACCCAGTTTTCAGAGTCCCCAACATCGGAGCCTTTGATGGTTTTATAGTTCTTGCCATCGATAAACCATTTCAGGGTCTGTTGTTGCCAATCGTCTGGTTGTCGGTTGACTTCAAGGGTGTATTTGTGGAATTTGGAGCGATCGAGTGGCTCTGGGTTGGCTTCGTTGCCGATGCTTTTGTGGATTCCGTCTTTGCCGTAGTGGATGGTGGCCCAGTTTTGGGCTAGGCCGTTTCTGGTTTCCATAATGCTGTTGTTTGTTAGTATTGAAACATTTTCGAGTAGTTGTCATCGGATGGGGTAGAGCGACTAGAATTCGTGAAGCATATAGAAGGATGTTACTTACTCCCACTCGCCACACCTAGGCCATGGTTTCCCTCCATAAATCGAGCTACCAAGAGTCCAGAATGCAGGCCCTATATTCCCCAAGTTAGTTTACTACGTCAAAAGAGTCTCAATAGTAGCGAGAGTGAAAGTATGCAAGACCATCATTAAAACGGCAAGAATCTTTCAACTCCTTGTCCTCAATAATGAGAGGATTCGCTTATAGAACTCGGTACTCACAGATACCCTGTTGGTTCGCAGCAGCACTAAGCTTGATCTCTGCCTCGATAGCCATCTTATGATCCTTCTCACAAGTGAAAGTTCTCCAAGTGGCAATTCGAGCGGAGGTCCATTTCCCATCACTTGATTTCTTAGGTTGGATCTTGAGACTTCCATCAGAGGTAAAAGCGGTCGATGTCGAGTCTATGTATTCTTGAAGCTCATTGTTGGTGTGAGCACCGGCGTTGCTTTCGTGATGCCATTCTTTATGGTCGACACCTACGCCGTTGAAATCGTCGCCCCAGTGGAGTTTGTAACCATCTTTGGCGGGGATTTCTGCGATAGCGCTGCTGAAGAGGGCCGCGAGGAAGGAAAGTTTGAGAAGAGAAGGCATTTTTGAAGAGAGTAATGAGTGACTCGAGTGAGAAGATGGAAAATAAGATGAACTGAAAAAAAAGAGAGTGAGAGATAGAGTTGGCTGATATGACTGATAAATATCAGGCTATAGATTGCCTTAAGAGGCAGATCGAGAAGGAAGATATACTCTAGGAATTCGTACATGGGCGAATCTCTCGCACCGCCAGCTTCTTGGCACCTCCTCCAAATCTCCTTTCACTTGAGAACGAGCTTGAAGGAGCCCCCACGCTCACGTGAGGTTTATTCATTTTATCCGGAAGGATCTTGAAATTCTCTGTCAGAGTTCTAGGTACGTAGGTAGGTGTACGGGAAAATGATTTTCAGAGCTGGAAATCTTTGTATCAGAAGCTCCTCCAAAAACTCCAGCAAAGAGGCTTGAAATATAGACTGACAAATACACGTTTCCCTCGAACTGTACTAGTTTGTACTTGAAAATACCAGGGAAAATAAATCAAAGTTGGGGTTTGCTTTGAGATCTGGCGATGAGAAGGATGCCTCTACCGGCATTGACATTTTTGAAACGAAGCTGTACCCCCCAAATATGCTATAAATAAGTTACAAAAACAGGCGAATCTGAGGAGATTCATTATCCCGCTTCCTAAATGTCGGAGGCGGCTGTAATTGTGTGCTCCTGGTCGTTGACACTAACGTTGATCCTACATGATCCCTACATCAATTTAAGGACCTCTTGATGCCCTGCAAACAGGTAGTGACACTCTCCTCTCGACCACACAGAAAGACTAGGCAATCTAAATCGGAAGACTAGGCCCATCAAGGTATCACCGAGTATCAGGATCAAAAGTGTAGCGTCTTCGGAGGGCGTCAAAGAAAAGCTTTCCGTGCTTTGGGATAAAAACGAAGCGGATATCACTACTAGATGATTGCATGTTTTTATTCATGGAAAAGAGAAATCTCTACAAAAGAGTCACATATTCTCAAAATTACTGTCTTTGAGAAGGCGATTTCAGCGACGTTCACATCCTACGACCTCATCAAATTATGCCCACCCGGACTATCAAGGAAAGAAGGTCCGTACGACGATGTAAGCGATAAGGATCCAATCCAATCTCCTGACCGAGCCTCACCATAAGGCTCACTCAGTGTAACCTCCTGGATCACGAAGCGAGGCTTGGAAGTAAGCAGCACGTAGATGACAGCCTATCAGCGTCCTGCAATAAATCAGGCAACTTAAAAGGTTCATTCTGCGTCGCAAGTCAGTAGTGATACAAACAAGAGAAAGAAATGAAACATATTACGGTGGAGCGAACCAGGATGAAGTTGCGCCACCTTTCTGCATGGCTGAACAAGGCTTCTCGATAATAATCCCTTCCACTTGACATTTTCTGAGATGATGAGAAGGGGCAAACGTAAAATTCCCGATTATCGCTTTGTATTGTATCCAGAAATGTGTACTCACTTGAAGATTTGAAACAGCGAGAATTATTTGTAATCGCTGATTGTCCGTGGTGAACAGAGAGTTAATTCAAACATTCACAGTCTTTTTATCAGAATAACATCACTCTGTCTCAAGTGCTGAGAAAAATGGAGCACAGTCTTGTGCAAATAACCATCAAAACGAGGTGGGGTGAAAAATTGGGGGTTTGACACCTGAGAAACGTTCAGGAACCCGATTGCTTGGATGTACCGCACAACTCGTGACTTTCGTCGTAACATGCATCAGTGACGCTGTAGTTAGTATCCATTAATCAGCCCTACGAAGAAAGATTGGTGATAAGCAATAACAGTTTTCCATCTAGATCTCAATCATCTGATTGACTCCCATCTTAAGCGAAAAACGTGACTTTGGGAAATATGAATTCACTAGGAGCGCTAGCCCAAGAGTTGAGAGGAATTCACCTGATCTCTATAATGGAGGTCATGTCTTTTCGAGTGCGATTTTATCTACGGCTTCCGCTGGTCGCCTTCTCTTTCCGCTTCCCAACCCAGGTGGAGATGTAACTCTTGCTCTTCCAACTACGCAAAATACGTCAACTTGAAGCGATATCAAGCAATCCGCCTATTGCAGGCTTGAGTCGGTGACTATCAACATCACGGTATTAAATGCCCACAACACAATAAAATTTCCCTCCCGACACCCATCCATCAGCTTGGAGTCTGCGACGTATCTATTATACAAGACTTTTTAGGGTTGTGAGAGCTACAATACTTTGAAGTACATCAGTCAGAGCAACATATACCAATCTGAAGTCCCCAATAAACCATAAATCCATCAAGCGCACACCAAATTCACCTCCACATTCGCCTCACCTTCAGCCAGCACATTCAAGGGCCGAGCAAAGTCATCCTCAAAACAAATCAACAAACACACAGCAACTCGATCAGAAAACCACTTGATATCAAAATGGCCTCAACCCCAGTCTTCTCACCCCGTTTCGACGTCAAAGAAACCCCAACCATGTACGAGCTGTACGGCGAACTCCCGGGAATGGATGGGAAGAACCTCGACATCGAGTTCAGCGACGCGACCACCCTCGTCATCAGAGGCAGAGTCGACCGTTTCTACGAGCGCCAAGCCACATTCCCCAATGCCTCCCTCGCAACCGCAATCGCCTTGTCCCACCCGGCACCTAAAGATCCTAAGAAGACCGAGGATGACAAGAAGCCTGTAGAGGTTCAGAAGAGTCCACAGGAGATTGCTCAGGAGACCGAGGCGCAGATTAGGACTGGCGGGAAGTATTGGGTTGCTGAGCGCGTGGTGGGAGATTTTGTTCGGAGCTTTGGGTTCCCGGTTCAGGTGGATCAGGATGATGTTAAGGCTTCTATGGGGAATGGGGTGCTAAGTATTTATGTTCCTAAGGCTGGGACGAGAAGGGGAAGGAGGATTCCGATTTGAATGGCATTTTGGGGATCGCTGTGACAAGGTGGAAAGCATCTGCGTGGTGGCTATTTGCGAATCCCACTGTTGACAAATTGATACAAGCACGACGGAGGTACGACGCTATCAATTGCTGATAATTGAGCTGACGGAGGGCGGGGGGTTGTGAAGAGGGAAAAGGGGAGGGGATAGAGCATGAAATGGAGAAAGACTGCGGAAAATTTCAACAAGGGTTGAAGAAATTGATATACCTAGTAGTGGTTTTACAAGAAAGCGTCACGACACCGAAAATCTAATAAATCTCGCACACAGCAACTTCTCAAAGGCATGTAAACGTAGAAAGCGAAGGCTTCGGGTATCTTCTGGTGTCCATGTGTGAAAAATAATGATTCTCCTAGCTGCTCGTGGAAGCGTTACCTCAATTCCCAAATACTCAAAATATAAGAGTATGTAATGTGGATCTTCGCATGTCACATACTGGATATTATTCATTCTGGATAGCCCTGCCAGCATAATAGATATCTCGGACTGATTTTTCAGACCTTTGAGAAACAATTCTGCTATTCACACAAGTGTAAGATTACCCAGAACAATGACCAGGTCTGCTACCAGCCAATTTTCATGGACGAAACTCAGAGCGTTAATTTCAAGAAGCTTGGTGTCCGATATTACCCTGTAGCTGCTTGTATTTGTACTCTGTTAGCTCATCAGGAGCCCTTATAGGAAGAGGGAGCTATATGGGTAGTCATTAAGCAACAAATAAGCGAGCCCTCAAACGCTCTATTCCTCAACCCATCAGCTCCCTACACCACTATATAACCACCCAAACCCACAAACATCCCCCAAGACAAAATAACAAAACCCTCCATCTGGGCTCAACCAAACAACAGGATCTGTGGGAGAAGATCACGTGGAGTATGATGATGCCATAGAACTCTGGATGAGAGCCTGGTGTAGATATTAGGATATGTTCCTGTAGAAACTTTGAGAGATCAATTTCCGTCACCGCAGAGTGCTTGGAAAAGGTATCAATTGTGGCACAAGTGTAAGATGAAGACTAATCTGTGACCGCTAGACCACAACACAACTCACCCCAACAAAACTGATAACAAATTTGATCTGTAACCGCTTTCACACCCCCTTCAGAAACGTGATTCAATACAGCGTCATTCAATACAAGTAAGCAGTGCGTCAAGGGAGAAATACGTATACAAATAACATACTTGGTACTCACAAACTCAACAAACTTTCCTCTTGACTCAGAGACTCCTAATATACCCACATGACACATCCAAAGCTCAGGTCCCGAGGTCCACAGCCGACCGCCCGATCTCTCAAGCTCAAGAGTCACTAACCGCCTCGTTTACTCGCGCGGACCCACCTTGAGTCAGAAATAGGAAAGTTTAGGAGATGCGAAGTGCAACAAAAATATCGTAATGTCTTGAATCGGCTAAGTTATTTGAATGTAAAGGTTTTATTGTGGCGATATCTGATGATAGGCTGAATTTCTGGTAATCTAACTTGACTCTTGAACTTGACTTGAACCAAATGGCGGATGCTTGGCAAACAGCAAGCGAATGCTTTGCTAGATAAATCGAACCTCGTAAAAGGAACAGGAACACTGGATTCGTGCCAAAGGCTATGTATTTCATTTCTCGCTTGTTGTAATAGAGATTGCGGAAATTGGTTCATATCGTACTAACAAGTTTCTTCGTTGAAATTCTGGAATTGTATTCTCCATTTCTTCTCACATCACTCTGAAAATCCTGACAATCATAAAAGCGTGATCTAGGGATTTTCCCCACCCTCTATACTCCAGAGAAGCCCAAATATTGCGCCATCCCAAACGCCATTTCATGCAATTTTCTATGCCCTATCGAAGCCCCTCAAAATCTCTCCTTCATTCTCGAAGCCACCGTTCTCAAATTACCATACACTTTCCCTGGCGGACTTCCCAAAATCAAACTGACGATTGCTTCTCTTGCAATATGGATGTTCTTGAAGCCTCCCAGGATGTGAATTTTCGAGTCCGCAAGCACCACTCTCGTCCGACTGGCGTTTTCGATGGCAAATTTGGTCTTTCCGTCCTTTCCTGCAATACGTCCAATAGCTCTTCCCAAATGCTCTCCTTGCAGAGTCTTCACATCCTTAATCTCGAAGGTCTCAATATACAAATCATCCAATCGAAGGAGGGCAATAGCATCGTCAACATCGAAACCGAGACTGAATGCCTTGACGAAATCCTCGCCTTTCTGTAACGCTCCAGTATCGGTGGTGTGTTTTGATGTTCGGAGCTCGACAGCTCTGTTCTTAATGTTCATTCTGACTTGGAGTTTGAGATGCTCCACGAGTGGGGGGTAAATCTTGGGCCATGAGGCTTTGAGAGGTGACATTCGGTGGGGTGGAATTGGGACTTTCCGGCTTTCGACTCGTACTGGACCATCCTGCGTCTGTTAGTACCTATCATATCATACAAAACATATTTTGGCATACGATATTTTTCGCTGGCGCAAAGCGTGGTCGCCCCTCCTCATCGATGTGCATCTCATTGTCGGCATCACCCGTAATTAATTGAACAGTGCTTTCTGCGGACATCTCTGGGGCATCAAGTAATAGCTCATCATCCGCACCTAGATTGTGTTAACCTTATATTACCTTTCTGGGATGAACTCTTCTTACTCTCTACGGGTAATGGAACGGCAGCCGCCAATTCTTCTGGTCGCCTCGACAGCGCTGTTGGAGCTGGCATGTTTTTATTATTATGGGGAAATCAGCTGGTGGGTGTTTGTGTGGTCGTTGGAGGAGGAGGGCGTTTGTTGATGCGATACGTGGCGGGGAAAAACAATTAATTGTTCAATGCTGCGAATTCAAGTGGGGAAGGGAAAAAATGTCTATCTGGATCGGCGATAAGAATATGTGGTTGTGGTTGTGGTTAGCGGGGAGGTAGCGTAGCTTATTTTCGGTGATCTTTTTGAAGCGGCGGCCTTGATCGCGTGCCTCTGGAGGACAGGAACAAGCTAAGTGCTGCAAAAGTGCTACAAAAACCTCGTTAATAATAAGAAATTGCGCATATCAGACGAATTCAAGAATCCAGAACCTTTGAACTCTTATTTATTTATCTATATGCCAAAAGAGCTACCGGTAATATAAAGTTGTCAGAGCCAGCGGTTTCACTGGGGTGCCGCCTTTCCACCCACTCACGTCATCCCTGTGCTTTCATGCGCCAAAAAGGTTCAGAGGCATCCAGCCCGCCAGCCTCGCCAGAAAATACTCCAATCCGTCATCGCGCTTGTGCAGCAACTCCTCAATTCTTTCAGCAACCCACACATTACATCAGATCACTGTTTTACGGCCTGGAATAACTACGGAATAGTCACAATGACTCCCCCGATATGAATACAACAATAAAAAGTCGGCTGTGGTCCCGATTATGGGATTCCGGCAGTCAGTCATTGGCATCTGGGAATTGCAGATCCAAAAGCTTCGAGAGGTCTTTCAAAACTCCCTTGGTATATTCGCATACGACCCAGCGATCATTTTCCTGCAGTCGACCGCAAGTACCACTGATCGATACGCCGCGGAATGTATTTGCTACGAGGAAAACCTTTACTTCTTGTGGACTTTTGTTCGTGAACGTCAGCCCTAGCTCAAGCACGAGCACATCGCCCACGATCGCAGTTTTGTTCGAGAAGTCTTTATATTCAACAACGCTCCCTAAAAAATCGATCATATCCATCACAAATCAGCACCCATGTCGAAGAAAAATTCATTCTACTGGCAGGAAACGGAAAGGCGTGGTTTCGAAGAGGAATAAGAGTTCTGCATCGAGCGGACAAAACGGAAATAAGAATCTTCAGAATGGGAACGGGATCAGAAATGCAGCAAAGGTGCCACCACCTATCGCAGCATCCAAAAAGTCTGAAGTTTCCAACCTCAAAGTCGATACAGAGTCCCACAGCTATCTCCATTTACCCCACATGCCGCATAGGCCAACAAAAGAGGAACTTCTTGCAGCAGCAACTGGGTTTTGGTCACGATTAAAGGTTCGTTTCAAGTGGTTCTCTATAAGAAGTTCTCGACCATGGAACGTTGACGATTGGAGTGCGTTTGTCTCCTGGTTCGTCCTCGGAAATATCGTATGGATTCTGGTTGGGACGACTACATTCTTCTCTCTTGTGATATTTTCAATAAATACTGTCTTCGCTCAAGGTTGGTCATTTCTATATAACGGAATCCATAATCAAAAGCTAACCTCAGATAGAAACATTGGCAAGATGGATCGGTGACTATTTAACACAATCAGCCGGTATCAAGGTTGTCTTTGAGTCTGCAGTAGTACCAAAATGGAAGAATGGAGTCATTACATTTCATAATGTCTTCGTTTCAAGGAGGCCAGGTCAAGAGAAGGCTAAAGTAAAGAAGGGATCATCAATCAGTGCAGCGGCCGCCGCCGCAGCAGAGAGACAGGCGGAATCAGAAGGGCGAGCCGCAAAGGAGGAAGGTGAGGAAGACACCAACTATACTCAGTTCGACGTTACAATCAGTACCGTCAATGTGACGCTCTCTTTCGTGAAGTGGTGGAATGGAAAGGGACTTCTCCGAGACGTTGAGGTCAAGGGGGTTCGAGGTGTCGTTGATCGGACCTCGGTTTATTGGCCCGCTGAATACATTGATCCTAGGACATATCGCCACGAGCACCGTATCGGAGATTTTGAGATTGATTCTTTCAAGATGGAAGATTTACTAATAACTATACACCAACCAAATGGGTTTCGTCCGTTCTCCGTCAGCATTTTCAATTGTGAGCTTCCTCAACTGCGCAAACAATGGCTCTTTTACGACTTCTTATCCGCCAACAATATGTCCGGAGCGTACGATGGATCTCTTTTTACCATCCATCCACGTCAAATGCATGCCTTTGCTGGAGAACGTTATGACGAGGATGAGGGGGGAACGAATCCATGGAAGAAGCATAGTAGGCTTCGAATAGACGGCCTCAAGATTGATCACCTCAATCGAGGTGTAGATGGACCATTTGGTTGGATTCACGAAGGAGATGTGGATATCGTTGCGGATGTGATGTTCCCGGCGGAGACTGATGATAGTATTGCAAAAGTAATGTCTGATTTCTACGACCGTATGGAAGCAACAGTCACTTCGAACAGGTATATGCACATTCTTGAGAACCACCCTAGAACTGCGGACCTCAATACCCCAGAGAACAGAGCTGCCATGGAAAGCAAGCTTCGCAAAGATGATGAAAAGCGATTTCTTGTGATGGATCTTCGTGTTCATCTCAACGATGTCAAGGCCGCTGTGCCTTTGTTTACACGAGATCTTTCTTATACCAACCAGGCTCTCATTCGACCGATTGTTGCGTACATAAATTCGCAGAAGACATTTATACCCATCAACTGTCGAATTGTGAAACGAGCTAGCGAATTCGATGGTAGCTGGACCATCTTTGATAGTGGGCTTATGGAGGATTTGTCGGCGGAAACTTATGAAGCATTCGCAAAAGACGTGGTAGATACCCAACAACGAATGAGAAGATTGAAGAAAGTGGGGTTCTGGTCTATTTCCTTGATGGTTCAGGCATTGTTTATGGGCATGGCGGGAAACATTGCATGAGGCTGGGATGATACCTCTTGCTCATGATTTATTCCACTCACTCCCTTATGAAGACGGAAACGGAGACGAACCCCTTTTTTTGGTTCATAAAAAGTTTGGGGTTGGCGCTCTGGGTAGTAGAGTAAGCAAGGGACTTTTGATGATAAATGACCACCAGGGGGATTACAAGGCGCTTGGTTTGGGGGGAAACTGGTTTGTTTATATGATACACTGACTGGCGTTCTTTTTTTCTTCCTATTCTTTGGAGTTTGAGCGATTGTCAAAAATGGGATTGTGTGGAATGGATGGGTTTGGGAGGGTGATCTATAGATGTTCATAGGTTACAGTATATGATGAATATTTAATAACGAGGTTTTTGAGGGGTTGAAATGTAAGAATCTTACTTGTGTTTGTACTATACTGTACTCTCCTTTGCAAATCCCTATCTACTTATCACCTCTAATTCTCTTCATACCTATACCGCCTCGGCAGCTGAGTTAGGTGAATATATATACCTATTACACCACGCACACCGAGTAAGTTAATTCGCTAGCTCCTCTCCTTTTAGGCTAGTGTGTTCTGTCTTGCTCTTGCTCTTTCTGGCGCTAGCACTGTACATCTATCAGCTATCAGCTATCAGCTATCTACCCCCATATATAGTATATAGTTGTACAGTACGTCCGTAAATTAGTAAATCCAAGTCTTCTCCCCTAACCAACATATTTTGCGCCCTCCCCCTCCCCCCCGGTTGTTTCCCACGAAAAGGTCTGGATTGTGGTGCAAACGCGATGTTTACGACGCATCGACTTTTGCCCGAAGGTCCCCGAAGGCGGTGGTGGACGTGGGTGCGCAAGAACCGCAAGGATACTATCATGTATGAATTGGGGTCCTTCCGTTGGTAGATGAAATGGTAATCTTACAGTATTCACTAGGTACGTAGACGGTAATCCTTGAGGATTGGGAAAGTTGTTACTAACGCCTCTGGTTGGTTTTGGAGCATGTTTTTGTGTAGTTCTGGTTCGTGTTACGGTACCGCTGATATGTGGAAGTTGTGAGATAATGACAGAGATTTATTTGGGAAGATTACGATGGAGCGGAAGCTCACTTACTTGGAAAGCAGGAATATAGAGTAAGGGGGTATCTACTTCGCCCCAGGCAGTAATTGTCAAAACTCTAACCGGAGGGTTGACCTATACTCTACAGTATAGAAGCTACCGTAGAAAGGTTACCATTATTCTCTGGGACGATGTACTTCGAGGAGCCTCGAGCTGACTTTGAGATACCGGACCGGTACCTAGGGAGGACCTAGGTGCAAAGAAGCTAGTCCCGAGCTACCCCCATGAACCATTCCTCCCTATTCACGAAAGCAAGATTTTAGAGACTGGACTGGACTGGACTGGGCTGGAGTAGGTAAATTTACATGCCATTGGCTCGAGAAAAGCTCGCTACCAGATCCAAGGAAAGGGGGGCAAACCCGGGAAGAAGAATGGACGGAGATGTGGACCCGTAGCTTAGAACAGATGAAATTGCAGGTCGTCGGTTGGACTGGAGTTGGTACGAACGGGGGTTTTAAGTCTATGATGTGTTGGAGGAGAATTGTGAAGATGGTGCGGAGGATTCGTTGTAGTGGTGAGATGAGATGGAGAGTAACAGCATAGGGTACTGAGAGTCGTAAGCAGGCAAGATCTCCACCTCCTCTCTACCTACTCTATACGTCGTATATAGAGAATACGACATTTATCTACAGTGCTGATACAGAGTATTGGTACCGACCAGGCGGAAGCGAAAGATGCTGCGAGCCCCTGCGCGGCATCTCGGTCGAGTCTTTTGTATGAAGGTGCATTCGCATCTGCAGCTGCAAATGCACAGTTTCGTGGCACGAATGGGTCGCCCCGTTGCAGGACATCATTGAACCTTCATGCACTTAGCCCAGCCTCCTCAATTAGTAACAATTAACAATTGACCTCCTGTTGGGTTTTGGGGTCTTCTTCATATCCCACTTCCCAGGCACAGTTAGATGAACGAAAGACATGCTCATACTGATACTGATACTCCTACTTCTACTGTACAAGTACGTGTAAGTTGTTCTCAGTGCGAAACTCACCATCGTCGATCGGATGACAGGTCAGGATGTCGATGTCGATGTTGGGATCATTTTTATTCTAGTACTGTACGGACAAGTACCGAGTATTCGACGGGAGTACTGTACGAGCGCAGTGCCTGCGCTCGTACAGTACCGAGAGAGTCAGTAAGTAGCAAACGGAGACGAGACAAGATAAGAGACAACCTGAGCCTCGGCCCCTATACTGCCCAAGACCTTTGACTTCGCTCCGGGGAAATTCCCAGACCAAAACCTGTGCCATTGGGTTTGTTCGAGAGGCATCCCGTCCTTCATTAAATTTCACCGTTGACAAACCGCCATCACCATCGCCCTGAGTTTGACAGGAACACCCAGCCAAAGTGCGATCTGACGGGGAACAGCGAAGTGTTACTCTGTGCCTGTGCCGGTAAAGTGCAGACTGCGGTGCAGTGCATTCTGGTGCAGCTTGAGCTTGAGCATGAGCTTGAGCTTGAGCTTCCAATTGAGCTCCCGTTGAGCTTGCTTGGTGGACTCGGCCACTCGATTCCACGGGTACGGAGTAAATTTACCAGCCCGAGGACCTCGACCTCGACCTCGACCTCGACCTTCACCTGCTGGTGCCTGCAAGCTTCAACATATTCAACCAGCAATTCATGCGACCAACACCAACAACACCAGATGCTCAATTGAAGCCGCAACACCAAGATCGAACATGCGCAAATGTCCTCGCTGAATCCCACAAACTCGAACCACCCATTGACCCCTTTGAATCGCATGCGTCGCATCGTGGTGGACCTCTGTTGGAGTTGATAGTGCCTTCGTTGTCCCTGACCCGATTGTCCTGCTGAGGTGTCTCTCGCTGGCTCGCAGCATCGCATCGTGTCGCATTGCCACTACCACGACCACTGGACCCGCCAAATCGCATCAATTGAACCCGCCCAAGCCATACATGACCGTACACTCGATCCCATAGCTATACTGCAACCAGAGCAAGATCGGGGTCAAGGTCTTTTTGATACTGTACACCGTCCGGAGCACCTAGGCTCACTCGCTAGGTAGGCTGGTAAGTACTCGTACGGTGTGCGAGTAGTAGTCCTTACTTGTACCAGTACCCTTGCTTCAATCCCACGCAAAAAGTGGTCCAAGTCACTCACTCACTCCCGTTGCTCCCTCGGCTGGCCACTCTATTTTACCAACCTTGGAACTTTTCCCAGCCTCTCCGAATTTACGAGCCCACTACCACCACCATCATCCTCGCACAACCATTCCGACTTCTCTGCTATCTCGAAACCTTCGAGTCCAACCTCCTGCTCGTGGCAAAAAAGTATCACCAAAATTTTATATTCCAAGAACTCAATTGAGCCTTTCATACCCACTCTTCACTGCAGCCTTTCGCAGCCTCATCTTCAGCCTGGCCATCACCAACTCCAATTTCTCAGAGTTTGGCTCTAGCTAGGAAGAAGGTAAATCGCATTCGCTCTGACGACCTCACCATCCTCACCTTTGCTACCATTCACGTTGACGAATCTAATTCCCCCACCTCATAACGACCCTTACGAAGTCAACGAACCATCCACGCCTACTAACGCGCAACGCCAGCAGCGTTCTTTAAGAAGAAGAACACACATTGAAGCCACTTCTGTTGGTATCTCACCTCCTCCACGAGTTCAATTTGAACAACAACAACCAAGCGAACAGCAAGAGCTCACTAATGACTTCGAGGACGACCTTGCATCTTCAACTCCAGTAGCTCCTAGTTCCCATCATCAATCCCCCCAATCGCCGAGACGTCCCCATCGCGCCATCCGGATTTCTAGACAGACTGCCAACGCAATCCTCTACACCCTCGAAGAGGCATTGCGACAACCTAACCCATTCACTCCCGATCTGATTGAGGAGAGCGCGTCCATGTCAGACCTTCTAGGAGGTAGTCCCTCAGGACCTGGTCATAATAATGGTGGATCTAGACAAGCCGCCTCAGGCCCAGCTGGCTCGCCCGTGATCAGAGGACCTCGAGATATTATGCGTGAACGTGCAATTCGTGATGCAAAAAAAAAGGCCGATAAGGAAGCTATGGAGGCGGAGGAGCAACGAAAGCTCGAGCTAGAAACAAGTAACCGCAGGAGTACCGAGAGGAGATCAGCGATTGCTGCTGGCATTGCAGCGCAGCAAAGTGCCCAGCGTGGCTCAGGAGGAGCTGCCGGCCAAAGAATATCAGATAACTCCCAAAGATCCGATAGGAGATCGGGAGACCGACCTTTGGAAGCCGTCGGTAAAGGTGGCCATGCGGTTGGCGGCGGAGGAGCAGCTACTGCTAGACCACGGCCAACACAATCCCAACAACAACAGTCTAGACCTGTTCCTCCACAAGCATCTCGTCCAAGGCCTTCCCAACCACAAGCAGGCCCTTCCACTTCTGCTCAACCCCCAGCAGAGGAAAGCTCGGTAGGGCCAGTGCAGGGGAAATCTTCTTTCCCACACGCCTTTGAGCGATGGGAGACGCTATCTGCTCACTGGGAAGGCCTGACTTCTTTTTGGATTCGGCGGTTAGAAGAAAACTCCGAAGAAGTCAATCGAGACCCTTTGGCCCAACAGCTCTCTCGACAAGTAACAGATCTCTCAGCGGCAGGTGCCAACCTGTTTCACGCTGTTGTCGAGTTGCAACGACTGCGAGCTTCCTCGGAACGGAAATTTCAGCGCTGGTTTTTTGAAACCAGACAGGAGCAAGAACGTTCTCAAGAGATCATAGCAGGACTACAGCACCAAATCGAACAGGTTCGACAAGAGGCCACCCAAGCTGTTACAGATGCTGTTGACCTTGAGAGAGAGAGGTCAAATGCGGACCAGAAGCTTGCTGAGATGAAGCGTGAACTCCAAATATCCAAGGAAGAAGCTAGACGTGCTTGGGATGAACTTGGACGGAGAGAAACCGAAGAGCGTGACAGAACAGCTTCATTGAGAGAAGGACAGCCAACTATCGTAGGCGGAGTTCAAGTTGTTCCTATGATGCCAGGTATGCCCAGTCGACATGAAAGTGCTCAAGATGCGCCTTCGAGTAGGGAAGCACATGAGCCCGAGGAAGAAGCAGAGAGTGATGTTGCATATCAAGCATACCCCCGCGCCCAAAGAGCACAACCAACAGATCCTTTTGTCGCCGAAGAGAGGGCCTCTAGAAGTGCTCGAACGACCGGACCCAGTAGCCCCGCCTCGGCGGCCTATTCACAAGGCTACTCGCAAGCGCCAGCAGTTCAACCTGCTTCTACATCGGCGGGATTTTACCAACAGGGAGCCCTACATCCATCAGAGCGTGGAACGCCAGTAACAGGGGCTCAATCGGAAGGAGCGTTTAGTGAAGAGGAATATGCGATAGACCCAGAAGGTCAATTTATCCTTGATGCCCAAGGCAACAGAATCCCGTACATGGCTTCAGTTTCTGACAACGATACAGATGAGTATGATGTTGACGAAGAGCGAGAAAGTGAGCAGGCGAATAGACAACGATATGGAGGATCTAGTGCCGAATACAGACAAGGCTCCACTGCCACTTCAGGAGCCGGACCTTCCTCTCAACCCTCATCGTCTCAACCAGGTGGTGCCGACTACAGTGGTGCAGGATACGGAACCGGACTTGAATGGGGAGCCGTTCCACGTCACCATCATCCAACCAGATTGAGCGATGTTTTGGAAGAAGACGAGCGAAGCCGAACCAGTGCTAGCCAAGTCAGTCGACGAGAATAAGATAGGATGGCATGCACCAAATATTTCTTAATCGGCGAAATATAACGAGGCAAACTGAGTCTTATGAAATTATCAGAGTATCTTGGAGTGATTTGGCGTGTCGGCGATCGGTGTGGGCGATATTCATAGCACAGGCATGGGATTTGGCGTATTTGGTGGATGATGTTTGTGTATTAATCTTTTCTTCTGGGGCGATGAAAGCATGCTAAAAAGCAAGCAAGCATTTTTGAGCATTTTCGAAGCACGAAGGTCGTTTTTTGTACGATGATAATATTTTTTCGTTATTTCTTCCTCCTTTTTTTGACAAGAGGAATGACATGCCATAGATGCTGTAAAAAGAAAATGCAAGTCATATTTGTAGAGTTCAACCTTATGTATTTCAGGTGGTTGGAGTGAGGAACATGATCAGTGGAGGTGGCTGTGGAATGTGACGCTGTTTTAATCAGTTGAGAAAGCTTTGTTAAAGCGGCTCTAATTTTCAGCCTTGCCAAGAATATCGGCCCCAGGCTCTGATATCACTTCTGAGAATACCTAGGTAGCAAAATCAAAATATAGTTCAGTTGTTAAGGCCATTGAAAACAACCCAACCACCCAACCGCCACATAAAATGACTAAACGGATAATCCCAAGTCGACGACTCCTCTCCACCTTCTCCTATTATCTACAACCATCCCAACCACACGCACTCAGCTCCCAATATCGACCATTATCCACCATCACCCTCGTTCCCCTCACCAAACCTCGGACCACCTCACCATCATGCCCCTCACCCTCACCCTCACCCTCCCACCAGCCCCATACAATCTCGAAAAGGACCTATAAAACAGTGCAAGAACAACAGTCACGCTACAAATCGGGGCCCTTCTCCTGGGGCGCGGGACTCCTCTTCTTGGGCGCGGGGGCGGCGCTGATTTTCTTCTTTCGCTTTGAGAAGGATAGGGTGGAGCGGGAACGGGTTGCGAATGCGACGAAGGGTGTGGGGAGGCCGAAGGTGGGAGGGGAGTTTGAGTTGGTTGATCAGAAGGGGAGGAAGTTTGGGAGTGAGGATATGAGGGGGAGGTATAGTTTGGTAGGTTGATTCTTTGATTTCATTTTGGTTCTTTCTGTTCTTTTGGGGGCAGGGGGGATGGAAAGAGGCGGGTGGATGGGGATGTTGGAGAAGTTAGATGGAGGAGTGGTTATGCGACAGCTTCTGCGTGGGCATTTCAGCTATTTTGCTCAAAGGCGCCAGCTCCAGTGCGAGCATTTCTTTTGCTCGGCAGTTGAAGAGGTTGCAATATGATACACCTAGAAGACCCAATTGATGGTGCTACGAGAACAACCCTTATGCTAACTCACCTCCGCAGGTTTACTTCGGCTTCTCCCACTGCCCCGATATCTGCCCCGAAGAACTTGACAAAATGTCCCAAATGATCGACCTCGTCACCTCCTCGCCACGCTCCCAAAAGAACACCCTCCCCCCTCTCCTCCCCATCTTCATAACCTGCGACCCAGCCCGCGACACTCCCGCCGTCCTGGACGCCTACCTCTCCGAGTTCCACCCCTCGCTCGTAGGTCTGACCGGAACCTGGGAACAGATCAAGGATGTGTGTAAGAAGTATCGGGTGTACTTTAGTACCCCACCTGATGTGAAGAAGGGCCAGGATTACCTCGTGGACCATAGTATTTATTTTTACCTCATGGATCCTGAGGGGGATTTTGTGGAGGCTATTGGGAGGCAGCATAGTCCTGAGCAGGCGGCGAGGATTATTTTGGATCATGTTGGGGATTGGAAGGTGGGGGCTTAGGAAGGGGTTGCTGTTGTGGAGTAATGAATCGGGTTGAGCGCCGGGGTGCGATGGGATGGAATGGAATGGGATTAGATGTACAAATCTGTATAATATAGATAGATAGATGAGAGTTTCGTGCTGGGACTGGCTCACTGCTCTGAAGTATACGGTACTAGTGTAATTCTACTCCGTCCAGATAGATGGTAGTTAGTGTAGCAACTTTTCCTCTGTATGTACTGTACCTAGGTAGCCAGCCCCTTGTTTGTAAATAGAAGAGTTCCAGTCTTGTCTTGTCAAATAGGATAAACCGTCGGTCGAATGTTCAGCTTACTCGCACCCTGCAAGTTAACATTATATCTCGGCCCTGACTTTTTAGCGAGACTAGCGAATTAGAGACTGGATTTAGGTGTCGTACGCTTTTCTTATGTGTCATGTGCGTGATAGGCGCTAACCCGAGCTCTCTAACCCCCTTGAATCTTATAAAAGCCTAGGGGTGTGTGAAGCCTCCGGTTCGTCTAGGTCGTAGTCCGAGGTCATTGAGTCGCCCTCTGAAAGGAAATGTAAGGCTTTTTGGGAGGAGGTAAGGGTAGGGGGCTCGTATTAGGATGGCTGAGTCTCATTCTATCCTACCGTCCTTGATGATACTTTAGCGAGTTTCGAAATTGGCAATTCTTAGGAAAAGGATGGGGTATAATCTGCCATTGATATACGCCAAGCAATTATTCTGATTTCAGTCATGCAGTGTTGGCCATAAATTTCAAGGTGTTAAGTCATTGGAGAAAGGAGAGAACAAGTTAACTACTCGCTTATTTGACACAATCCAACTTCTCTTCTTCTTCTACCTCTCTAACTCAAACGCGCTCATATAGAATTTCCAATTTCAAGTCATTTACTTGCCTCCATGGGCAACTCAGTTGATTTCCACAATAGGACCAGTATAATTATTCTTTCCACCCAGCAGGAAGTAGTACAAACAAGCAGACCCAACCGAAGCAGCCATCAGAAAAATACTAAAGTTCATATACTTTAGCGGCGGCTGCCACATGGGAGGCCAGAAGCTAAAGAATAGTATCACGACCGCAAATCCGATGCCGATCAGGTTGATTATGCTCCCAAATGGTTCACGGACTTTGAAGGGGCCCCAGGTCCGATTGTCCGTGTTGGGTACGTTTGTCAGAGCTTGAGACTGGCTGTTATATGGGCGGATCGCTCCCGTGACACGACGGTAGAATAGGAAGCAATGTCCAATGACGTAGGAGGTGTAGATACAGCAAATGGTGGCTGATAACACGATGTTCAATGCATATTTCGAGTAGAAGATTAGGAGGGCCAAGAGGCAGGAGATGCAGCAAGTGCATACGATGGAGATCACAGGGGTGAGGGTGGGTTCGCACACCTATGGCAGAAAACAAGTCAGTGAAGTTCGTCAAGTTATTCAGACAAGAGGAGATGAAAATCTCTTCTTACGCGACTTATCTGACGCCATCCAGGGAGACCACGATCTCTCGCAAATGACCAAGTCAAACGCGAAGCCGTTGCCAGGTAAGCAACCGTCGCAAATATTATCATAATTATTACCAAGTCAGACATGATAGCGGCTTGAGAAACATTCTCAACAGCTTGGAGGAATATGGCTACGTATGGGGATTCGGATGCCATGACTGATGGGTTGCCCATGCAGAACAACACGGCGATTATCATAGCGAGTCCCATTATACCGTTGAGGAGGATTCCGAACAGCATGGCGCGTGGAACGACTACGGATGCGTTCTTGATTTCTTCAGACATCTAAATAGGCAAAAGTCAGTAAGTAACGTTACAACTTATCCCGACGGTCGTCTTTTTCTATCTGCTTACATGGATAGCACTATCAGAACCCAACAGAGTCCATGTGAAACTGTAAGAGCCAATCATCTGCGCCAATCCCTGTGTTGGGAACCCGCCTGCATTGTTGAATTTTGTAAAGACGTCCAGTGCATTCCCGTGTGGTCCCATGTACGTCAAAGGAATGAGAATAGCGAAGAAGCCCAAAATATGAAGGAGCAAAACAATGCTTTCAATCTTGGGTAAAGCCCGGATGACGACGGTGTTAAGAAACACGGCCAGGAGAATGACACAATCGAAAATGATCACCATGTGCCAGGGCTTTGCGTTGTAATTTGGATGAAGTAGTGTTGCTAATTCCTGGATTGTTTGGGCGGAGATCAGGCCTCCGCTTTGGATTGATTAGCAGTCATTCACTTCTGTTTCTTTTGCCGGAAGGGTGGCGGTTCCGTTCCTCTCAAGCACTGAAAATGTTGCTTGTGTATAGGAATTCAGGGAGTTTGGTTGGCATACCTGGCAACATTGGCTTGCCAGCCTATTACTGTTATCCATCCTACGAAATTTTAGTCTCTATCTTTCGGCTGCCGATTCTTAATCCATGCTTAAGCGAGGATTTCTCACCTGTCAAAAAGCTTAGGAATTTCTGACATCCTGGCGGTGCCAACATGGCGACCCACTTCAACAAAGTCAGCACTTTTTCTTTTAGTTGTCTGGTCTGAGAAGAGCTAGAATGACAATGCCTGCTTCCGTTCGCTAGCAATAGGGGTTCAGGGAAGGAACAAGTAAAAGGTCCCTTACATGGTATTGACCGCCGGAAGTTGGAGCCCTGTTTTGCCTTTCGTCAGCTCGAAGAGTTTGGAGCCAATTTGGATTTGCAATACTTACATGGAAGCCATTTCTGCCATAGTCGTAAAGATTGCTAGGTTCCCGGTCAAAACAAACAGGAATGCATAGAATGAGCCTGCAGATCCACCATTGACATAACTGAAATGTAGAACTCTAGAAATGTTACACTTATTAGTTGAAGTAACCTGGTTGGGAGAAGAACGGAGATGGTTTGGATTGTGTTAGGTCGCCTTACACAACGAGCCCTTCCCAGGTAATCATGTTGGTACACGTGAATCCCAATGCGCTCATAAACCCGAATTCTCTCTACCATGCCCAAGGCTCGTTAGCTAAAATTTAGTTCGAAACACCATAGGTTAGTGTCTCTTCTGGCAAGGAGATCTACCTTGAGAACCGATTTCTTTCCCAATCGCGCAAGGATCGCATTGTCGCGTTCAATGACGGAATCTTTGTCGGTGGAGTGAGTTTGAAGAAAGATAGATGATGCTGCGGGCCTTCTTTCGAGATCCGCCATTTCATGAGCAGACATCTTGAGTAACTGCCTGCCGTTGTTTCATCGAATGGTGGCTTCGTGGGGAGGGGTGCAAAGCGTTGAGGGTCTCATGGTATGGCAAAATGTCGTGAGGTTCGAGTTAGGTTGACTGATGGAAGCGTATTCACCATCCTCGGACTTTGCACACAGAAGTCCGAAACTATTCATTAAGTGATGGTGTGGGAGAGTTAACTGGCAACCGATAGGTCCAAAGACCCAGATTGGCAGTATTGAGCATATTTAAGCGAGCTAATTTAACTAGTACGGAGGTAAGCGGGGCTTAAGGGGTTCGTCCCAAGATGTAAGGCAAACATCAATGACACAATTCATTCAATTGAACTCAATAAGTACGGAGTACTGAACGGTGAAGCCCTTGGGAGAAGTTCAAGTTTCAACACTGCGGCCATACGGTTGCTCAAGTCACTTTTTGCCGCTTATTTTTCACAAATTATGACGATAATGGATCTCATCATTCCACGACATGATATCGACCCGAGTGAAAGGCCGATAGACAGGCCTGACAATCACAGCCCAATCCTCAATGTATGCTCTTGGTTCCTTGGAGTCTGCAATATCGTTACTGTGGTGTCGCGAGTCCTCTCCAAAGCAATATATTCGAAGAACCTAGGCCTTGACGACATTTTGATCTGTGTAGCGTTGGTTAGTGGGAATGTTCAAAGACAGGATGCGGGTTTACTAATGGCAATGCAGGTGTTTTGCATAGCACAAGTAATGGCTTTCAGCTATGGTGTTTACTATGGCGCTGGGAGACACATCGATAAGCTTTCGCAGGAAGAGATACTGGGCTACCAGAAGGTACAGTAATTTACTACCGTGTGTTCTATTTTTAGGAAGCTATTGACTTTGTAAGGCAATATATGCGTCGAATATACTTTGGCATCAAGCACAAGTCTTTTCGAAGCTCTCGGTTACCTCTTTTGTCCGAACAATCTCACCTACGCAATGGAACAAAAAAGGCTCGACCGTTGTGTATGGGATCACCGTTGTGTGGGGTATCACTGCCCTTTTGATATTGGCTTTTCGATGCAACACCCCCAATACTTGGCAAACGATAGGGAATGTTTGTTTAGATATTCACTACGTCTGGGGTTATATCAACTCGATGAACATTGCAATCGATCTGCTTCTCATTGGTTTACCTTATTCCGTCCTATGGAAAATCAAGCTCCCACCCCGAAAGAAAATTCTGGTGTTTTCTTTCTTTGGTGCGCGTATCATGTGAGTCTTTTTCTTCTTGCTGCGCGGTAGAAAGCAATAACTGACTGGCTCCATACAGCGCTGTAGTGGCGATAGGATACCAGGCGTATCGAACTTACGCCTTGACGGAAACCAATGACCCCTCGGACGATGTAACCTTCAATATGTGGATTGTTCACTTGACAATGTCTATTGCGCAAACTGCGGATATTGTAACTGCTTGCGTCCCATTTCTGAAGCCTCTTGTAGATGGGTTGGAATCTGGCATGATACGAACCAACGATTTTCGCCCTCGAACATTAGCGGTGGGGACGTCAAGACATGGCACAGTAAACCCGGATACGAGAAGAAACCCGGAGGGGTATTTCAGTCACAAGTGGAGGGCTGTTACGCGAAGAAGGAGCGGAAGTGGTAGTAGCGTGTTGGTTATGCCCCGCGGTAGATATGCGTACGCAATGGAGCCGATTTATAGCGGGACAAGCAATAGTCGTACGCTGAGGAATAGTATTGATACCTCTACGACGGTTGGAGATGGAAGATGTCAAGAACATGACTGGTGCGGCATTCAAAGTCACTCTAGTCAAGGAAATATGGACGGATAGGTGGGTTTTGAGGGCCAATGTCGGAGTTGCAAACGACAAGACAAGAAGCAGGCACTCGTCTTGGTGGACTATGAGTATACTGCATTATTTTCACTGAGAAATAATCAGTCACTTCATCGGTAGAAGGATTTTGGGAAGTTAATAAATAATGAATCCAACAAAGTTCCGCAACGCCTTGGGTGCCAAAACAGTGAAAGCCTACATGTAGCTGATCGTGGCCATACATTTAATTTCATCACAAGTAGCCTCGACGGCATTCCACGCTCCAACTAATCTTCTCGTTCAGTGCGCAAATCTAAAATCCAACCTCTTATTTCCTTCGTCCTTCGTCGTAGCGAGATAATTCAGTCGTCCTTCCTCGCCTAACGCATTCCACTTCTTCTCTCTCGATCGATTCCTCATAACGTAGTAAACCTTCGTAAACGTATACAAACCAATGTTGACCACACATAGGGAAAGCAATACTCTGTTCCCCCTTCTATATCGAGGTGCATCATCTTTACGATAAATATTTGCCGAGATGATTCCAGAGGCTTGATGGAACATATTGTATAACGCAGCGGAGATGGTGCGGGAACTGACACCGTTGGCATTCCGACTAGTCCATGCTGTTTGAAGTGGATGTGCTGGAGAGTTTGTGGTGAGCATAATAACATCTCCAGTGAGGAACAAGGGGAAGTGTACCAGATGGATAACTCAGAAAAGCTGTCATGACTCCGAAAGCGTCCCATTTATCAATTTGGTTGATGTCTTGGGCATAGAGGTAGCTCACGAAGGGTAACACCCAAAATTGTCCAATGCTAGCTATGAAGCTTAGTTCCCCAAAGATTTCAGCTCCATATGTCATTGCCATCATAGCTACAAGGGTTAAGGTTAGCCTTTGCTTATTTTCATATTATCAAATCATGACTTATATCGTTTCTACCCCCATTGTTCGCACAATTTGGAGACTCTCTTGCTACGCCGGCTTATTTCGCTCGAAACAGTGATAGAGTGGATACCGAGGGCCAACTACACTTACTTATCGTTTTCATCACTGTATATGGAATGACTAAAAGATTTGATTTGAAAGTATCGAATCCCAATCCTCTTAGTGTCAGGGTCATATACTGTTGGGGGGTCGATTCAGGAAGCTGGAACATAAGACCGAGGATGTAGAGTGGCCACATATCATAATCATACATGCCTTTAAATAGTAATTTGGGGGTAATTGGTTGTCGGTTGTGCATTTCTGACTTGCTTGGGTCCTCTCGAATGACCCGGTTGACGATGATGATTTCCTCGCTATAGCACAACAAGGGTTAGTTGAAACATTTGGTACCGTTGTGATTGAATACGTACCGTTCCGTGAACCAACCATTTTTTCCTCGAAGTTTACTTGCAGTTTGGGTAGGACTTGCCGGCATGAGCACAAATGCGGCGATCCCAAGAACCAAAGTCAGCAGTCCCTGCGTCAATCGATTTCAATATCCCCTTTCAAAAATAAACGAGAAGTTCTCCATACCTCTATCATGAATAGCCAGCGCCACCCAGCGTAACCATGTACCCCTCTCATACTTAAGAGTCCAACGGCCAAAAAGGCTGCGAGGATATCCGCTAGAGACATGGCCGTCCAAAAGAATCCCAAGCGTAATGAGAGTTCATGGTGTTTGTAGAAGTAAGAAAGGTACAAGATAATCTAGAATAGAACCTCAGTTATTGATGATGCAGGGTAGTAAGAGGGTCAACTCGGCAACTCACATCAGGAATAAAACCTCCCTGGAGTATACCAAGGAGCGCTCTACAAACCAAGAAGCCTTGTCGTTCCGTCAGAAAGAATTGGGAGCAAGCGACAACGCTCCAGAGAGTCATTTGAGCTGGTATCCAGCGATCTGGACCAACCTATAACCACCGAAAATCAGCTTACTTTGTTTTTAGCATAAAGAGACACAATATGTTGGTTCTTTTTATTCGGGCTTGATGCCAAAACGTCAAGACGAGCACTTAAATTGCGATGAAAAAGAGAGAGTTTCAAAACAAAAGTTTCAGAAAAAGAGATGCTTAGATGAGTAAATCGTGGAAATGTCATCCACAATTACGCGAGTACTACTCGTTTGGCAACTTATCCTTTCTTTACATGAGAAAGCTCTAAATGAGGACTTAAGAAGGCTCTTATAGTGGATTTTTATGTAGCCCTGATACAGTTGAAGTGCATCGGCTAGATAGGATAACCTGTTAAGTCCCAAACAAGTAGGGTTAACAAAGTACCCACTGCTTTGCATCGCTCTACTCATTCCGAATGCGTCAAACAACACACAATAGACAGTGGCTCCCAACGTGAATATCTTCTACCCCTTTGACGAATACGTTGACTCTCTGGAGCGAAAACCGAGAACGAGAGAAAAGTTGGTTTAATGAAAGAAGAGACGAAAACGAGCCCACTTACCCATTTTGACACAAGCTGAGATGGTAATTCAGAGCACAAGAACGCCAGCTTGAAGACTGTGTTTCCTAAGTTGTAATCTACAATACCCCAGGTCAAATTCTGTTTCTATCTCACAGTAAATGAAAAGCAGAACAAAGTGATGCTGCATACCATTTGTATTCATATGAAGATCCTTCAAGAAGTTATCTGTCAAGGCTTGGTTGATGTTTGCGCGATCAAGTTCAAGAGCCATGAACATAACACATGCCCAAACCTGTATACGTAAGAGAGTACTCTCCATACATGGTGTATTCGGCTAAGGCGTCGGGCTTACCGTAATCTTCAAATCAATCTTTCGAATCAACTTATGCTCTTCGCCCCAAGTCCACCGAGCAAGGGGGTCAAAGCGATGTATATTTTCCCATGTTGAAGGAGGCCAATATTCCTTTACGGTTAGAGGATCATCGAATACAGAAGGCTGGGTTGCGATGGCATTGGGTTCATAAGTTTTGTCGCGTTGAAACCAGAAACGCTTTTCTTTTCCAGGAACTCCAAGAGGAGGTGCGGAAGCATATACTTCGGATACAGAATCCTTGATAGCCTTTCCGGAAACCTTCTCAGCGATATTTGTTGCCGAGATGTCGGAAGAAGAGTCCGTCGAATGTGCCTGTCTTATGTGCACACCACCAGAAATCTGTGCCGAATGAAGGTCAATGTCTCGAGCGGTAACGGTAGCCATACCTCCACTGGGCCTTTGTTGTAGGTGGGGGAGAACTAAAAGGGAATTCGATGCCTCTTGAATATCTGAAGGGATTGGGGCATACTTATACATTGCCCTCATTAATATGTTCGGGATGACATTCAAGTGTCTAGAAAAGGTAGGGTCAAGGGTCACATAGTTCGCCATTTTCACTACAAAAATACAGGGTGAAAACTCCACGAGATTTCAACGTTTATTATGCCTAGGACGAAGTAAAGCTTGGTATGTAAAATCAGATCCGGCGTACTCAGAAAATAGAGTGTCAAAATCGGCCCGATTTGGTAAGCCGGGCGGCAGCTATACTCGATTTAGTGATATTCCGACACTTAGACTTTCGTCGGCGTCTATCTATATTCACCTCTAGATATTTTTCCTTCGTAAAGACGGTGGATAGCCAAGAGTCACAACATGTACGCAAATCATGTGTTAAAAAGGAACGTGAGTCTCTGATTGGTTGATTTCGCTGAAAACTACGGCCAAGCCGCATAATAAGCTAGCAGGGTGTCACTCTTAGCTTTTTTGACCCCTACGATATTGCCTCACCAAATCGCTATACTCCGAAGTGGTCTGGACGATATGTTGCTCAAGACCTAAATTTGTTTTTTGTCCTTGATAACGTGGATAACCCATGAACGAACGACTGTTCACTTATTCTTTACTTTTAAATATTAAGGACGGAAGTAATCATTCGCTACCAATGTGCTAGCTTATATGCGCGCGCTAGTTAAGACTAGGGTTCTACGCTGTTAAATCCCTCAAAATAAAAAAAGTCTTCCCCTTTCGGACATACACGGCATATGATCCTTGCGGGCGATAAGGCAACAATTCTCTGACAAAAAGTCTACTTCGAAGTATATTCTCCCCTTTCGGACATACACGGCATATGATCCTTGCGGGCGATAAGGCAACAATTCTCTGACAAAGAGTCTACTTCGAAGTATATTCTCCCCTTTCGGACATACACGGCATATGATCCTTGCGGGCGATAAGGCAACAATTCTCTGACAAAGAGTCTACTTCGAAGTATATTCTCCCCTTTCGGACATACACGGCATATGATCCTTGCGGGCGATAAGGCAACAATTCTCTGACAAAGAGTCTACTTCGAAGTATATTCTGAGTATACAGGGCCTATTTACTTCGGTCACTTTTCACACTCTATTTTCTAGGTGCGCAGGGTCTCAACGGACCGACTTGACAACGATTGACTCTAGATCGGAAAATCTCATCTAGAGTGTTTTCTAGCAGACCCTTCCTCCCCAATCATCGGAAAGGTAAAGCCGCTCGACAAGACTCTACAAACGGTATTATAGCAGGCTCAATGGCAGAAATGGCGAGTCGGGTGAACAACTCAAATTCGAAAATGTATGAAGGTAGAAGGACCTTATTTCGCAGAACCAGATTGCCGGGATTTGATGGCCTGAGAAGGCCCCTTGGGCAGCGTTCCAGCTCAGACCCACAACAAGATGCCGCTTAGTCAGGATTCCTTGAGGGCGCTCACGGCTGGAGGGTCTCCCAGTAACAGCCTTGGCGAAGTTTTTCGCTTGCGCCACATCAGACAAATCTGCCACTGGAGAGAGTATCTGAGATTATATGTATGCTATGGTGATGGCTTTGTATAGGTGTGACGGTCCTGGTCACATGCTGGCTCGCTTAGCTAGCCGAGCAGCATGCCTGCACCACACTGCATATTCAAGCACCCAGCTTTGTACGTAGAGAGGTCTCTATCTTAGATCTTCAATCCAAAAGGCCTTGCTCCCGATTCCAAGTTTTCACAAGAATTACCCGACCTAGTTTTTGGCACCTTTTGCCAGATCTTACATAGCCACGTAATTACGCTAGTTACGTAAAATCCGTACAACCGAACGCCAGATACAAAGACATCCGATATAGATTTATAAGTCAAATGCCCCTACAAGGGGGTTTTACCCCTTTACCCGGATTAGACACCCTAGAAAACTTATGTTCATTTCGCCTGCGGTGGGAGTCGGCAGCAGGGATAACAAGGCTGGTTATATGTACTGTACTACTACTGTATGAAGCAAAATCTGAGCGTCCTTCGAGACTGGGTAACTCGGCGGGTAGCAAATCGGCACCTTATCCACATATCATTCTCCTGCGCCTACGCATTAGACTACAAAGTAATTTACCCTGTAGACTCTGTATGTGACTTTCCGATTCATAATGCTTGAAACTGAATAAAAGTTTGTTCTAAACATCTTAGCATGTACAAGTAGATCTTTCATAGGCTGCCGAAAATCGACGTGGGCTTTTCGATCTTGACACTGCTGTTCCCAAGTACATATTAGATATAATATCCCCGTTTACACTCTGTATCTTCACACTGCACTTTCTACTATTCCATCACTTCTAATCGTACTTGTTTACTACTGCCTTTCTTGGCGTCGACGCCGCTTGCTACCCCAACACCGAGAATTGCAAAAATTTCTCACAGGCCGCAGGCTACCCATACTCTTTCAAATGCGATGGAATCGATGAGAAACCGAATTGTAACACTATATGCACGGGGACTGGTGAGGTTGGGAAACCAGGCACAAATCAAAATTGGTATATGAAATGCTGTACAAATAAATGTAAGTTCTCTTATCGTAAATCTATACACAGGGCAGTTCGCTAACAAAAAGAGTTCATAGGCGATGGGCAGGGCACCGGTTAAGGATACTACAGAAGAGCTGGGTGTTAGCAAGCATTCACTACATACTCATCATCTCCGGTAAACTCGACAACGTTTTTGGAGGCTAAGGCTCTGTTCGAATTATGTCTTAAAAAGGGTCCTTGGGGAGGGAAAGGAGAAGGGTTGGCATATCTGTACCTTCAAAACTCAACTTCATGGTCCTACTGTTCTACCTATAGCCAGGGAGATATAATTATACGAATCCCTCCTCAATTACCGAATGATGATAATTATACCAAATCGTAGATTATTTGTGATTATTATACCGAGAATCTTAGGTGTAAGAGAGCTAGAAGTAACCCCACTTTCAAGTGATTTGTACCAATAGAACACATTGACTTTTATCAAAGAACTGCCTTAATACAAGTGAACACAAGTTTTTAGGCTCTCGACAAATAACCAAAACTCATATATAACTATAACTGCAATTATACGCAAAATGCTCTTCTAGTAGAACGTGAGATATCCAGGGATGTAGAGGAGGAGGAGGTAAAATAAGGGGTTAAGATATAGCATTTCTGTCCCTTAATTTAGCATGTAATCAAGGTTTTTGGTCCTATTTTAGGTGTATTTATGTAACTCAAATAGGGGAATATAATTCGAATCCTACATTATTCATATGCCGAAAAATCCCACCGTAAAAACTCGACTTGAAGGCCCAAACTGGTCGGAGGGAGCGACCGTTATACGTGCGAGCACGTACCTAGAAAAGGCTCGTACTTAATAATTAAAGCCATTTCAAGATATCGTATTCTCGATCGTCGTTTTAGAAGTGGTGAAAGCGGAGCATTCCGATTGGCTCGGTTATATATATTAGAAATCAACATGAAAATTAACAATCAATATCCACACAAACATTCCTGATTAGGTATAGCCAGTACCTAATCGAGTGTTCGGCATAGTAAGTTTGCGCCCAGCGCTGTCACCTACTACACGTATAACGATTGCTCCCTCCGACCAGTTTGGGCCTTCAAGTCGAGTTTTTACGGTAGATTACGAAGTATTATGTTTTATAAAAAAATAATTCGGTAAAAGACAAAAATGCCACCGATGATACAGACATTAATTTACGAGGAATTTTACTAGTAAACCAGTGACATGGCACACAGGTGGTATTTCTGTCGTTTTTGATTAATCAGGTGGCATTTTTATCTTTTGCCGAAAATAATTTGACCAACCCTAGTTCTAGTAGGAATGAAACTTAAGATGTAGTAAAGTTTTTCGGACATCCGTTGTTCTATAATAAACCCGCCGAAGATTAATATAGCTTTCCTAACTTGGCTTAATTACTTCCAAGTACATTCATTAGATACAATGTTCCCGCTCATGAAAACATATCTCAACTTTGGTGTATCTAACTTTTCATCACTTCCAACCGTACTATCCACTTTCCAAAGCATCACTCTACTATTTTCCATCGCACAATTGGCCCTCTAAGGCACTCCACCATAGTAAATATGAGATTCGCTCAAGCTCTCATACTTGCCGCTGCTGCCTTTATTAGCGTTAACGCGGTTAACACTAAACTTGCTGCAGGTTGCTCTATCAACGACGAGGATTGCACATCATATTCGATTATTCATGAGCTAGCAATCTTTCTGTACTCCTATAAATGCGAGGACAAGCATAATTATCCCTCAGTGGGGGCAGTCAACTGTGCTACACGACCGGCGAGTGGGAAATTCCAAACAAAAATGCCAAAGGGAGTACTAAGTGCTGCCAAAACCTATGTAAGTTATAGCTTGCAAATATAGTTTGGTAAGTTGATGAACAAGTATCCGCAGGCCCGTAAGCCCTGACAACTGGATGTGAAAGGGGGAAGCATACTACATAAGAGCTGGCTGGATGTTAGCAAGCATTTACGATATGTTCCTTATCTCTGGTGTGGGCCTCTCCGGTGTAGTCAACCAAGTTTTGGAGAACCTGCGGTCCTGTTCAAATGATACTTTCAAGGCTTAATTAGGGGGAGGAGGGGGGATCTGCACGCATATAGCTACAAATTTATATTATTTATATGTTTTTCCGAGCGGTGGAAGTCGCACAATGTCGTAGGAAAATATATACATACGCATACCCACACTTCACTTGCTTCCGCACTTCACTTGTTTCCGCTGACTACAAGCGACAGCTTCGTAGGAAAACGCACTAACTATTAGTCGTTACTCGTACCCTCCCCCGAAATTCCAAATGTGGTATTAATACAACCCGGAGATATCTAATACTTTGTATAGAGAAAAGTGTTTAAATAAAGTATTATATTGTTACTCCACTAAGTTACCTACAGTTAGTTGCGAATTAAGCTTAAATGGTTTAGTTTAGTTTAGTTTCTAATTTTAATATATATCTATACGTAGGAACGCAAAAATTTCTATTTAGAGTTACTAGAGCCCCTAGAATCGGATATAGACTCGGAGCTACTAATACGAAGGATTCTAAAGAACTTATAGGGTCGTATTTAGGGTCGTCTAGCCTTACGTACTCCGCGAGTAGCTCCCTACGCTTATCCTTGTCCTTTTATTATACTAGCGCGTGTCCTATTTCCTTATACTCCTTCTTGATTCTCCTTATTACCCTCTTGCTTCTCTTCTTATTAAGCCTTGTGACCGTGTGGAGTGAACCACTGCTTGCTGTGATGAATACGGAGTCAAACGGAAACTGCTATATAGAGCGAACAACTAAGTGAGGAAGGAAGAGAGTTCCAGAGGAACAGAAGCTTATATACAGGCTGCCAGCAGCACGCACGTGCTGTGCTGCTACACGTGATCTGCCCCCAATTCCTCCAACTCCGTAACAAGCCTTACCTTCTCTACCTTTTCTTCTATTCTCGCTAGTAGACCTACTGTAACGAATACTCAAACTGGCTAACTAAACTTGGCTGGGTGTTCGCTGGTTGGTATGCTATGATAAGAAGAAGACTATCGGGTTGTTCACTTGGAAGTGAACTCGTTACTTGTATCAAAGATGTCAAACTAATATGATAAGATTGATAACTAAGTTGAGCACGAAGCTCCTATCTAATAGCAGACGTGCCAGTCTTATATAGAACCTCAGTTCTTTGTTCCAACTGTTGGATCGCCGGGGTCGCTTGTCTACCGAGTCGACCCAGACGACTGGAGCTTTGATTGATTGATTGATTGATTTATTCATACTCGGTTCCAGCCGCCCGCCGTAGGGCGGCTATGCCGGAGTGGTCCAGCTTCGGCGCAGCTGCCGAAGTATGCTTACTGCATTTGGTAAGCGCACTTCACTTCATCACTATACAGTGACCAGCAGCCTCCTCCCCTGGGCGGTCTGGCTTCTATCTACAACTATATACATAGCGTAAAAGAAGTGCTTTACTTGATATTTTGACATATATCAGGTTCCTTGGCTGCCGCTTCTGCTAGCCATCTCATGTCCTAATACCTTCTGTCTCCCCCCAGCGTTCCACTTCGTCTCTTTGTACTGTACTACAACTCCTAAATTGCCCAAGGAGTTGCGTCTGTTCCATAAATCTTATTACCTTTGTGGCTGTTTTTGACTCTTTCAAGATTGCCTTCAGGTCTAACCACCTCCTCCCTCCAACTTCCCTCTGTCGTAGGTCTTTGAATTTTCGACATCGTAATACAATATGTCCTACAGTTTGTCGTCCCTCTCCACATTCACATCCTGGATCATCATATCCGGGTACGTTCCTCTTCCAGAGGAAGTCTCTTAGTCCTATCTTTTCTGTGCGCATCTGGATCAATAGAGAGCTTTGCCATTTCTTTAGCCTCCGATGGAGATGCAGGATCTTGTGTGTCGGCTTCTGAGTGTATTTGTATGTGGTTCTCCCACTTGGTTCCAGGTCCCACTTGTATGCCCATTCAGCTCTTGTCTGCCTCATAATCCACGTCTTTAGGGTTGCTTGCAGGTGGTATGTCTTGGGCTGGACGACGTTTGGGTTTCCCTGATTCTCCTCTAATTGAGATTTTGCTGCAATTTTGGCCGCCTTGTCTGCTGCTTCATTGCCCCATATGCCTATATGGGCCGGGATCCATCTTATCTCGACCTGGATTCCATGGTTCTGTAGCTTGTCTATTAGGGCGACTACTTCGATAGCTATGTATGCGCCTGATCTGCCGGTTGGGTGCTGGAGTGTCCTAATAGCCGCCTGATTGTCTGTGAAGATGGCTACTTTGTTTCTTTCGTTACCTCTCTCTTGATCCTGGACCGCAATCTGGAGAGCTAGCTTGATGCCTTGAAGTTCTGCGGCGTATACTGTTGACGTTTCGCTATTTCCCATGTACGCCATCTTTGTACATCTAGTCAAAGGCGATACCGCGGCAGCCCCTATGTGATTATCTATGCCACTTCCATCTGTATAGATAAAGAGACTATTTGAGGGGTGCTTTAAGAAGTTCTTATGTTGTGTCTTTGCTATTTCTACATCTGATGCGATTGAAATGTTCGGTCCTCGCCACCATGGTGGTACGATATATGGTGGGATTGTCTCTTGTTCTGTAATTGTTGGGCCGCGACGTTGGTGGAGGCGTCTGTAAATGTGTCTAAGTGGACTTGTATATAGTCTCTGTCTCTCTTGATTTGGACTGTATGATCGGAACCCTTCCAGGGCTGGTATTTTGTCTGTGGCAAGGATTCTTCCAATCGTCTCGGTACTAGCCTTCCAGATCTGCTGTTCTATTGGGAGGAGGTATAGTTCTACGTCTAGGGCTGGACCTGATGTTGCTCTGTACGCCCCTCCTATGGTTCTGGCCGCTTTTGCTTGTAGCTTTTTGAGAGAATTGATTGTTTGTAAAGTGTAGCCTTCTCCGCGCTCCTGTGCAACTGACCATATAGAACAGCCGTACATCATCTGCGGGACAACTACTGCCTGATAGATCCTTCTGAGTTGGGTAATTCCCATTCCCCACGTGGAGCCGGCTAGGCTGGCTAGCGCGCTAATAGACTTCGACACTTTCATTCCGGTATCTTGTATGTGTTGCTTCCAGTTTAATGCTGTGTCGAGTGTGATGCCTAGGTATCTGCAACTTGGTTGAGGGTGGACTTCTATCTGGTCTACTCGTATTTTGTGGTCCATGTTTGGTAATTGCCTCTTTCTTGTATAGTGGGTGAGTTGGAATTTGCTTGGGGCGAACACTGATGCATGTCTCTTTGCCCATATTGTGGCCTGTTCCATTGTCCTTTCTAGGCTTTTGCATGTCTCTTCTGTTGAGTTTCCCCACCGTAGGATTGCGATATCATCGATGTATCCTGTTGCAAGGGTATTGTTTTCTTGATTGCAGATGTCGATTAGATCGGCATTGTAGTATAGGTATAGTATCGGTGAGATTGGTGAGCCTTGAGGAATGCCTGTTGTTATTTGGTAGGTGTCTGATTTAAATGCATCGAAGGTTATGGCTGTGTTCCGGTCTGCTAAGAAGCTGGCTATCCATCTAACTGTTCTTTCGTCTATTCTACGCTTGCGTAGGTTGTGAAGTAGTCTTGCGTGTGACACGTTGTCAAAAGCCCCGAGACGACTGGAGCGCTCGTCGCTCCAGGCGACCCAATTTGTCACGTGACACTAACAAAAGGAAATCCCTGGATCGCTTAGCTAGCCCAAGCGATCCCATTTGCTATAAGAGCGTTCAATAGTGCTTGACTTGTCAGGACGCCGCCTGGTCTTCACTTCTCACGTGCCAACACGTGATTCGTGACATCTACTTATACTATATAAGCTACTCGTTCCTTATTATCCCTTATTATTTAAGAAGGCTATTAAAGATAAGCCGAATATACTCTTTACTTTATCCTATATTATTTATAATTACCTATAGATTAGGCGTATTAAGGCTATTATAAATTACTTATATAATAGCTTATTCTCCGATAGAAGTAAGGCGGGGGCTATTTTCTAACGTATATAGGAAGAGGGGCTATCGCGAGGGCTATCGGCTATCGCGAGGGCTGTTATAGGGCTACTAGTAGATAGAATTTATAGTAAAGGGTAAAGTAAAGGTACTCGATTAATATAGCTCTTATTATTACTATTCTAACGTTATCGTGAAAATTTTTGCGTTCCTACTACGTACGAGTATATTAAAATTAGAAACTAAACTAAACTAAACTAAACCATTTAAGCTTAATTCGCAACTAACTATAGCTCTTCGGGTTCTATAAAGCTTCCTATTTTATGTTAAGGAGACGTTGTTTTGAATAACAGGGTTCTTAATCTATAAAATTTAGGAAAACAGAAAAGAAATACTAGTAGACTCCGAATGAGCTTATATATGCTTCTACTAGTACCTATTTCCTTTGTTAGTTACGTTGTTATAACTTAGTGTTCCAAAGGTACGAGAACAAGTGTGATTTAGGAGGAATAAAATAGGATGGGTTTTCAGGACCCGAAGAGTCAGGGTCAGGTCTCAAAGGACGCATCAAGCTGACTTGCTTTGTTACAGACGAAATAAATGCAAGTTTTTTAAGGAGGTTTTGCGCTGTAACACGCCTTGGCCACCCTAGATAACTTGCATTTATTTCGCCTATGATGAAGTATTAGACTACGAAGTACCCTGTAGACTCTAGGTCTAACTATTCGACTCATAATGTATTATACGACTTCAATAGCCTCTTGGCGATAAACCGCCGCTTTTTAGAAGAGAGTGGGTGCAACAAGGGCTAATCGTAAATTCTCATCCTACCAGAGTGCGAATAACCTCAAAGATAATAGGACATAGGAACCACGGATTAGAGGGTATTTCATAGACAGTCTACGTGTCAGCAACTGAGTGGTATTCACCTATAGCGACTAAATCAGGGCACCTATATTGTGTTCATAGGTATAGCCCTTCGTCTCTAGGGTCTAGGAACATAGAAGGTGGCCAGGTAGCTTATGTTCTTGGGCACATACTTCCAGAGTTCTGAATAGCTTCAAGTTATCCGTACTCGTTGGTCCTGGGATAAAGCAGCATTGAAGTGCAGGCCTACGAGGTTTACATTTTTCAGGACTTCGCCCACGGGCAGGGAAAAAACAGGGTGAAGGAGTCAGATTGCAGGGCTAAAGGTCATTGAAGTCGTGACGGGATCGACCGGAGGCCATTAAAGTCGTATAATCCACATAATGCGTAGACCAAAACAAAATTTATTTGGAATATCTTGGCATGTAACAAGTAGGTCTTTCTTTGACTAGGTTTACCGAAGATTAACGTGGTCTTTCGAACCTAAAATTAATACTCTCAAGTATATATTAGATACAATGTTCCCGCTTCTACCGTATGTGTCTTGTGTCTTGACTACGATATCTACTTTTCCATTGCCTTTTAACGGCCCTGTTGACCTTTTAAAGCATCACACTATCCAATTCTCTACTACTTTCTATCACACTATTCACCCTCGAAGGCATCCTCCCATAGTAAATATGAGAGTCGCTCAGGTTATCGTCCTCGTCACCGCTGCCTTCGTTGGCGTCAATGCCGCTTGCCAGAGTAACCCCAATGAGCAATGCTGGAAACATCCAGAGGCCAAAGACTTCCCTGTTTCTTTCAAATGCGACCGTGAAGGGGAAGACCGTGCGTCGTTGACTGTATTGAGACTGGTGCGATTGGGAAGCCAGGAACAGACAAACAATGGACTACCATGTGCTGCAAAAATAACTGTGAGTTGTCACTACGCAAATCTGTACACCGGTCAGTTTTCTAATGAGTATCAATAGGCGTTGGACAACCCGCTGGTAAATAATGCCACTCAAGAGCTGGGCCGTGGCAAGCACTTACCAGACACCCATTATCTCGGGTATTCTTGACCAAGTTATTTAGAATTTGAGATTCTGTTTAGATCATGAGACTTTCACCAAAATTAATCCCTCCAACTATGCAATCTTTACACTGCACCTAAAGTGAAACCACGAGACATCAATGCAATTTGCAAATGCCCTTACATGTAAGTAAGTGAAGCTTGTAGAGTACTGCCACTGTGTAGTACTGGAAAGTGGCATAAAGACCCGCTTGGCTCAGGCTAGTGGAGTGTAGACCATTCAGCAGCGTAACGCGGAATTCATAACAACTGCCTAAACTCCACTCGCTTATTGAATATACACTCGATAATACCGAGTACGAGCCAGAGATTCCTGTTACTCGTCACGAGTCAGCATTCGTAATGAGTACAATACAAAACTCTAATTGGTATGGTGTACCCTGAATGTGTATTCCTAGTAACATAGAAATCCCTAGCGATACATGAAAAAATGATGTAGTTGAGATATCTAACATAACGGTGCAGTGATGGAAAGAAATATCTATCCACGTGTTTTGGCAAGTTCGAAGAATACGAGCGCTTGTAGGAGTATTTCTAGAAAGCCAGATACATTCTGATTTTCTTTGAACTGTTTTCCCGTGTAAACTATATACACATCTTACGTTAGCTACATCTATTTCTATTCAAAAATAAAATTAGCCTCCTAAACGCGTGATGGATATAAACTGTCAATTTCCGAAATTCCGACCCAAGTTGTACTGCTTCAGCACAATGAACTCGAGATTCATGAGCAAACCCAAGCTGGTGTTGACCCTGGACTGGTAGAAATATTCTGTGACATTTGTCTTTTTGGTGTCAAGCCTCCAGTAATTGGAGGCGAATTGTGCTAATAGATAGGAGCTCCGATACCCGGGGAGTAGAAATACTTTGGAGGAAACCTCCCTATATGATGGAGCTGAATGGTAGATAATTATGGATCTAACATGCTGGAAGAGATGAAATTTTGTAGCCCCTCCATGTCTTCGAGTCTGATAAAGTTGCTGTCCTGATTCTATGCAGAAGTTGCTGAGTGATACCTACCTAGGTACTCTATCCATTGCAACTGATGAACATGTCATGTGAAATACCATATTCGGGGTTACAGAAGACCGAGAAAGATTTGTACTGGTGGGATTGTGGTAGCCTCCTCGTGTTCACACAATTATCCGCCGATTCTAGTCCTCTATACACTATTATTGCTACTACGATAAAACTAAAACAGCGTATCCAAATGTTATAAGAATCGACATCAGGGTTAATCCGCTTCTATATAGCTAGGTAGATTTCATTTTGGACTTTTTTTCTTTTTACTTACCCTTGTTAAAGTATTTGTAGTAGTGGGTGTCTTGTACTGAAATCGGCGGATAATCTTACACGCGGATGCTGGCGAAAGATACGAGAAATGCGATGAGGAGGGGACAGAACAAAATACTGCCTGGTGAGATTTGTTCATTCCAGGTTTCTGTAGTTGATTAGTGTGTTAGATGGATAATACACCAGAGGATACAAGAATTCGTGGGATAGTCCTTATATCTTACACCTAAACTACTTGAAGACGTTTGTAAACTTAATAACCTTTATAATACGACTTATACTAATTTTAATAATTCCAATTTATAATATAAAATATTGTAAGGTAATGTATATTATTATTTTATTTTATTTATATCGAGGTCTTAGTTTAGCTTACCTCTATATTAGAGTATTACTAGGAGCGTATATGATATTTCTAGAATAGAGTTAAGATTACTTAATAATAAGTAAAAGAAACCTAAAGGCTAGCTACTACTTATACCTAAAGAGAGTCTATACTGTTTCTAATTAGGTTCCTAACTCCTACCTTGCGCTATATTTACTAAGCGAGGTACTACTACTACTAATCCTTATTCACTGATCCACACTCTCATAGTTCGTGTATCGTATAGCGGAAGAGCTACGGATATACTAACAAAAACATTACCCTTAATTATGTAGTGATTTTAGCATGCTAATAAAGAATGAAGGGCTCTCTGTATTGCGATGGTGCGGAGACTTATAGCTCTGAAGTCACTTATCTCTCCCTTCTGCTTAGTCTTTCGATTTTTTGACATGATTTGGGTAAGTTCACAACTTATGATTGAATAAAACTGCATCTCATCTTCAATCCATGGCCTACGAACAGCGGGAGAAAACCAAACTCCATTCAATCTCCTATATCATATCCTCTGTCTGAATATGTACAGAACATCCCTTATACCATAAAACCCAACAACTCCCATTCGTGTCCAAACACACGTCTGCGCTCTTTAGATACCCTCAAAAAAGTCCATAACTGGCTTCACAGCATAAGGCCAAAACATGACGATTCCAACAACAGGTCCGTACCTAGCAGGAATCACAAATTAGCACCTTTCTTTCGCTTCGCATACCATGTTCTCGTATACAGGGGAACTTACATCAAAGCCGTTCCTCCGACTCTCTTCCACTGATAGCCCCAATCGGAAGCCTGTTTACCAGATGTTTTCGTGGAGACCATGGTTTCAATAGACCGGATCTGCTGCGGTCTTGCAAATCGTGGAGCTTTCACGAGGAGCCTGCTTCGTGTCAAGCCTAGGAGTTGAGCTGTTGGTGCCATTTTGTTGTCTTGCTTTTGGTTGAGAAGTTGTCACCGGAAGACGGGAAGGGCTTCAGAGAAAGCGGGGTAAGGACTCGTGAAGGGGGGGGTATGCAACGGTCTGGCAGGCTGGTAATTTGTGCTTTTTTTATTCCATGAACAAGAAACGAGTTGAAGGCTTCAATACATTCCTCGGAGTAGATACAGTACGTGTTCACAAAGGAGAAAGGACGGAAACAACGAGAGATAGACGTCCGTTCTAATGTTTCTCGGTACCTGCTGTGTCCAGGTCATACCTACCTTCCCTTCCGTCGCAACCGTAAACATCACACCACTAGTATCCTTACTGCATGAATAGGCGTTCAAATAACCACTTTCCATTCGTGCTCTGATAACGGTTCATGGTTGCCTCGCGGGGGTTGATGCCTGTGCTGAGGAAATGATGGCAAGTGATTGGATGGAAGGAGGGGATCCTGGGGCGCGCTTATGCACCCCAGATTGAAAGAGGGTTTCGGGGTCTCGTTGGCGTGCGGGGTTCGGATTCTGGACTTGAAAGTAAGTCCCTTGAAGTTCTGAGAAACGCAAAACTAATAATTTGCACGGAAAAGATGTCGTTTTCGGATTTTAAAAGGCTCAAGAGGTCAAAATATCCAATCAAGTTAATCAAGTTGTGTAAATGTCACGTGATCAACACCATCAACCACATTCCTACTATCCTCACGAAGGTCTATTGAGGTGCATAGCTCTGAAGTAGAAAAAGGTCAGATAACGTTATCAATGACGAATTGTATTTGAAGAGAAGAAGGATGGTAGAATCACGTCACGTGATGAAAATATTCAAACCTGAATCGTTCAGTTTAACTTTATTTCCTCTTACGAAGTATTTAAGGTTGTCCCAACATTGATACAATACAAAGTTTTCAATAAGAGAAAAGGTGCTCAGAAGAATCCGAAGACCGAAAATTTTCCACATTCAAGCCTATTAATCAAAATAGTCACGTTGCTATTACCTACAAAATACTTGGTTTAATCTGGAGAGGCCGGTGAACATCTGTACAAGAGAAACCCATACCCAATGACTCTTCTCGTTTGCGCAAAAACAAGAAAACCCCCCTTAACATCATACTCCCATTTATATCGAACAAGCGCGAGAACCCTTCACCTGAACAAGAACGTGCTCATAAACTCATTCACGAAATAAAGTAGATGGACACTCGGCAATGCCGTGCATAACTTATTTAAACTTCCATCACACCCTAACCTCCAAAACACTAAGTATAGACACACCTCCCAATCCCCAGGCGGGTAAACTCCACGTTTTACTCCAATGACTCCATCCAAAACCCACAACTACTAAGCCTCAAAAAACTCCGGCTACGGACGAAATGTGCTAATTGGACCAATTGGTAATCACAGTCCCAGAGGCGCCATAAAAAAAGGCTTAGGAATTAGGCTTGTCTCAACTTTTACCGAGTATCTCCCCCACCACGGGCCGGAGTTTGATCTGCGAACCTTAGAAGGAGAGGATCTTTTAATATCCCCTTGACAAGCCGGTCTCAATCCCATTTAAGATTCTTGGATTTTTTAAAATAGAGGGGGAAGACTGGTGATGTTGGTTTCTTGGTGTTGAAGAAGACCCAGATGCCGTCTGCCCAGCTGTTTGGGCTTCCCTGCATACGGGGATCACCCTATGCAGGAGCAGCGTGCTATGCAAGCCAAGAGAGAAGAATACCGTAAAAACTCGACTTGAGGGCCTCAACTGGTCAGGGAGTACGAGGTGAATGCGTACAAGCACGTACCTACAAAAGGCTTGTACCTGATAATTAAAGCTATTTCGAGATATCGTATTATCGTTATTATTTTAGAAATAGTAAAATTATAGTATTTCGATTGGCTTGATTATAAAAACCATAGAAATTAATAATGATATATTAAATTAGGTGGTAGATCCTACTAAATCGAGAGTACACTTAGGCCTAGCGCTGCTAGTACCAGTGTTTGGAATCTCCCCCCCTTTCCTTTCCTAGGCATTGGAAAGGAGTAGGAGAACCTTACTATATGGCTAGGAGAAGGAAAGGAGTATAGATCACTTGTCTGGAAAGGAGGAGGAAGGAGAGGTTGAATGTCCGCAGAGGAGAAGGAAGGAGAGGCTAAAATAAGGTGGAAAAATGAGGCTATTCGCAGGTACAGTAGGTTGGCGTTAAAGTACGCTAGGTTCGTTAAAAGTACGCGACCTTGGAATGTGGCCCCCTAGGTGTAGATCAAGGACTATCTAATTTCCGCCTGTTTTACTAGTAACCAGACCAGTAACTAGGTACAGTACCTCTATCTCCTGGATCGCCCGGGGCTTTTTCTAACAGGGAATTAGTGCCCCGTTTATTTTCGTACTAAGATTTATACCAAAAAAGCTGTACACGTCCTTAATCTCTATAAAAAAAACCCTAGGCGGTCTAGGAGATAGAACTACCTCCCGGTGGACAAGATAAGTGGCAGACTTGGCGTTAGAATTTTATAGAGATGCACGCAAAATCGACTACGCCAAGTCTGCCACTTATCTTGTCTAGCTCGCTGATTTGTACGGATTGGAATGGAAAGGAGTGTGGATAGGAGTAGTGGGGAGTACTAAGGAGGGGAGATTCCAAACACTAGCTGCTACAGCCCCTTCGCAAAAGTAGTAAGAATCTAGGGTATCTTACTAGTGTCTTGCAGGGTATTTTGCAAGGTATTTTGTATGTGAATTACTTATTCCCACAGTTTCTAGGGTCGCGAAACATCTTGCTACTTTTGCGAAGGGGCTGTACCTATAGGACTAAAACAGCTCGTACTCCCCGACCAGTTTGGGCCTTCAAGTCGAGTTTTTACGGTACCTCCGTTTACACAGAGTCGCCGAAAAGTCGTCCGAAGAAAGAGCTTGGCCGATCTGTTAATGCTGCATTCTGGGAGGATCTCCAAGGTGGGTGTTTTTGTTATATAAGGATGGAATGTCTCGCAGATTTGTTGGTTCTCCAGCCGCATTTTTCGTTGGTATTTTCTTCTTGTCTTCTTCCTTTCTCTTTTTCTTAATTCAATTTCTTTTACAGTTACTTTTTTTTTTTTGAAAGAAAACTTTGTCAATCTTTTTATCAAGGGAAAGATCAAGATACGCATTTAAATACCAACAAAATGGGGGCCTTTAAAACAGTCGTTACTTACTCTTTGCTTTCTTTGGCGGCCTTCGTCGCAGCTACTCCGGTTTCGAAGAGGACTGTTCCCGTAACGGACTACGATGTCGTTATTGTTGGTGGTGGACCTTCTGGGTTGAGTGCTTTGAGTGGATTGAGCAGAGTGAGACGCAACTCTCTCTTGATCGACTCTGGAACCTACAGAAACATCAACACCAGACACATGAACGATATTATTGGACTCGATGGTTAGTGACTCCTCCCACCCTGCATGAAAACTTGAAAGATAAGCTAACATCTACCAAAGGAATCGCACCAAGTGAGTTCCGAGCGAGGGTCCATCAACAACTTGCCCAATACCCAGGAGCCAATATGAAAAACGGAACCGTAATCTCAATCACCAAAGAGGGAGAAATCTTCACCAGCACCGACGCCGAAGGCAACGTCTACACCTCCCGCAAGATCGTCCTCGCAACTGGAATCGTCGACGTCCTCCCTGACACCCCAGGTCTCAAGGAGAACTTCGCTAAAGGAATCTACTGGTGTCCATGGTGCGATGGCTGGGAGCACCGCGACCAACCTTTCGGAATCCTCGGTTCCATCGTCGACGTCCTGGGCGCCGTTGAAGAAGTCATCACCCTCAACAAGGACATCATCGCTTTCGTAAACGGTACACAAACCGACGCCAACATCGCCGCCCTTAACGAGAAAAGCCCAGGTTGGGACGTCAAGCTCGCGAAATACGGTGTCCAGCTTGAGAACCGAACCATCGCCGCCATCGAACGCGTTCAAGACGGAGGCGGTATCAATCGAAACGAAACCACTGACGAGGAATTTGACTTGTTCAACGTTGTTCTTGAGGGTGGTCAGAAAGTCAGTCGTTCTGCTTTCATCACCAACTTCAAGACTAAGCAACAATCTTACCTTGGTTTGGGTTTGGGTGTCCAGTACTATAGTGAGAAGATGGATGTCACACCTGGTACTGTCCAAACTGCTGCGCCAGGTGTTTTCGCTGTTGGGGACGGAAACAGTGACAACTCTACCAATGTGCCGCACGCCATGTTCACTGGAAAGAGGGCCGCGGTCAAAATCCATGGTAAGTCATTTCCATCCTATAAATTTTCTCAATATGAATGATGCTAACATATTTGGTCATAGTCGAGCTTGAGAAGGAGTACTCTGCAACTTTGGTTCAAAAGCGAGATGAGACGGAACTTCTCGACATCATGGGTCGTGATGTTGAGGATTTGTGGGAGTCTACTTTCCAAAAGAATTAGGTGGGGACTTTCCATGGATTCTTGATGTTGCGTATGATATGATGATTGGGAGTTCTGGCTGGGATGTTGGGTTAGCGGGTGTAATAGATTATAGGTTAGACAAATGTCAAATAAAATACAGCTTCAAACACCCACCGACCTTCTGAATGAATGCGACCATTGAGCCGTGTGACCGGTGATATACAAGGTGCAAACAAATATACTTGAGAGAAGTGGAAAAACTCATTCCCACCTAGTCCCCAGCTCGTATTCATACTTAATAATTTGTCATCCCATACAGGTTGATCGCTCAATCATTACCTACATTAAGTGCTCGAACCCCAAACTCGAGATATGAAAAATGAGAAATAACGGTATGTTCAAAGAAGTCTCTAGGGTCATATCAACGTGCTGACAACATCTCCTCACCATCCCACAAAACATCGGTTACCCTCAAAAAAGTCAAGCCACAACATCACCACGAACCCTCTCATTTTGGCAACAAATGCATGGGAGGCACCTTGATATAAGTATCAGGACGATTCGCCTCCAACGTCAACCTCATCGTTTGATATCTAGCTTCAATCTCCCGGACCAAAGCCCAGATATCAAACCCATCAAGCCCACCCCCATGACCTTGCATCCGGAACTCAATCTCCCTTTCCTTCTCCTCGATATATTCTCTCAACTCTCGCCATCCATTCCAGTCTTGTCTCAGTCGATTCGGTAGCCCTTTACTCTTCATCACCGCCAACAAACTCGCAAGAGCGGTATTAGTCGCCCCAAGCACAGTGACAATGACATTGGAAGAATTCCCAGCACCCAACGCAGTGACAGCAGCTCCAACGATAATCTGGAGAAACATGCACACAGTCAAAAGCCAATCGCAGAAATTATACACATAACGCGAATTCCTTTCATTGAAAAGTACTTTATTGTATACTCCCTTGTTGGCACCAGAGATCTTGGGCTGCGGAGGGGGATTTGGATGTGGTTTCTTTTTGAAGAGGAGATTCCGTCTTGTTTTCACGACGGCGGGTTTGGGCGGTGGAATGCCTAGTGCAGTATGAAACGTCTTGAGAGGATCGTCGGTTGTCTCGGGGAGTTGGGAGAATTGGGAGTCCTCGGGAGCATTTTGGACTGAGATGGTGATGCGATCACCACTGCCTTTCTCATCACCATGACCATCGAGATTTGGAGAGAAACTCGCTGATGATTGAGGAAACATGCCGGCACCTATAGTTCGCACTGGACTTGGTGTTGTGATGAGCTTTGATGGAGATGGCGTGCCAGTCAAACGCATAAAGTCCTTGCCAGCGGTCGAGGCGGAGGACATGGCTTTATTTGAAGAAATTGCAAATTGAATCTTGCAGACTGGAATTGAAAAAGAAAGGGGAAAGCAAAAAGCAAAAGCAAGGAAAAGAAAGGTTTGAAATTAATAGGGATCGTGGTGTTGTCTGCTCAGCGCCCAACTGTCCGCCACACACTGGCGGAAAAGTGTAGGTTTCACCTGCAACTGCAGAAATATTGACAACTCAACCCGATTGCAACGCACCTTCCAAATATTCCTGAGCTGTTCTTTCCATTTGGAGGCCGCCGGGAACGAATAAAGGAATACACTGGGAGGTCGAGAATGAAATGGGAAAGATCTTCAGGAAAGTGAAGAGCTGAGTGACACGCAACCTGTTGGGTTTCTCTTCCACACCTCTTTCTTCACCCCTCCATTTAATCATATATACACCACTTGGTGCACGGGTGTAGGTGTGGGTGTGGGTGCATATGGTTGGCCGGCAAAATCATGGGGCACCAATGAGGCAATGAAGACTACGAGATGTGATTAAGCGAATGTTGATGCAGTAGCTGAAGTGATGAGATGGAGGTGTGTAGTGGAATGGAATGGCCTGGGAAGTGAATGCACGTGCTCTCGTGCAAAGGACCTGTACGTGCTTCTTTCGCGACAGGTTCGCGAAGCGCAGTGCCCATGCGCCAATCCCCAATCCACCTTCCCCTCTTATCCACATTATACTCGTACATCATCATCCACCTTACGAGTACTCGTACATACACAAAACCCCTCCGCCTCAAGGAAGCTACTACCAAAAATTCATCCATACCTTCGTCAGAACTTTACTCCGTACTCGTAATCTTCTACTCTTTTGACAACACAGCGAACGTTCTTCAAATTGAACGAAAGTCGGGAGCTCCTGTTAGGGATTGCTTGTCCATGATCCAACCAAACAAATAAAAATACTCGTCCACACCAGCGTAACCTCACCCAGTATCAGTTTATAGTTTATCGCATGCTGACGATTACATAGGAAACTCGACCAGCGTACTGCGGATCTATATCCACGCGTATAGTACCTCACACATCAATTGAATTCAACTGCATATATTGCTTTCCAAGACTGTGGAGCACGATAATCCCCTCCGCATTGGCGTTGACCGACCCAATACTTTAAAATGCCTAGAACAAAAGGGAAACGACGCAATCAGAGTGCACAGAGATCAAACAAACCAAAGAAGAGGAAAACCACAACCGTCATAGAACAACCGCCCAAACCTGCCGGTCCAACATTCCTCTCACTCCCTCGAGAAATCCGCCAGATGATATACGACCTGCTGATTGAAAAGCGCCTAATATCCCTAGCCTACGATCGCGTCCTCAATGGACCAGTACAAATATTCTTTGCAAAAAAGCCGCCATGCTTTCTCCTCCCTTCTCCCCAAATTCTCTCCATCTGCCAGGACTCCCGTGTATACGCATTATCCAAAGGTTACCGACCCTGGGACCTACGAAACTCCCAAGGAAAGACGCTGAGGATGATGTTCAGTCCAGACTTAGATACCATCTCATTCCCCCGCACCGCCTCCCTGGGCGACTTCAACCCCGCCTTCTTCCCGACCGCTTTCCCAGAGGTAACACAGTACATTAAGAAACTCGCCTTACCCTCCACACACTGGCGCATCTTCGCGGACGAGAAGGCGGAGGTTCTAGATCATATCAGTCTTCTTCTATGGCACGTATTTAAGGGCGTAACGGATATCTGGGTCATGTTTGAGCCGGATTTTGAGGGAGATCATACGGTGCTGAGGAATCCGAAGGGGTGGTATGTGCCGAGGGATATTCAGAGTGGTATTGAGAAGGAGAGGGCGAAGTTCCCTTGGAAGAATAAACTTCTGGGGAAAAAGGCGCCGCAGATTAGGGTTGTGCTCGATGAGAGGGATATTATGGAGGGGGCGGAGTGTTGTTTGATTCTACGCTCTATGAGGGGGTATGATAGTATCAGGTCGCTGTGTAAGTATGTGAAGGATCGGAGGGGGGATGACGATTGGTAGGTTTTGGTTCGATGGGCTGTTATTTTGGGATTGGGGAGCCGGATCGGTAATGTGATTGCCCTCGTCAGACTTGGGATATACTTTCTTTGTATTTTATTTCTAGCATTGACCTGTTACTTTATTTCTTTTTTAAACCAATCGTTTACCCAAATAGAACTCGTTTTGGTAATATCCACTGCATCTCTTCTCTTTCATATTGTCTCTATATAACTATACTCGACGCGAGCAAAAATCAGAACAATCAAGCCACAACCCCGCCGCCAACGCTTTTACACCTACTTAAGTACATCCCACCTACTTCCCAAGCACAAACCCGGCTATGGAAAACACTATAGCCAAGCTACAATGGGATTTGATAGAACCACGCGTTCACAATCAAGGCGCCGAGCCAACTCACTCCCATACTCTCCTCATCACCGCCCCTCCTGGTGCTCCAAACTTTCCACCCTGAGCCTGAAAGGTATCAATCCCGAGAAATAGACGGGATATGGACCAATCGTCATACGCCATCCAAAGAATCCTGTGCTGCGATCTTATTGTCTGTGGTAAGAGGCGCTGTAGGGTATGTATGGAGATGTTTTTTTTTAGATACGGGTGATTTGGTAGCTTGCAAGATGAGAGAAGTGGTTTTTGTGGTGGATAGTTGGGTATCTATGGTCTGTGTTGGGTAGGCAGGGGTAGTAGGGGGATGAGGGGGTTGGAGATGGAAGGTGGTGGGTTTGATGAAGTGGTGTGGAATATGGGTACTGTGTTCATGTCCTCGAGGTTAATTATTCAGACTTGGCTGAAGAGGGAAATCACGTAGGTTATCGTTGTATAGTCAACAACACCAAATATGGTCGAGATCCTCGAGGGCATTGTAACTTTCCATCGTCACGGTTCTTTCTACTCGTTTACCGTCCCTTTCTTCAATGTATCTTCGCTTCCTTTCCAAGAAACTCCTTTTCCGAGTGACACAGGTGAATATCCTATAACAAACACAAGCCTTCCTCCATCGAAGTCCCGCACCTCTTCGGTCATTTATTATTTTAGTAGAAGTGATGGCTGAGGCAGTGTAGTCCCAAAGGAACGCGGAGAGAAATGTGTAGTCGCATTGCCCATGAATATTCATATCACACCCACGAAATATTTCATAGAATAGTCCACGGGGCCGGTGAAAGTCTTCCGGGTCTTTGCTTGAAGCCGAAGTTTATTGCTTAACCTATTTCTTGGTTCTCATTTCCAAACCCATGACCGTTGCTGGCAAGAGAGCGGCTATCTTGCCTGAGTTTTCTGTGGATGAGGGATCGATCGACATTAGCCAAAAGTCATGTTGGGATTTATTGCTGGTTCTCCGATCAGAACTTGGTGGCGCTTCGGGGTGGATATAATCGGGGTTGTTCTTGAAGCTCTTTCGCGCATTGATTTGGATGTACTTCGGCGTATCAATCAAGAACCTTTCTTCATCCTTAGAGCTGGTCAGTCTTCAAGTAAATCCCGAGCATCAGACATCAAGAAATAGAAGGCCTACATAAAGATGACGTCTTATAGGATCCCAACAGCTGTAACTTGTTATGGTGGGGATCAAGGAATAGATTGTTCGCAAGGAGGGAAGAGAGACGCTCTTCGCACTCCTTAGGTATTTGTCTATCTACGGAAGGGTACACCCGCAACTTCGCTAAGCGAACCCTTATCCACTAAATCAAAAACTGTCACATAACTCAAGTACGTCGGTCCTCTCATGCTCGAAAACACAACACCCTTCCTCTCAAAATAATCTTTTTCCCAACCTGAAGCAAAATTAAACTGAACGATGGCGAGGTCTTCGATTTCAACCTTTTCATTTACCTGGAAGCTAAGCGAACCTTTCCATTCAGCTCTTGAAAGGGCTATGCCCTTGTATTGCCAAAACTAACCGCTCAAATATAGTACACCGGTCTCAGTGAGCGCATATCTAGTGAGCATTGTGGCCCTGTTTAGGACAGGGTTCTTTTTCCGTTTAACGACGATGGTGTTTAGAGGGAAAAGCTTTCCAATGTGTGAAGATTCCACAGGTCTCTAGCCGAATAAGATACTAGCGTCCTTGTATTCCTTCTTTCTAGGTATAGGTAAGTATATAAAGTAATAAGTAGAGAAAATATAGAACTAGCCTGTAAATAAAGAAGTATAAAAGGGGGGCATTTAAAATTATTTATATAGACTATTACCTTTTTAGTAACTCTTAACACTATTGATATATTCTTAGGTTTATATAATCTAGTTGTGGTATAGAAATATTAGGGATATCAAAGCAAAGAGATAAGGTACCGGTATGATAATCGATTGTTGTCTAAGTGCTAAGGAGTGGTTGCTAAGGAGTGGTATCGTTCGAGATACTTGAACAAGTGGGTCTAATCATGTGATGTAAACAAAAGGGGTCGTATTTGTCGCAACAGTAGTAGTAGTATAATAGATAGAATATCTTGAAGCTACGAGGCTTATATTAATTAATTTAGACAAATATTATACTAAAGGACGCTATTAATTTGTTCCAAGTAAGATCTTACTTAAAATACGTGAATAGAACTTTTTGGTTTGTAGACTAAAATGTTCTCACCTTGAAAAAAAGTGCACTAAGATACCCCTTCACTTAGGGGACATCTCGGTTAATTGTTAAATAAATATCAATCTGCATGAAATTATGAGCAGTCATCGAAGGACAAAGTCGAATTACCCTAGTCCCATCTATAAGGGCTGCATCTCTGGCTAATATGAAGGACCTTAAGAGTATCACTAGACACCACACGATGTCCACCTCCCTGGAGATGAGTATGCACGATGCTTGAGATATTCTCCATTCATATTAGTATTCTCATTGACCCTGGACAACGATTGAAAACAGAGGACGGGGGAAATTGTACATTAAGATTACAGTTGGAGTCATTCCATAGCATTAACCAGTGAAGAAATCGGGTTTCGGTCAAAGAGCTGAAATGTTGATAATTTATGACCCGAAGTTCTAAACGTTAATACATTAGAAAGATGATTGAATGCCTGGGTCAAGCTTATCACCGAAGTATATCCATTCCGTATCGTGGACTTCCACATAGCTTTTGCAGGGCGTTACTACAAGCCAGCATTCCAAACCCCATTTCATTTTTGTAGAAATTGATTCGGCCGAAGAAGTTGTCCGCGTAATGGAAAGAAATGGATGTGCGCGCGCTTGGTTCTCAAGCAAATAACATGTCACGCCATAAAGCAAGAACAATCAATAACAGCTCAAAAAACTATTAATTTCCTCATTAAAGATTTCTCTGACACGCCAGCTACCATGTCATGAGGGTTCATTCACCCCTATCCCATGATGTTGTGGCCCATGTACGCGAAGTACACTGACAACGTTGACAACAGACGATGGAATTCTTTTACCACCTCCCCCCATTCTCCCTCGCAGATTCAAGAACGTCTCAAAGTGTGGAGTACTGTAAGAAAGAGTTGAAGTGGAGACATGACTCAACCTCTCCACCAATCAAAATATACTTTTTCCAAGCAATTGAGCCTCAGATGCCGCAATTCGGGCTCCACTCTCTACACTCGCCCCACTCCGCTTTGCCCTATTTGTGAATCTCAGATATACGAGAAGATAGTAAAGGTATCCTTAATCATTCTTCGGTCTGTAGGTACAAAACATCCAAGTCTCAAGGAGAGACACACACTGCTCTAAACGCCGAATCAAATCACAATTATAGAAACCCATAACTACCCGTCCGCCATTAGAATTTACAAAACAAAAAGTAGTTTTTAATTGTACCGGAATAAGAGTATTAGATATAATAGAGTACGAAACCACTAGGAAAAGTGTTTTTAATAGCGTACTTATTCTATAAGGCTGGAAATCCTAGTTCCGGACATTGAAGGGAGCGATTAGTAAGCAAGAACTGCCTAGTCAAAGCCCTTGTTCTCCTTATTAGCCACACTTGGCTAGGTACGCCACAGTTAGCAAGGTTAGCTATTCCTACTACTTTATTTATAGAAGAAAAGGAAGGGTTAAGTATATTAGATTATAAGCTATAGAGGGTATACTAGACCCTAGGTGGGTATATTTAACCCTAGGCGGTCTACTAAGTCCTAGGGGGTATACTACGTCCTAAGGAGGTAGGGATTACTAAGCCCTAGGGGATGAATAGTAAAGAAAAGATTTATTAATATTCTACTAACCCTAACCCTAACCCGCGTACTAGGAAGAGCTAGCCCTAGGTAGAGAAAACTAGCGATACTATTAATTATAAGTTAAATAATTATAAGTTAAATAACTAATAATTATAAGCTAAATAACTAATAATTATAAGTCAAATAGCGGACAAGTAGTTATCGTTTTAATAAAATAATTCTAATGGCGGATAGGTAGTTATCGTTTTAGCAAAAAAGTTCTAATGGCGGACGGGTAGTTACAGTCGCCCAGACACAATCAAAGCAACTCGACTATGAGTACAGAGCAAAGGGCATTTCAATTCTGTTAAAAATAAAAACAAAATTAGCAGAATAGATATTGAAGTGGACTCCGAGGAATACAGTAATCTCTGTCGAAGCGAAAAAAACACTCTGGCTCCCAAAAGCAACGGAAACCTCCTCAGAACACAACACTCAACCCCAGGGGATCCCAGAGAACACCAAACAAGCAGTTCAAATACAATACAGTAATAGAAGCCCCAATCAATCATCTACCCACCTGATCTTCACGCAAGAAAAGTCCCTTCCCTCTTTCCCTCCCCCAAACAAAAACACAAGAGAGAAAAAAAAAAACGAAACGCAACAACACCTCTCCCCTTTCCCNAGTAATAGAAGCCCCAATCAATCATCTACCCACCTGATCTTCACGCAAGAAAAGTCCCTTCCCTCTTTCCCTCCCCCAAACAAAAACACAAGAGAGAAAAAAAAAAACGAAACGCAACAACACCTCTCCCCTTTCCCCTCCCCACCATCTCCACCATCCTTTCCCCCCAAACCCCAAAGTTCAAACAAAAGAAAAAGAGAGAAGACACACCACCAAGCAACACCACTCCATACCAAAAAGCGCCACCTACACCACAATTCTCCCGTCGGCATCCCTGAAAAAATCCCCATCCCTCTCGGTAAAGCGAACCGGCGGGCGACGGAACGGGCATCATTCGGGATCGCCAGGGATAACCGGCTAAACATGTAACGCCAGAAATTTTGCTTGTTCTTTGTTCTTGTCTCGAGCTTGTTCTGCAAACGTGGAGTTCGCGATTTAGAGTTTGCCATGGGGCTGGGCTTGGCTTTTGCCCGGAGGAGGAGGTGGTGGAGTTATACGGAGTTAGAGAGAGGAGGGCTGAGGGAGGGAAGTGATGGGATGGGATGTTATGAGGTGAGATGGCTCAGATGGGAATCATGGGATGAGTTTTCGTGGGAATGGGGGAATTGATGGTTTGATAGTCAGTGCGTCTTTCTACTGCCGCACTGCGCTGTCGCTTATAGTTAGTAAAAGCAAGTACGCCGTGCCGTCTCGCGAGTTTTACTCTGTTTACTTGTATAGTTAGTTTTTCGGTTATAAACTTCTGTATAGGCTCAAAATAAAACTATTAATCAGCTCTATCATATAATACCATATAAGCTTAATACAACCGTAGCGTATTAATATATTAGGAGAGGATATCTCGAAGGTACAAAGTACGTATTCTCGGGGATTCTCGAGGTACTTTATAATAGCGTACATGCTAAAACCCGCTATCAACTTAGGTAGAGGAATACCAAAAACTAGTCAACATTGTACGCAAAGAGTTTGTAAAAGGCATATTTTTTTTTAGATAGGACAGTAGTTAGTTATACTTTTACATCTGTCTAATATATATGTCTTCCCAACCAGTAGAAGTAACGCTATATAGGTAGAAAGAGCCGCATACGCGTACGAGACGGCTCACTTGCTTTTGCTAACTATAAGCGATAGCGCAGTAGAAAGATGTACTGGCCATTAAAGGGAAAAGACTTCTTTTTGTAATTAATTACATTTTTGACGTTTGACTTGTTTTCCAGTTGAAATTCCTTTTCTCTACCACTCCCTACAAAAAGCAAAGAACACACAACACAATAAACACAACAACCAACAAACACCAATAGTCACCAAGGAAATAGAAATAACAATAACGATTATACAGAAATAAAATGCTTCCCAACCAAAAAGGAATGATATCCACCAGCCTGACATCCTCATCCCATCCATCCAATTAATCCACGTGACCCACCAGTCATGAGAGAATAATGACCAAAAAGTTTAACAAAACAACAAAACACCGAGACTTCATGTTGATTAAACTAAAAAGCTTGCTTCTTCCCCCAACCCAAAGTGAATTCAGTAAATCCCCGAGACCGAGACCGAAGCCGAACCGAAGTAACCCCCACAACGACACCAAGTTGCCCGCCCCCCTGATAACCCCACCCACCCCCTACTTGTAGTGAAAGANGTAAATCCCCGAGACCGAGACCGAAGCCGAACCGAAGTAACCCCCACAACGACACCAAGTTGCCCGCCCCCCTGATAACCCCACCCACCCCCTACTTGTAGTGAAAGAAGTGAAGAAGAGGAGGATGATTTGGAGCAAATTAAAGTTGGAAAGAGAGAAAGAGAGAGATATAAGGTATGTATATGCATTAAAATTATGCCATGATGACATCTCTGCTCTCTTCCATACGCTTGATCAATTCTCTCTCCTTGGGGCTGCGAGGGCTAGCGTCCTATCATGAACAATTAGTACTCATTCTTTACGAACCAGAATTAGGAGGAGATTTCAACTTACAATGCCCAAAAGTGCGGAGATGCTAGTAGCGCTGTTGGTCTTGTTCTCTTGCACTGGAGTAGGCAATTGCTGCATTGGTTTGTTGTAGACCGGGTAGTTGCTGGATGTCTGGGTGGTGACTGGAGATATGGATGGGGTAGGTGGGGCGTGAGAGACGATTCCCTGCTTCCATGCCTCCTCGAGAAGATACGGAGAGACACCTGCTCCATACTCGTTGGCAATGACGCTCCAGAATGAAGCCCGGTGTGCTTCGTAAATGTGGCGAAGACGATCCTTGTCAACGCTAGAGATGCTGCCTGGGCTTGTAGCCATACCACAGTCAAGACGGAGTGGGGCATTGTTTACTTGCTCGGAGTGCACATGACGGGGGGCAGATGATGGCTTTGGCAGGATGGCAACTGGATGGTTGAGCATGCGAGCTGGGCTGTTGGTGGCCGATCGAGGGAGGAGGGTGGAGGCAGATGGGAGTTGAATTTGGCCCGGAGATTGAGGAGAGTAGGTATATGCAGGCGAGGTGGCTTGCATGTTTAAGGACTCGTGAATTGGGGATGGCATGGTGTTTTGAAGGATAGGAGAGTTCACTGCCGATGCAGGGCTGGAGGCAACAGAGCCATTTCGCTTGCGGCGGTTGCTTCCGTGGGACAATTGGTGGTAGTGAAGGCGACAAGCCAGCTCAGTCTTTTTCAAGTGAGCGGCAATGTGCTTGTATGGCATTTTCTGGAGGCGGGTTTGAAGAAGATAAACTTCCTAGAGATCACGTCAGTCCTGATTCAACTACTCCTGAGCCAGATATTTATACCTCATCCTCGCTCCATGCTCTGCCCCCACCAGTCGATGCTGCCTTCCTGTTCTTCTGAACCCCAAATTCGTGTCGGTTGACGGCGTCAATGGGAGAATAGCTGGTAGGAGTGACGAGGCTGGCGGTGTTCATTGGGTTCATTGGGGAAGACATGATAATCGTTGATCGTTATGAAGTGAACGTCTTAAGATAAATAATATATAATAGGTGGTAAAAAAGGCACGTTGAACCAGCAAGTAAAAGAATCGAAAGGGTGTATAAATTGGACAGTCCGAAGCTGCTTTTGAGTGTGTTTTTTGTCTGCTCCCAATTGTCGTTAGATGTTTAAGTCGGGTCTGAGTATGCGAGCAATAAAAATATAATGGGTTAAAAGCGCAATATACTACAGAAAAGAATGTAAGCAGCCAAGCCAGTTGGGCGATAAAAGAGAGTGTCTATTAGCTGCGAAGGATGTAGTCAACGTCAAGTGTAGGAGAAAAAGAGAATATTGGAACCGGCCAGGCAGGTTCATATAGGGAACAGCGGTTCAACATGGGATCGTCTGGAGTTGCCAGGCATCGTGGCAGCCCAGGAGCCGTGCGTCGATTTCCCTCGACTTTTGCAAGCTTCCTCATGCCGCCGCAATACCGTGGTGATTTGAGGTGGGGCAACTCACCAGTTTCTCATTATGCAAGCCTTGATTTTACGTCTGAATTGGGATATCTCCATCATCCGTTTTCTGCAACATTTCTTGGCCGGATCTGTTTGACGTTTGGTCTCAAGTGCACAACTTCGCAACAGAAATCTAGAATCTCACACTCATCATTGCATAGGTACACCACTTGACGTACCGACGGAGAGAAGACAAAAACAACACAAATTATGATCAAGAATATCCTCCATGAGCATAATTGAAGATTCCGAAATAATCATTCCGGGTCATACTTTGTGATGGCGACTTGCCGCCGTCCAAAATTTTGGGGTGTTTACAGTTGCGATGCGAAACGCGCCAGAAGTCGCTTGTGGTTCCTGTCAGGACTAACCCCTGCGGAAACGGTACCAAGCATTCCAAGCATTCCACCCTCGAGCCACTTTCCGGGTACAACGGCTCCACAGGGGACCTCGATTGAGAATTTCGGGGTTCTAGCCCGGACAGCACTTGTTCGGTTGACACTCAACTCGAGCGGAGAACCGCATAAAACGGTCACTGGTCTCTCCACGATGGTACATCCACATGGATCGGGTGTGGAAAATTCGCTCAATGGCTAGAGACAAGGTCATTGTTTCGAGAAACTCTTTTTTTTCGGAGACGTTTACGAATGTCGTGGGGACCGAATCTTGCGATACGGAGCAATCATTTCATAAATTCCCCAACCTGGAAGAGAAAACATTAAACACATCTGTAAGGAGTATAAGGCTAGGCGCCCAGTGAGTCGGTTTTGTTTTCTACTCGCGGGGTATACGAAGTATCTGAATCTGCACTTGGTGGCCTGCCAATGTACTTTGGAGTACTTGCCATGGCCATTTCGTTAATGCAGTAATTCCGAAAGGAGTCAGATTGACATCATGCCTAAAACTTGACTGAAGGGCTTCGACGTACGGGGCCTGAGAGCATTCGAGTCGGATTCGAGTTGGTTCACTACGAGTAGGACTGCCAGTTCTGCATAATTTGCCACGAGGCGGTGACGACTCCAATAAATATCGACTACATAGTATAGCGAGGAGATTTTTGGCTGCTTCGTACTCGTAGCAGCAACTAACCTTCACTACTGGCCGAAGGAATAAAATGTTTCTGGTTGCGGAGAAATTGCGAGGTCCGGAAGGGGCAGCGTCCGATTGCCTGCAGCGCATCTGTGTTCGTCGAACCGCTCTCTCATTTGATTAAAAAGTCGTCCCAACTTGTCCGTCCCAACCTGTTCTACCATAAGCGTAAAGCATCTGAAGAGCGACCTTAATTTGCTCGCCTTAGGGATATCTTCTTGGCAGGGCAGGAAAAAATGCAGGCGTAGGAGAAAGATCGGACGGTCATGGTTCATGGATCATCATCATGGAAAGTTGCGAATCGACTGCGAAGCAGCGTAGGAACACCAGGCAAGAGAGAACCTCTTCCCTTCACGGCCTTTCCCTTGAGCCGCGCCACGTCCAACCAAATGCCTGGCAAGCTTCTGATACCAAGATCGTCTGAGGCTCTCCTACTCCCCAAACGACGATGCATAAGTCCGCCATCAACCGCTGTCAGAGATGCGGCCGCGCCCAGCATTTTCATTCTCGGATTGTGACGCTGATCGAGAGTTGGGATGACTCCTGTCACAGCGAAGCCGGTTGATATGCAATCCTGTGTGCGGACCGGTTTGTTTACAGATCGCGTTTTCCACTGGGCGACAAAGCGAGGAGGCCCCAAGGCGTCAACGGCCAACGGGGGCAACGGTGGGTAGGGGTGTGGGGTGTTTGGTATGGTATCGTCGATTGTTGAAACCAAAACGTTTTCCCCAGCGCTCCTCTCCATGTGTTTCAAAACGGTCCCCCAATACTCGTGACCCTGACCGACGAGTAACCAGCGATCAGTCATCCCAAATCTCGGTCCTCATCTCATCCGCCTCGTTGCAACACTGTACGGAGTATTGCTTGTACATACGGAGTACAGGTCCAACGGGCTGACCTCGCTCTCGCTCGTACCCTCACGACATTGATGGGAACGTTTCGGGACAAGCAATCTCAGCGGAAAGAAAGATGTTGCTCAAACAACATTCTGGAATGTTTGAGTTTGTTGTTTTCATGTAGATGATGATGGTGATCGTAGTGTGGATTGAGTTCAAGTTGTGTCGTAGGAACGAAGTAAGAAAGATGGAGACCGAAAGCTTCATTGGCGGTAGAATTGTTCTATGCATTAGCTCCCGCAACTCACCCGTTCCAATCTTTTCATAACCATGTCACGTGATACTATATAGGAAATAGCCCTGCTGTACCTCCCCCGGGCCTACTTAGGGATGTTCGTTTTCGGTGCGTGAAAACTTTACCGTCCGTTCTTACTACTCATCGGGTTCGGTCTGCTTGGATTGCACTAGTTTGGCAATATCCAGCTCTGAGGATAAACCCAACAGATCGATTATACTTCAGCAGCCTTCCGTCATATCAGGTTGGGCATTGTTTATATGGCTCGGTGCGCATTGGCATGAAGATATTTCTAGACAGGTTCCTTGATATTTGAAGCTCCCATAGCACAAGGTGAGTGGGTTTTGAAGTGCTGCTTCGAAGTAAATTTGGATGGGAGTGGAAAACCTTCATATACTCTGGTGCAGATCTTGACCCTAGTAGAGAGTGTGAAATAAGAAGATTGTATTCCGTAACCGTGGCAAATCATGTTTAATACTCGTACCAAACTTTGAAGGGATTGTCAGAAAACAGTCACAGAAAAATGAAATCGAGGGCAGAATAAGACTTCCAATAAAGTATGTACAGACCTGTACCAAGTACTGGGTACGAATCGACGTGGTTGCACTATAATTCCTTGATACAGTCTGGTATTCGGTCATCAGTTGAGTCGTGACAAGCTACATTAAGCTTTTGTGTAATATCCCGCGATCCTTTGAATCAACGTCGTATCAACGAATCCCACCGAGAGCAGCGTAGTTAGTCTGATGACTACATCACCTAACTCAACTATGTGTACAGTACAAAATATTGTTTCGAGAGAACCGAATTCTCGGTACCTCAGATGTATATGAAATGTATACTCGGAACCAACGCACCATCTGAAATTAACCAACCAACAAGGCTTTCCGGCCCGATCTCTGCTTAAGATTCCATGACATGATTTCCCGAAGGAGACGCAAGGCACACTTAAGAAAAGCACAGGGCCGGAGCAAAATCCACAAACAACATAAAGCTGACAAAGACTTGGACTTTGGCAAAGAACAAGATAAGAAGAACAAAAGAGAATTCAAATTTTTGATGATGCGCAAGGAAACAAAATGTATGACATTCGGTATTTGCTTGGAAGAAACACCTTCTTCTGATGCGAAGAATACAACCTACCAGGATACAGTTGGTGGGTGAGAAGCTCAGCTGTTTCGGCTAACAATACCAACATCAACATTCCAAGCGTCTGTATTACCTTCAGATCCCTTTTGGGATATTGGACAATACCCTGTCTGGAAGTTAGCCGAGGGTACTGTCAATCCGAGAACGACTTGGTATTGAACTTGTATTCCTCTTGAAGTGAACTTACGGTATGCTCACCGCAGGGTTATCGGAATGCAACAAGTTTGAAGTAGCTTGCCATATACTCCATACAGAGCCCCAAACGTAGTTGAGTGGCTGGTAATGTTCATCTGGCTCGTCACAGGGCTGTAGCTTATGTTGTACACAGGCGGGTTTTCCCAACGACATGGTGGCTGTACAGCATAAATACCCAATCAGTTCAGCAGCCAACCAACCACCACCAGCCTATGCGGCGAGTGCGGTAAAAGTTTAATCGGGGCGGCACATTCGAGCGATGTCCAAGGGACGGAAATTCCACCCTCGCAGTACAAATGCAACAACAACACAGGACGTGAAGCTGGAGCCATGGCGACGGAGAGACGCGGCTTCTTCCATCCATTTCCATGCCGGAGCAGAAGGCGCCATACTATATTTTTGGCTATCGGTTACACACACCGTCGCTCAAGTTGCGGGGATGTTGATAAGGTGACGAGAGTGGCTGTGATGGTTGGATTGCATTGCGTTGCGCTGCGTAGATATTAATCTCCGGCGAAATGGGTGCTGGTGCTGGTGTTGGTGTTGGTGTTGGTGTCGGTGTTGGTGTTGGTGCTCATGCCAGGAGGTATGTCCTGGATGCATTTGGATGGTCGAGTGGTCGAGTTGGAGATGAAGTTTGGTTGCAAGGCAGCTGGAGCGCGTGGGAGAAGGGAAGTAGAAGGGACGGGAGGTGGTGTGGTAGTGGAGCTTCGTAGTGTGGTGTAGGTACCTCTGAGAAGCTAGGGGGAGCAAGGCTTGTCAAGGGAGCTAGCACAGGCTGGTACAGGCTAGTACAGGCTAGGTCGTCCCCACGGGCACGCCAAAGCTGTCTGGCTGAGGCTACCCCGCGTCGAGGTACTGCACTGCGCTCTATGCAGACAAACCTCCACGTTGAGTAGACCCAGCAACGATACCATTGATCCACTACTACTACACTGTCATCGTCCTCGTCATCATCATCGGAAGTACATTTGTTTTGGCATCGCAGGCGTTTTGGCGTGATGGTACTGCGCACCTCGACCTCGGCCTCCACCTCCACCTCGACCTACACCAAAACAAACCACCAACACCAATTCAACGGCTCTCTGCCTCGCCGCAATACCGACTCCTCACCCTCCCAACACGTTGGCTCCAATTGACCATATGCAGACAGAGGGCCACCTGCAATTCACCGTCTGGGTCCTCAAACGCTACGCTTCCAGTCGGTATTGGGTATGGCAAGCCACCAACATTTTTCGCCCCCTCTGCTACAGTAGTAACTGAAAGATCGTTACCGTTGGCACAGGTCCCGAAGCAGCTGCGCTTCGCTGCGAGTGAGAATCCTGAAATTGAGCATCAGATGCTGGCGTAGGGTGATGATGGTGATGTGCTTGCAGCAAGGATCCTTTACACGGTACTCCGTTTTGGGGGGCTGGTCCGCCAAATGCTACCGCTATCTACATGTTTGCAGACGAGACGCCGAACAGTACTCATCTCCGAGGCGAGTGGATATCAGAATGTCTCCAACCGATCTGTTAAGAGGTCCAGGAAGGACGGAAGTCCATGATTTTTCGTAGCCGACGTCGTCATCGCTATTCAATTTGCGAGCAAGTGATGGATGGTAACGGGTGGCATTTTCGACGCAAAAAACCCACTTTGAGAAATGCCCATGGGAACGAAATCGAACACGGCTGCGGATCGTGCCATAGAAGACAGGGTATGGTATGTACGGGCCTGTCCTCCGTTGGTTGCGTTGACTGGATGGTGGGGTGATGGCTGGGAGTTCTCATGCCCAGGTCTCTCGCTAGGCGGCGTGTAGGGAGTACGGAGTAGAGACAAAGAAGACGACCCTTCATATTAGGGCGACATGGCATGATATGACAGCGCTGGGGAAGCGAGGCCGAGTAGAGTGCGAGTAGAGGAGTTGGTCATGGAGCAGGTCAGCAACGCAACCGCAAGCGCAAGCAGAGACCCAGACACAGACACAGGCCTTTCACTTCTCTCCTGGCGGCCACACAAGCGTGCAAGCCGCTCTATACGCAGGCAAGCAGCCAGGCAACGGAATCCTCGACCTCAACGGGTTAGTGGTGGTGGATGGACTGCTTAGGCAAAGCAGCTGGCTGCGTCCAGCCACCAGCCAGTGGCAGCGCCGTCTACTCGAAGCCAAGGTGGCTAGCCATGTACAGGACCATGTACAGAACCATGTACAGAATCCCTTGAGCCACACCACTTTGACATGTCCCCTCTGACTGGCTGAGCCCTGTAAGTACCGATCGCACTCTCGTCGACTTCGCCGGGCATACTTCCGGGTCAAGTCTCTCGCGTTCAAGGACATCTGCCTCCTGTTCTCTCCATGTATATCCCAAGTACCATCGCCGTCTCCTGCCTCCCTACTTCCCTCGTCCCCCTGCCCTCCATCTTGCTCTCCGTCCCCTCATCTCCAACCTTTGAATATCCGAACAGTGGCTTGCAAGTCATCAGATCACCCCAGATCCTTTTCACATTCTTCAACCTCATAAGTTTTCGCCCATGGGCTCTAGCTCGTTTTTATATGTCTCGCTACTTGCTCCTTTCTCGCCCTTTCCCTTTCCCACCATACAGGACTCATAGCCATACCGCAATCTGTTGCTGTCTCTGTCACCTCACAGCGCCGTCCCAAACCCCATCCCCAGCAGACCCTCGGTGAAAGTGACTGGCGAGAGCAGCATGTAGATGTACCTCCGTTCATGATCGATTGCAGTTGCATGAGAGTAAGTACTTTGTACCTATACCTACACCTACCTGTACCCCAGCCTTCGATCGCAGCCAGCTCCAGCCAATCCCACAAGCGAAACGTGCATCTCTTTGGAATCTGCGTGCAGCAAGCAACCTAGGTCATCTCCAGGTTTACATATCCACTCACCGTGGTCAGTACCATAACTCATCCTTTTCCCTTAAAGCCGTCGCCCAATGTCGAAACGTGCAGAAAGACCAGAGCTTGTCCCCAACATCGGAATATCGCCTTCGCATCCTCGTCCAGCAACTGCTTACACGCCCGTCAAGCCAGAAATCTCGTCTTCGAGTCTTCCGCGGAATAACAAAAGACGCGCTCCAGGACAACCAGCTTCCAATTTAGCCATGTCAATTCCGTCCGGTTCTGCACCTCCCATGGGAACTGCAGATGAACCAAGCATGACCTCTTCCCCAATGGGCCCACCGGCGAAAAAGAGTCGAACGAATACACCTTGGACGCCCGCCGAAGAGCAGAGATTGAAGACGATGAGAGACGCAGGGAACAGTTGGGCAGAGATCGCAAAGGTAAGAGGCGTGCCAGCTAGCATTTGACGTTCGCTTCCGATTAATCGCAACCCTGGGACTGAGCTGTGATGTGACAGACTTTTCCTCAAAGAACCGAAGGTAGTGTTAAGAAGCACTGGTACAAGGTAACCAAGCCTTTTCAGACTTTGACATCCGTGTCTCTTCCGCTAAATGATTCTTAGGATATGCACTACGCCGAGTTTGCAGAAGATGAGGTAGGTCCACTATTCCGACGTGATCAGCGTCTAGCCTCCACTATATAGGTGCTGAGACTCAAATAGAGTCAGGCTCTCCTCAATGCTATCAAGGAATACGAGACGAATAAGTGGAAAGTGATTGGGCAAAAGGTTGGGAAACCAGCCAAGGTTTGAGACCTCTTCTCTGCGCAACATGATCATCTGCTGATATTGGTTCCAAACAGGCGTGCGAACAATACGCCAAAGAGCATTTTGCAAAATCGTAGACGCTCTCGCGTTCCTTGATACGAAACTTATACTCGAGCATATGTGAAACATTTCGGCATGCGAATGTTTCGCCCTTTTTCTGCAAAGCATAGGCGTGCGGGTTCTCATGGCGCAAGGGATTGATTTCTCTCTTGCTAAATGGGTTTCTGATGGGGGGAGGGAGCGGAACCGGGGGGGGGTGGGAAAACTTGCTGTTCTTTCATGGCGTGGAACTTTGGCTAGCGTTCGGATTTTTTCTCATCACCAATGTTTGTGCAATATTGGTCTGCTGCGAAGGAAGGTTCTCGTGGTGGATGCTTTCTTCTTTTTCTTCTGCTTGATTCTATAGGGATGGATGGGTATCTTTCTGCTTTTTTGCTGCTCAAAAAAAAAATCAAATGTATCGCATTAGGGTTGGTTTTGGTTTTGTGCTTCTTCTTCCTCTCTTCTTCTTCTTCTTCTTCTTCTTCTTTGGTTCCTTTGATTTCCTTTGATATGAGGTGTTTTCTTTTTCTCGTGTTTCTGTGGGCGAGGAATGAGGAAGGAAGGAAGCAAGGGATATTAACATCCAGTCCAGTCTTAATCGATCGGCGACTTGATAGAGGATCAGGGAATATATATATATCCAGAATCTTATTACGCTGTTTGCGTGGACTGTCAATTTTCTCTTATGGAAGTGTTTGTATATTGAGGTGAGTGGATGGGTGTTGTGATGCTTTGTTTCTTTGGTGTCTGTAGGTGGGTGGGTATTTACTTGTACTTTATTGTATTGTGATACGGTGATGTGTTACAGTACAATTGTATCGTGTTGTGGTGTGTCGGAGGGATGTTGTGTATTTGTATCTGTGTCTGTACTTGTACTTGTAAGACGTGCTTGTGATTGTGCTTGTTATAGCTTGTGTCATGTTTTGGTATCGTTATGTTCCTTTTTTTTAGGGTTGTCTAGCTATCTTATCCTCATCCTAAGTTTCCTGTCTTTCACCTTATTTTTGTGGTTTTGAAGGGAGGGGAGAGGTTTGGTTGGAGTGTGGGTGTGGAGTGGAGTGTTTTTGTTCTCTGTGGATTCATGGGTGGATGGATGGAACGATGGATGTAGGTAGGTAAGAGATTTCTTTGAAAAGAGATGAGAGTCTTGGGCTTTTGGGATTATGGGATCTTGGGATGTGATATTCTTGAGGTTTGCACTGTTGAGGGTGGGTTTCTTGTGGGTTTGATGGGATGGAGGGATGCATATGGGGTAGGTAGTTTGAAGTTTCTGTAAGTGTATATAATCTTTGATTTTGTGGGATTTGGTTGTTGATATCCCCCTTTTTTCTCTCTCTTCTCTTTTAGATCTCTTTTTGGGGAGGGATAGGAGAGGAAGAGGGGTGTGTAAAGGGGAGGCTTCATGTTGGCAGGTACTGTAGTAGAGTTCATCTAATTCTATAGGTACTCGCTATAGTATCTGTTGGGTTTGCGTTTGGATAGGATAGGATAGTGACAAGCTAGCTATAGACCATGAGCGCAACGGGTTCTTTGACTTTATCCTTACTTAGTTTGTGTATCATTATGAGGATTTGATTTGGGGCTTTTGATCTGGGTTACTTATTTCTGACTTTTCTTTCTTTCTTTCTTTCTTTCTTTCTTTAATGTGGGATTTGATGTGATGCGTAGACTGAGGAATTTAACCTGGTACGAGTACTGGAAGAGAAATGTCTGTTAAAGTGTACTAAATAAATCTTTAAAAACTATTATGTTAGTATTTTCCATATTATCAATCACCTTGTTAATCGAATCAAATCACGTGGAAATAAAGATATATTTATAATTTTCCATATATCCCGAATACAGTAGCTCGCATGATTATTTTCGTTGTATGTACATACTGTACAAGGGTTTGGGAAGAATGTGGTTTCAGTATAGATGTGTTCTTTCTTAGGGAAATGACCACTCCTCTTAATTACTTCCCCTGAATAAACATCCATCGTGAACTTTGTTCTTTCCAGGTGTAGGGGAGTTTCGCCTGCGCCTTGTGAAATTCAGTGCACGAAGCTGTTGGAAATATATTTAAATAATGAGGTAGGAGGCTACAATATATAGTACATATTGTTGTGGGATATGAACATGGATATGGGTAAGAAAGAAAGAAAGGTTGCGGTAGTTCGAAATCTTAAGTTAGTCTAATAGAGTTTGGACGGTAGAGCTTGATTTGAATTTGCGGGGTCGGGACGGATGATTTTCGTTAAGCGAAAGAGTGCTGGAGATAAGGTTGTCGGTCGTGAAAGTAAGAGATAGAGATAGAGATAGAGTTTCAGGGGGTTCGTGCGATGTCGTGAGCTTATTTCGCTTTGATGTTGGGACTTGGGATGTCTTCCTACGAGTACATGATCTTTGGAATGCAGTGGTATTTCAGTGATGGATGATGATGGGTTTTCGTTGTGGATACGGGGTTCCTGGAGGGGTGCTTGTATTGCTGACGAGGTGTCATTCGGATCAACCAGTGAATATTTACGTGCTGAAGATGTTGATCGGCAAAGGAATTATTGACTTGTCGGTCAGTGATGGTTGGCATGTAGATTCCATTGATCATTTACTACACGTGATGATAGTTGAGTGATAGACAGACACACATTACTCAGTACATGTCTCTCTACCGTGCGCTAAGACTGGTCTCTTTCGGTGCTTATTCGCTGATCTCTGGGGGACTTGGACTCTATTTGGGATATTGTGGAGTGTGACTGGCTGTCGGGCGCTGCCGCCAACCTATTACTTCGGGGTATTCTGGTCCCCTGTACCATGGAATTGCCCCCGTCGGCTCGTATGGCGGCCATCACTCAAACTCTCTTTTCCTGTTCTCCTCCTCTTGGTCCCTTTCCCCTCACGCCAACGCCAATGCCAGCGCCAGCACCAGCACCAGCATCACCGCCTCAACAACCGACACTCGGATCGTGTTTTTGACAGCAATAGCAACTGCATTGTTTTCTGGATCCATTGTCAATACTCTCGCTCGACTTTGGCTCATCACATTCGCTTTAAGAATCAATAAAACTTGTCCATCCGTGCAAGTACCATAATAATCCGTCCTAATTAATACCGAGCCAACCACCCACCCACTCTCCACCCCTTTGTATCTCCGTCAAGTTCAGATAGCGACTGCGACTGCAATCTCCCTCAGTCAATCCCCATCCAAGTGCGATACGATACGATACGATACGATTCCCCAAATCTTGACATTGATACTCGAGAGCATCGCATCAATCGACAGCAGCATACTGTGCAGCGAATTCAGTGTCACAGCATCGAGTCCTGCATCGCAAATCCTTCTGTATCACAGCAGATACGACACCACACGCACTCGTTCGCAGCCGAGGCTAAATCACCATCTTCTCATTCAACAAGAGCATCGCGTTCACTCGTTGCACGCTCTTGTTGTTTTTTAATCTAATTACAAACTTCCTCATCGTCATCTTCTCGCAACATACATAATGATTCGTTCATCAGTCATTGCAGCTTGGGCGGTCTTCGCAACCGCTGCCTTGGCAGACATCAAATGCAGTCTCTCGGAACACTGCCCAGAAAGCGCTCCTTGCTGTTCTCGTGAGTAGCTTCACAACCCTTCACAAACTGGCGAATTTCATACTGACTTGACATTCACAGAATACGGTTCTTGCGGAACGGGAGCGTATTGCTTGGGAGGATGTGATCCACTATCTTCACACAAGCTCGAGTCCTGTGTCCCAGCTCCTGTCTGCCGAAGCCAAAATTATGATTTCAAGAGCCTGGACCGAATCATCCCCAATACCAAATATCTCGGAGATGCATCAAAGGCCGATTGGGTCAGCTCTGGAGATCCTGTGATTTTCAAAGATAATGTTTTATTGACCATGGCGCCCGAAACCGTTGGCACCTTGCTCGCTTCTTCGACGTATATGTGGTATGGAAATGTCAAGGCTACTTTCAAGACTAGCAGAGGTGCTGGTGTTGTGACTGCTTTCATCTTGCTTTCGGATGTTAAGGATGAAATTGATTACGAATTTGTGGGTGTCGATTTGAAGACCGCGCAAACCAATTATTATTTCCAGGGAATCACAAATTGTAAGTCAATTATTTGTATTCACCTGATATGTTGCTAATTAAGTTTCAGACGGAAATTCGGCAAACATTACTCTTTCTGATACCTTCAACAATGCGCACACTTATGAAATTGATTGGACTCCAGACAAGATTACTTGGTTGGTCGATGGTCAAGTTGGACGTGTTTTGGAAAAGAGCAAAACTTGGAACGCCACCAGCAACCAATACATGTACCCTCAAACACCAGCTCGTGTTCAACTCTCCCTCTGGCCTGGAGGACTTGCATCTAACGCCAAAGGAACAGTGGATTGGGCCGGTGGTCAAATTGACTGGAATGGAGGCGACATTAAGAACAATGGCTACTATTACGCATCCTTCAGTTCCGTCCAAGTAAAATGTTTCGATGCAAAATCCGCCCCAGGAACCAACCGTGCAACATCATACACCTACAACGATAAAGCTGGAACAAACAACACCGTAGTCGACGGTGACAAGCCCACCATCCTCAAATCCCTCCTCGGCACAGGAGAGAACATGGATGCTGGTGCACCTTCTTCATCCCCCGGAGCACCTAGCGCTACAGCAAGCGCGCCCGCCACCGTTCCTGGTCTCACAGGAGCAGGAACTGGAGGTGACAATCATGCTGGTGACATTGGATCTTCCGGAGGCGATGCTCCCGCAGCTTCCATTTCTGGATCTGGGGCCTCCCCCACTGGTTCTTCTGAGAGTGGGTCGAATTCTGGTAGTGGCGGTGGCTTCAACCAGGGAGGACAAAGCACTGCTACAAAGAGTGGCGCGGAGAAGATTGGTAGCCAGGATAAGGTTCTCAAGGGTAGCTTCTTTGCGGGAATTGTGGTTTTGATTGCTTTGATGGCTCTGTAGAGTTTTCATCTCTTGTGATCTTTTTCCAAAAATTTCTTTTCTCTTTTGGTAAACAAATATCTTGACGGAGGGATACTTTTGAACGTGCATTTTGTTGATTAGTTGGTTTTTGAGATTTGATGCATGTTAGTTTTGGGGGTGGGTTTAATGAGAGAAAGGTGTCTTTCTTTACAAGGACGTTCAATATTTTTTTGCGGGTTTGGTTTTTGTTGTTGTTGTTGTTTTATAAGCGAGAGCAGAATGAATTGAATTTCGGGGTGGGAGGAGGGGGCCTTTTTGGGGCTTCTAATCGAGTTCATTTGGCGTTTTCATCCTTTTTGTGGCCGTCGACTCATTGGCCTTTTTTTGGATCGCGGTAGAGCAGTTTGAGTTTTGAGGGAGGAGTTTCTTTGTACATTCATTTTTGGGGGTTGGGTTGGAAGAGGATGGATGGTGGGGGAGGGGAGAGTGGAGGAAAGTGAGTGGTTAATGAAAATCTTAATGTGAATGTTAATTGAGAAATTATTCCGGCCTTCTTGAATCTTGATTTTAGAATTGATGGGGATGGGGATGGGATGGGGATGGGGATGTGATGGGGATGTGATGGGGATGATGTGAGTGAAAGTCAGTGATGATTAATTGACAGCTGGATACGTAAGTATACATACATCCTTTGGGATCGATGGATACACTATGTTTTTGAGTTTTCGATCTCCTTTTGATTCGAAGGTGTTTTCTTTTTCTTTTTTTTCTTTTAATGTGCATGTTATATTTGTGTTGAACTCACGTCGTTACTTTGTATATATACATATAAAGTTAGGTATTTAGAAAGATATAATAAAGTCTCGAAAGTTTAAGAGGAATAGTAAGTAAGTGAAGGTAGGAAGGAAGGAGGGTTTTTTGACTTTGGAACTTTGGAAATTAATGGAGATTGGATTGATATAGATGTTGAGTAAGTGAGTGGGTGGGATTCGAGAGGTTTGGGTTGCTGTATTTGGAGTTGGAATTTTAGGAGTTGATGGTTAGTTGGTGTCTGGGGGTTTGGATTGGATTTGGTTTTTAGGGGCTGGTGGGGGCTTGGGATTTGGGATTTGGGATTAGGGGGGAGGGAAGGAGGAGGGAGGGAGGGTGAGGAGGGTGATATGTGGAGAGGGGGATTTAGATGGATATGGATATAAGGACTAAGGACTAAGGAAACTTGTAAATCTATCTTACTTACTTGGTATTTAATGTATAGTATGAGGAAGCTGGGGAGGGTGAAGGGGAGGGTGAAGGTGAGGGAGATTTGATTAAGTATATGAACTGGATGGGTAGGTACATATACCGTTTTTTGGTCCCTGGTCCCTGGAAAAGGTTTTGGGGAGGGGACGGGGGCGAGGGGGGGAGGGGGAGTATGTGTGAGGTACTGTGAGATTTAGTGTTTTTGGGAATTTGGTTTGATTTTGTTTAGTGGATTTGGATTTGGATTTGGAGTAGAGTAGAGTAGAGTAGCTTGGGCTTGGGCTTGGGCTTGGGCTTGGGAGTTGATTTGATTTGGTTAGGTAGCAGGTGATATATACTTGTAGTAAGTAATAAGTAGTGTGAGGTGAAAAGGGTAAGCAATGGAAGTAAGGTAGGTATATAAAGAAGGTAGCGTAGGCTAACTAGTATAAGATATAAGAAAGGTATAACATAAGTATGAATTATAATAAATATCTCTTGATAACAGTAGATAATCTAGATTGATCATCTGGATTACTTGGGCTATAATCTTCGTCGACATATATCCTAAGCGAGCTTTATATAATAAACTATACGAGTAAGGAAGGACGTAACTAGGAAATCGGAAGTTACCTAGCCGCGCCAGATTCGAGAAGCTAGACGTGACGTCTCGCTTAAGTGTACGGACAACGGGGAATCTTTTTTTTTAAAACAAAAGAGCGATCAAGAAAGGGGTTTGAAAAGGATCTTTTAGATATAAGTTTATCCAAGCAGGATGATGAAGTCCTAGTCTTTGAATCAGAAAAAATATCGAGCTCCTAACTACGAACTACGAATTACGAAAGTTGCAAGTCGCGCGGAGTAAAGACGTGGCGCTATACCAAGCGTGACATAAATATAAAATCCTGATCCTATTTGAAACGTTTGATGTAGTGGGGGTTCTTGTCCAAGAGCTGGTTCGATTGACTTTAATTTTTGGGTTCTAAGTCTAGGAAGGGGAGGGAGGGAAGTAACAAGTTTTAAGGTTTGTGAAGTATAGGTTGGGGGAATGCTAGTTAGTAGAGTAAGGCTAGGGGAGGGATAAGATCAGGAACTCAAGAGATGGAGAGCTAGTCTCGGAGCCTGAGTCCGAGTCTGGTATTAAGCGGTATAATAAGTAGACGATGAATCATCGGGTAACGTACAGTACAATAGCTAGGCCAGAAAATTTCGATTAAATTTGTAAATCGAAGAGGGTCAGCAGATTGCGGAATATATAGATTACGAGATAGTACCTACGTAGAAAAATAAAGGCGAGAGTGGATTAGGCTATATAGAAGTTTAGTAGGCCCAGGGGTTTTATGAATACTAGAGAGAGAATTCACGAATCTACAATTCAAGATTCAAGGGGAGAGGAACAAAATTTCCTTCTTTCGATTACTTTTCTCTATCCATCCATCCTTCCTGCCTATCTGTCTTTCTGGTATCTATTGTACAGTGCGTGGTATCATTCCATTCCATCCATACATTCATCCATACATATATAGAGTCAAATATCTCTCCATCTATCTCTCTTTCTCTTCTCTTATCTTCTCCACCCCGAATAGCTGAGCCACATTTTCTACTCTTGTGTCTTGTATCTTATCTGTTTCCTTCATGCCTTCTTCCCTCTAGCTGGATAGATAGCAAAAGAAAAGGCGCTCTCAGCTCTATTAGATTCTCCATCATCCCATCTAGCAAACATTAAAACGCCATCCATCCATCGATTCATTATTGAGTCCCCCCTCCCCCAATCTCAGATATTCAAAGGACCCCCTCCGAATATGTAACCGCCCCCCAAGACGCCATCCAATGCAAAAGCGAAATATCGAGAAATTGGAGAAAGAAACAGGCGAGGAATTCTTTTCATCTGGAACCTCTCCTCTGTGGTACCCGAACCACGAACCCAATGTCAGTCAGCTCGCCAAAATCGAGTAGAATCACCATCTACCCCATCCACCCCCTATCATAATCAACACTCTCAGAACTCTCCCCTCAACAGATTCGCTTCATATCACCTATTAGCCTCCCAATTATCCAACATCTTCTTCACGTCGCGAAAAGAAACAGGCTTCGTAAGAAAGAGATCGACTCCAACCTTTGCAGCCTTACTCTGATCCTCGCTACTTGCCAACCCCGTAAGAGCAATGATCAATGCCGGAGTAAAAGAAACATTCTCCTCCTCGGCCTTTTGTTTCCTTGACTCTTCAAGAGCACGAATCTCCCTGGTGGCCCCGAATCCATCGAGAAGAGGCATCGAGATATCCATGAATATGATATCATACCCTTCTGATCGGTCTTGAAATGCCTTGACAGCCGCGAGCCCATCCATGGCTTTGTCAATGACTAGGTGGTTCCGTTTCTGAATCGAGGTCCCTAACAGTTTGAGGTTGATCGCATTATCATCGACTAGTAAGAAGGAAGGAAGTTTCTTTTTGTGTGAGCTTGTCGGTGTATCATCTTCGCTCTGGACTGATTTGGTACCCATAGTTTGAAGAACCTTTTTACCTAGTGGCAAGGATTTTGCTTTCCCAGGAGAATCCGAGATAGGGAAAGGAAACTCGGAAGCCTTGTCGGCAACGGCATTGGGTGTTGGGCTCTCTATTGCCTTGCGCGCATTATCGCTATCGGCCGCCATACGGCTATTATCCAGCACCTCGCCAGCTGCAGGATTCAGAGTCATCTCCTCGAATAAATTGCTCATATCATTACTGTTTGGCGAGACTATGACATCGACCTGACCAGGGGTAGCCGGGAGTGACCCTCCCAAACATTGAGCGATGGCTCTTCCGAGCTTGAGGGGTCCTACAGGTTTGGTGACGTGCCCAATACTTGCCTCGGCCTCAACAGTAGCGCGATCAAATTTGGATAAGTGGGAGCAAAGAACCACCACAGATGGACGAAGTCGGTGAGTAGTAACAATGCTGCGTACTATCTTGTTAATGGTTGCTGGGTCTCCTTCGTTGGATACGATAATGCTTGCTTTTTGACCCAGAGGGACTACTTGCATTCCATACCAATTTTGCAATATGTTTACAATTGAAGCTTGGAGTAATCTCTCCATCTTTTGAAATAATGGGTCTCCTGTTCCTGACTCAAATCCATGAAGTGATACCCTCTGACCGACAACGAGCGACTTGAGCTTCGCGATAGCATCATCTGGTTCATGTATCATGGACGATTTAGGAGCATCAGGTACTGGATCGGAAGTTTTGAGGGCTCCTCTCATAAGTGGAAGACTAACATGGACCTCTAAGAAGAATGTTAGCTGAGAAATTACAAATCTGGGGTCTTCCTACGCGTTCCCCGTCCAACCTCGCTCTCAATAGTTATGTCTCCTTCAAGTATTTTAACAATACTTTTGACTATCGATAGTCCCAAGCCAGTTCCACTAGATAGAGAATTTTCTTGCGCAAATGGTGTAAATAATTTTGAACGCAAGAACTCGGGAGCAATGCCTTTGCCTGTATCGGTCACGGTCAAGACTAGCATAGCCCGTGGGATAATTTCTCTGGTTTCCACGTCGTGAAAGTCCTCCATCGGTGTCGACGTTAATTTAATCCGAACACAACCACGCGCGGTGTATTTCAAGGCGTTTCCTAGGAGGTTCATGACCACTCTTCTGAAAGCTCCTGGTTGTGTTGTAAATTGATAATTTTGCAAGTCTACATCAAATATGACTGCAACTTCAGGTGCTGTGGAACGAGTCGGGGCTTGTAGATCATCCTTGGATGGACTCGGCATTCTTTTCGAGGAATCCTGAACCACTGCAACATGTTAGAGTTTCCGCTCCAGACCAATAGAGCAAGCGGAGACAAGGGAAAAAGTACGTACTGTCAAAGTTTGCTGCAGTGCTACTCTGGAACAGATGTCCGGCAAAAACGCCCTCAACCACTTCCTCGCATATGACTGAAACATCGACATCTGCGTAGAGATTGATCATCGGTAGTTCCGATTGTTTAAGAGCCAATGCATTGCGGGTAGGGCGGGTATGTGGGGTATGGTTTTTACGCCATGTTCGCTCAAAATGGTTGATTTTGGAAAAGTCAAGTACATGGTTTATTGTATCGAGTAAAGTCCTGCCACAGGAAGAGATGGTCTCAACCATGCCAAGCTCGAAGGTCGATTTCACTTCTTCACTAAGAAATTCGGCACTTGCCAAGATTCCATGTAATGGAGATCTCAACTCATGGGAAATGCTTCCAATAAAGTCATCTTTTTTCTGATTTGCGATTTGAGTGTCAATACGTGACCACTCCGCCATAACAGAATTTCCAAACCCCGTCAAAAAGGACAACTCGCTCTCTTTAGATAAAATTCGAGTGGCCTCTGTAGACCATACAAAGCAACCGCTAAGCCAACGAGAGCGGCCAGCATCCCAAAGGGGAACAAACAACAGCTGCCGCACGCCAGGAAAATGTCGAGTCAAGAATTTCGCGTGGGAATTGGGCTTTGCCGACCTTACTTTCTTCTGCATAAGCTCTTGATTCAGACGGAGTGGATCTTTGCGGGAGCGACGATGGTCTTCTTCTGAAGATGAGGATACTTCGCCTTCTGAGTCAAAGGTCCACAATTTTCCGCGAGGGAAGCGGCGCAGAAGAGAATTCAGTGCCTTTTCCTGGAGTGGTCTGAAGGATTGTAAGCCGGGAACGAGGTCTCCATGGATCGAAGAAGCTCCAGGTGTTGAGAACCCTAATATATCCGCCAATTTATGTGACATGTTCGAACTCCGTGAAAATGTTGCATCTCGAGGGGTTAGACTAGGAGACATATCGGATAAAACAGAGCGAGTTGTTGGGGGATTGAAGGGTGGGGGTTCTCGGGGCTCGTTAGAATAGAGTAGCTCGTCACCGCTCGCAACCTGGCTGTCAGTTTGGCTTTCATCTTGAGCAATTTGATTGAGGCGAGATTGAGGCGGATCAGGAGCAAAACCTGCCTGCGCATCGTAGAAAATGCACCCCCCATCGACTTCAAAGGTCTCTCGGATCAGGTTGGCCGCACGAGAAGAGAGTTGTCTCTGTGAAGACTCCTCCGAAAGAGTGTCTGCGGGGCTAGTATCGGATCGCGAGAGTGGTGAGAAAGCATCGGTTGTGGCTGTACCCAACGAAGTATGAGATTCGCCATGGGAACCTGAAGATATCTCAGGTCGTCGTACTGTCACTTCTGGCTTCGGATAATTTTCGTGTAGCAAAGCTTCCTCTGTCTTTGCCAGATTGGCAGAATATTCTCGCTCCTTGCGTTCAAGGCCCTGAGCAGAGCTAACCGTGGAGTCTACGGAACTGCGATGTGAAGCTTTTGACTTGGTCCGGTTGGTTCCCGCTTCCCTTTCAAACTTGCCAGCAATTCGAGTTCCCTCTCCTTCGCCCAGCGCTTCTCCCGGTTCAAGATCGGACTCAAGCACCTCCGAACGGCCTTGTACGAAAGATGCCAGTCCTCTGCTCATTTTCATCCCTCGACGATGCTCCTCGACTTCTCTTGCCATTTCCAAATGACTCATGACCGTCCTAGCCATGGCACCCATGAAATGGACATCGTCACTCGAAAGACCATTTCGAGCATAGTCATCAACAATGAACAGACTCCCAATTGCGATCCCCCTCTTTGTGATGAGTGGAACCCCCGCATAGAAGCGTAGATAGGGCGCACCCATGACGAAGGGAAGCTGATTGAAACGCGCGTCCTTCTGGAGGTCGTTGACAATGAAAGCTGGGTAATCGCCCACCGATTCAGTGTGGTCCACAGCGATAGTCCTATTTTGGGATCAGTATGAGGCAAGCGCAACCAAACATCCCAATTCTCCCTACCTCTCGCACAACTTTCCGCCCTTAGACACGCTGCTGCATCCCATCCATAGATCATCACCCGGGGCATGTTTTGCGCCGTCAACTAAATCAAGCGTCCTGGTACTTTCTGCCACGAAATATTGTGTATCGGCATCAATGAGACTTGGTAAGTCAGTATGCAACCACCATTCGCAGGGTGTGCGACGTACCCTATCATTGCTCTCTGTGCGTTGGTCCTCCATGCCAGCAACTGACAGAAAGCTGTCAATGCCGAATCTGGGGAGGAGACTTTAGTAGACGTGACATCTGATTGAATGGTCTTTCCTTTGGCTGTTTCTTGTGTAGGAATGGAAGCCAAGTTTGGCTCAGGCGGACGGAAGTATCTGCGAGACGAACTCTGTCAGTCTTGCATATTTCTGTTGTCTTGACTGCACGTCTGGGTTGCCATAGACACTACAGCTCCTTGGAAACTTGTAGGTTGTTTCTGTGCGATGTCTCTGGACTAGTCGAGGGGGGGAATGCTTGACATACTTGTACAATTCCCTCGCGCGCGCGTTATCAGAAATGCCTTCTGGTTGCGATTGGAACAGTGTCGCTTCCATAGGCGCCATCTGCGTCCCTGCTGCCCTTTTGGGACTGGAGGTTGCCGTGAGAAGAGAAGGATGAGGAGGGGGAGGGGTATGAGTGCGGCGTTGGGTACAGATACGGGAACTATCTGGTGTTTGCTGGCCAACGAATGGCATTATTGGCACCAATGTCCTTGTCCTGCAGATTTGGAAGGACAGGTGTGGAGGTAGCCTACGATGGGCGAATTCTTGTTGGTGATGTGAAGAGGAGTGTCGGAGATAGTATTGGGATAGTATTGGTACTGGTACTGGTACTGGTACTACTGCGCGCGTCGGTGGTGGTGGTCCTCAGTGATAGGTGGTAGGTGATAGGTGATAGGTCCCACAACCCACGTCCTAGGTGTTGAAGGGGTAGTTCCTCCACTTGAGGTCCAGATTTTTGGAACTTTAAACCTCAAGCAAAGTAAACCCGCATCCCTGTCATGACGTAGAACCCACGCGAGGACATCCAATCAAGGCCCTACTTAAGTGGGTCTCATTCATCCAGGGTAGTCTAGACCCGAAGCTAACGCCGAAGCTAACGCCGAAGCTTCCAAGGTTGCATCCGCCGTTGTTTCCTGTTAGCCTGTAGAGCTAGGCGGTGCTAAGGAAAGGTACTCGCAGTTCGGAGTTCCAAGTTCCATGTCACGGCAATTATTTTGGGTGAGATGTTGGTGGCACGCTATTACACACCATGGGTTGAGTAGTATATCCAAGTCGAGATGTCCCTCGCTTAAGCCCCTCGTCCTAGTACCACTAGTACCATACCTACCTACGAGCTACTTGCTAGAATCCTATCAAATGGAACCTGCTTCCATATGGCAGAACACACCTTGTTCTATGCGGTGGAAACCAATGGTCAGACCTATTAACAACAACTACATACCCTCTACATAGGCAGACTCGGCAGATTAAACCGCACATTGTGGTCCCGCCACACTCGATCAAGTCCTTATATTCGACAGCACATTTAATTGAGCATCTATAAAGCTCTGTCTGCAAAAAGCAGATGACAAAGGATACTTGACGATTTAATTCATATTTTTGCGATTTAATTCTAAGGGTTTAAAGAACGGGTCATAGTAAGGTGCACTGGCGTAAAATGTGCGTTCTAAACTGCCTACGTAGAGATACTCCTGTCAATTGAAAAGAGCTCGATACTTATAAGCTGAAATTGGCCATTGATCAAATACCTAATAGTAAATCCGCAGTATTACTAACACATTCCACAACAGAAAACAACTAAAACATCTTCTCTTACCATAATATTCATTCCTTACCATTACCCAAAAATTGAGCTACAACAGAATAAATCTCCACTATCCACAACTTCCTTGCAAGAGACTAAAAGTCCAAGTTACCTACCCACTCCTCTTGTATACCCACGTAAGTTTACGGAAGAGAAATCCCTCGATATAAGGCTAACCTCGCTTATACCCTTACCTGAGTCTCTGGGTTCCAAGGTGCCTAGGTACCTTTTGCACCTAAAAAGAACCTCGTCGTTTACACCCGGAAAAATTCAGGTTTCGATCTTGTTTTTGTATCGAGGGTTTTCTGTACCAGAAAGACAAAATGGTATGCTTAGACACTGTTACACTGGTCGTGCTTGTTGAATGTGCCGAGACTACATACTGTACCCTTCGATTTGAACTTCTCGAGATGAAGTTCATGCTCTGGGATATTGGTAGTGTAAGAGGCATCTAGATGAAGTACATGTTCTGAGATATTGGTACAGCAAGATGCATTGCCATTGCTCTGTGTAATCTTACACCCTAGGGAACTTATCATGCGAGAAATCCTCATACAACTGACTGATGTTATATCACTTACGTTGATAAAGTGACAGTGAAGTCACTTAAATCGACTCGTTCGCACAATCTCTTTGATATCTGAGTCTTTCTGGTATTATCAGAAGGTGTACTGTACTGAGCAATGACGAGGTTTCCTAGAAAAACTCAAGGATGATATAACCCAATTCACGTTCAAAAGCTTGGGTAGCCCAATAGTCCAAATCTCAGATGCTGGACCCAGCTATAATGCCCATGTAAGTAGAAAGATTGCTCGTTTGTCGTGACGTCCGTCCTAAAACTACGCCCCAGATAGTCAAATATACACATAACGAGCTGTCCAGAATTATTCTTACACGCCCCCAACACCTCACCTCGCATTCTTCTCCTCACCCCTCCGTTTCGCCCGAATCTGCGCCTGTCTCCTCTCCCCACCATCAATCTTCCGCCCCCTCCGCTCCTCCCAAAGCCCCTCCTTAATCTCAATCTTCGCGGCCCTTCCCCCCTCCAACGGCAGCGCATGCTGCCCTACAATCATATGCGCCCCCTTAATGCGAAAACCCTTGACCGGCGTCCCCTGACTGACATCTCCTCCGGACGGCATATTCACAATCACCTTGCGCATCCCCGGGGTCCTCGTAGCCATGGGTTGGCGCTCACCCAGCGCGGGAACCTCCACCACGCGCAGCTCCGCAGCGCCATTCTCGACGTGTTGGCAATCGCCTCCGACTCCGAAGTGCCCTTTGCGGAATTTCTCGCGCCATCGGAGGAGGTAGCGTCGTGTTCGCGGGGGATCAATGCCCAGGTCTTTGAGCTCGGCGGAGGAGAGAGAGAAGAGAGCTCTCCAGGATGGAATTTTGCTAGCATGTTTGCTGAGGTCGCGGCCGATGAGGGTGAGGAAGGTTTGGGCGTCTGGGACGAATGGTGTGGGAGGGGGGATTGGGGCGGCTTGAACGTTTTGATGGAGACATCGTGCTTTGGACGATGTTTGCGCAAAGGGCAGGAGGAAGGAGGGGATTGCTCGCAATTGGTGGGGTTTGACCAGCATGTTGGCGGTTTAAATTGGCTGGAAATACTGTAAGTTGGTTGTGGAATGCAGGTTGATTGGGGGATCTTACCTCCCACCACGATGGCGATTAAGTGCTGTCGTTGAGCTTTCCCCAAAATATTTCCACCTGAAGGTAAGAGCGGAATTTGCAAAGTTCACGTGGCGCTAGTGCCAAGATTTCCGCTCCGCCTTACGAAAGGACAATCCACGTGACATTTACCCTACTTCTGTATACAATAACAAACTTAGTTATAACTCGTCTATATTAATCAGCCTTGTTCGACCGTAGCTAATGATCTTTTGAACTAAGATCGAGCTTCGAGCCTAGTTAATATTATATAATTATATATATAGTATCTTATAAAAAGAACTTTATATAGGACGACTTCTACTACTTGTAACCGTGTGGAGTGAACCACTGCTTGCTGTGATGAATACGGAGTCAAACGGAAACTGCTGTATTGAGCGAACAACAAAGTGAGGAAGGAAGAGAGTTCCAGAGGAACGAGAGCTTAAATACAGGATGCCAGCAGCGCGCACGTGACACATACTACATGCTGCGCTACACGTGATCAACCCCTAGTTCCTCCAACTCCGTAACAGTACCCCCCCTCTTAAAGAAGGTCGTCCTCGACCGAGTATCCATAATTAAGTTACCATCT